CCCCCCCCGAACAGACAGAAAAACAAAACCCTTTTATTCCTGACCAAACCCAACGGTTTCCTCCACCGCCAAGGTCAACTTCTGTTTCATGGTTTCATAGTCCGTGTACGGAGGTAAATCCACTCTGTTGAAACAGGTGTGCGACTTTGGCAACTGGCCCGGCTCCCCGGCCTTTTCAATGGTGAAGCGTCTCGGCCCGTCAGACCCCTGTAAATCCTTGAACCCATTGACGGGAATTCTGGATGTGCCCGTGGTGAACTGCAACAAGCGGGCCTTCTGCTCGCTGTCCCAATCCTTGATACACTGCCAGAACCATTGGATGACCTGGTCGGTCTCCTGGTATCCTCTGTAGTCAGTGTGTTTTTTCCAGTCCTCGACATCGATCTCGGCCAACCCGCCGATCAATAACTCCAACTCGCGCTCATCAAACACGTTGACGAGCTCCTCCGGAATCAACTCGTTAAAGCCGTCCATGAACGCCCTGAATTGCTCGTCCACCCGTCTGGAAATCTTCCACTCGGTGATCAACTCGACATACTCACGCTTGTTTTCCTCCGTGACTTCGATGTCGCGCCCACCGGCCTTCAAGTCCACGGTCAAGACTTCGCCGAAGCGCTCGTCGTCGGCGCTGAAGGTCAAGTCGAGCACATCGGTGATGTCGTTGTCAAGAATCCACTTCAACGAGCGGTAAAACTCGGAATCCACCCCCTCCATGTCCTGGAGCACCACCTTCTTGTGCAACATCATCTTGTACAAAGCACCGACAAAGAACGCGTCGAGGAACCGGCGGTGGAACACACCCAACCCAACCACCCTTCCGATGAACTTGAAGTAGTTCAAGTGCTCTGGATTAATCCCGGAATTCGTGTTGATCTGCAACGTGTAGTTGTCGTGCGACGAGTACTCAAACAAGCAGTAGAATGGGTTGAACATGTCGTGCGAAAGCAAGAAGAAATACTCACGCGACACCCCACCGTAATCCAACCCTTCCTCCCCGTCAAACTTGATCATCAACCGTTTCTTCAAGTCCTCGGGGGTTTGTCTCATAATCTCCTGGTACGAGTCCTCGAAGATGTGGTTACGTCTGACCTTGATGTGGCACTGGCCCGGCAAGATGCGCAACGCTGGCTGCGAGCGGAAGTAAATCACCTTGCGGCGGAAGTCACGCTTGTACTGCGGCACATTCTGGTCCAAGGAGGATGGTAATCTCGGGTCGTCCCACGTCGTGGTTTTGGTGTTGTGGTCGACAAAATACACTCTCGCGGTGTTGGTGAGCCTCATTTCCCAGCCCGACGGCAACGGCCCTAACTGCGACACAGGCTGCTGCTGAACTGTCGTGTTTGGCCCGTAAGTGCGGATATACTGCTGTCTTCGAGGATCCACCCACGTGGTGGTGCGCGTGTTGTGGTCGACAAAGTACGGACGGCCCTCGGGAGTGAATCGCTGCTCCCAGCCCGGTGGCAATTCGCCTAGTCCGGCCGTGGTGGAGCCCGACGACGCCAAGGCCGCGGCCGCGGCCGGCACAACCGGCGTGGCACCCGTCCCCGAACTCTGTAACGTCACATTCTCCGACGCGGGGCTCGCGGGGGTGTTGGTAGATGACTCACCAGGCAACGTTCTCCCAAGATGCTGTCTTCTTTCGGCCTCCGTGTTGCTGGTACGTGCCTGGCCACGTTCGGCCTCGGATTGGTCCATCACAGGACGTTTCCACGCAGTGGTGCGCGAGTTGTGGTCAACGTAATAAGTCCGCCCGAAGTTGTCGGTTCGGCGCTCCCAGCCCGGGGGCAAGCGGCCTTGGCGGTCCTCAAACGACGAGTATTGCCTGTCGCCAGGGGAAGTAGCAGAGGATTCAGAAGGAACCTGTAAGTTTTCGGCCACAGGTGCGGCAACCGGTCTGGGGGTGGCAGCCGCAGGAACAGTGCCGTTGGCTCTTCTGCCGTGGGAAATGACAAAGATCAACTTTCCGCTAACCACAAGGTTGTCGTTCGACTTCTTCAAGTCGCGCGTGACGGTCTCCTCGTTGGTGGCGGCACTCATGTCGATGACATCGCCCAAGCGGACGTTCACGACCCCCAAGAAGCCCTGGTCCTTCTTCTTGAACTTCTTCTGGTCAAACACCTGGATCACGAGGATCGAATCTTCCGTCGCGGTGAACGAAAACAGTTCGTTCCAGTACGGGTTGAGCGTCTTCTTGGCCGCGGTGGTCGAATGGGTCTGGCCCCCGTTGACAGTCAACACTGCAAAGGGGTCTGGCAGGCGGAACACGTCGCGTTTGTACAACGACTCGGCCGCCACAACCTTGATGTTGATTTTTATGCTAGAGAGATGTGTTAGTAATGATCATGCGAGTAGATGGAGTCAGCGGGGAGATATCAAGTTTCGAGAGCAGACGTTCGGTCGTGGTTTGCGGCCTCGTATTAGAACAGAGCGCTCCTGAACTACGCAATGGCTAAAAGTTATCTGAATAGAAGGGAGGGAGTTAGGTGTAAGAATGGTCTAAATTGTCAAAGCGTACCGACAACCTTAGATGGGCCGTGCTGACAAATCGTCCTAGTCTTTGAGCCGTGCTGGCAAATCAGACCTAGAAAACTTTGATAGATCCATGAATCAATCCATAGCTATTTAAGCAGGACCAGCAGCCGTTGACGCCCCCCAAAGCTCTGACCCCATACAAACAGTCCAAACGATACCATTCAGGCTATGCCCTGGCAGCAAGCTCTGGGGGCTCAGCCACTTCACCATCCATCTCTGTCCAGTTCAGATAGCAACCAACTCTCCATTTCAGCAAATTCAGGTCCCTCTTCCTTTCAGAAAACAAACCCGTTCTCTCCCGGCAGGCGAATTTCAATACATACGAAGGCATGACTGGTATAAAGTCTCTGGAAGCGAATGCGGCAGTCTAAGCACTCCCTGCTGTATTTTTGGGTTTGTGAGAGCAGATGGAAGCAAGAAAAAAAAGCCAACAGAACGCAGGCACTTGGTAAAACAGGGTAGCTGTGTGCAAATTCAACTTATCGCCCTCGAGGATCAGCCACCCGTAAATGGGTTGACAATTTCCCGCTCAGTTCCCACAGCCCTTAGGTATGGGCTGCACACGACTAGAGGACTTGCTGTAGATAATTCAGGTTATGTGCGATGGGACGAGGGGAGGTCTGCTGCGAGGTTTGATGGAATTACTAATGATTATGTTATGAATTGTCGGAGGGCCATATCTGATTCATAACTATCGTGCTGATTTATTACAAGCGTCTTAAACACTATTGAATACCACGGAGAGGGGTTTTAATAGGAAATACTGTAGTTCCGTGGAATCTAGACGATGGGTGTACATGGCTAAAATTTCATGCGACAATAATGACACGAAGGGGCATACCGTATCGCTCGTCTGAACACGTTGGCATTTAAACACTCGATTTCCACGCTCACTACAAACAAACGTGAAATATTTGTCTTTGACCTCTGAATTGCCTTTTATTGACAAAACGGCCTGGGCCAATGGACGGGCCGAAATCGAGGCATACACGATATGTCATTGCCTAATGGATCGAAAATGGATGATCACGTGTGCACATGATATTAGTACGATCAGGACCAATATCGGTGCTTAAAAATTACAAAATAGGGGTTTTAAATAGGCTGTTATGGTACGGGGTGAGGTATTAAAATAATAGGACGATACTTTGGAAATCGAAAAAAAGGTTAATTTACTGAAGTGATAAGCCAATACCGCTCGGGCAGGTCGGGTCTCAGTTGGATGTGCATGGAGGCAACAAGTTGACATACGAGTTCCCACTCTAATCGGCCATGATAATATATTAAGTCCAAACATATCAATAGCAATATTACGCAATTCTAGGTATGATTCAGCCTCTAAGTTTTTAATAACATGTGGTTACAGTCTATAGAACCGACACCGATAGACTGTAGAACAGGAAGAGCGTAATGGCTTTAACCCATTACCTCAAAGACCAGTATCCCCCTACGTCCAGCCATAGTCTGACTTAAGCCTCGCACAAAATCCACCAATAACTTCTAGATTTACTTCTCCCTTGAAATTCCGCCTGTCATTGAAGCAACAGAACTGTACCGAACCCTGAAATTAAAAGTTGAACGTCATACTCCGCAGGAGAATTTAACCATTTCAATTCAATCAGATTTGCCCTGTACTTACCTGCCTTCAACTAGTGAGTTCTTATCCAGACTTCAAGAGTTGCCCCAGATTATAGTTTATTCAAACCCGCTGCGCTCGTTGAATAATAAACCCGCTGCGCTCGTTGAATAATAAATCCGCCACGCTCGGTGAACTACAACCTCACTGCTCTAGGTTTACAGGCTATAATACATTAATGATACACGCTACATACCGCGGAAGGCGTTGTTACTGGCTCTTCTTCTGCCGTCGAATCTTTGCTGGGTTCTGCCCTTGTCGACCCCCTCCTCCTCAAAGCGCACTTTTGGCTTCTTGTGCTCCTTCTTCGGAATGAAGGTCATCTCGGCCTCGCCCCTGGCATGGCGTCTCAACTTCGTATCGCCCTTCTTCAGCTTCTCAATCTTGGACACTCTGTCGTGATGCTTGACCTGAGAGCCGAAAGACTTGGACTTGGCCGACTTGCCGCGCGTCTGGTTGACCTCGTTCGTCGACAAAACCTTCATCTCAGACATGAACTTTGCGGCATCTTCGCTCTCTTGCTTTTTGCGGCGGAGCTTCTCCAACTGCTTCTGGACCTTGGCCTGCTGGGCCTCTTTCTGGGCTCTGGAAACGTGATCATCTTCACTGTCGCTCTCCTCTTCCTCAGACTCTTCATTGTCACTTCTGGCGTACTTTCCGTGTGAGTTCATTCTCTCATCGTCGGAGTCTTCTGCGGCGGTCTTACCTCTTCTTTCGCTAACAGGTCCAGACACATCCTTGACGGCCTTGACCGGGTTCAACTGCTTATAGTCGTGAGACTCCTCATCAATAGCAAACTCCTCGTCCTCAAAGACCTCCTTGAAACGATCATCGTTAACAAGTCTGTCCACAGCCTTGGAGCCAGACTTTTCCTGCAATTTCGTGACAAAGTCCTTGTTGACCTTGACCTTCGTGTGCTTGACCGCACCCGTGGATCTGATACGCGATTCTCTCTCCTTCTCAATCTTCTTCTTGATCTCACGCTCTCTCTCGTCCCTGTACGAGTTCGGATTGGCAATCAAGTTCACCTTATCATACAAGTCGGAGTTGATGAAGTAACCGTGCATATAGCCCTTCAACACGCCCTTGCTGACCAAATGGGCAATATTCAACTTGGTCACATCCTCTCTGGTGATGAACCTGAAGTTGGAGTACGTGGTGTTGGTTGGTTTTTCCTCCAACTCTTCGGTGATGTTGTCCAAGAACGAGCACCAGGCCGGCGCTGGCCCGATGTTAGGTACATAGAAGGTGTGCATCGGCGCTCCTTCATTCGCCATAAAGAACATCCCAGAGTCTGGGACGTACTCAATGTCGTTGATATCCACGTCTGGCTCCATGGAGCACACAAACTTCCCGTCGGTTCTGTCCCAGACCTTGGCAATCTTCTTGTCACAGGTCAAGAAAAGATCAGAGTTACTGCTGTTCTCGTCTAGCCAGATAATCTTGTCCACGGCATTCCCGAAACCCTGGTCGCGCATGAGCAATGGGGTGGCTGTTCTCAAATCGTAAAGGAGGGAGTAGCCATCGGAGGTACCGCATGCAAAGTTAAGCCCGTCGTTTCTGAACGCGGTGGTGCTGACCTGTACCGGCGCATTACCGCTCAACTGGTCGGAAACCATCAACTTGGCGGCTCTCTGTCTGCTTCTGGAGTCCCAGAATTCGACCGTCCCATCCTCCAAACCCGCCGCCACCAAGCCGTGAACCGGGTTGATCGACACGTGGTTCACGCCCTGGGTGGTGTCAAGCACGTATGGGTTGAGAAAACGGCCCTGGTCCAAGTTCAAACGGTAAATCTCGTTCCCAGAGGCACCCACCAACAAGTCCGCGCTCGCAGCGTTGTATGCCAAGCTCCTCCCGAAGGTCGGGATACGCGAGCGGTAGTGGATTCCGCCCTTGGAGTGGAACTCGATCGATCTGTCATTCTGCAAGTGAACGGACTTGGTCCAATCGGCGGATGTGATGACAAAGTCCACATTCTCGCTATCGGTGTGTCTGTCGAACTTGAGGGATAAGTTTTCAAAGTCGTACACATGGATCTGAGGCTTGTAGGTACCGGTGGCCATGGCAAACTGGCCATCTGGGGAAACCTTGATTCTGTTGGAAGCCTCACTGAACTCAAAATCCTGGATCAACTCCACGCGTGTCTGGTACTCCAAATCATTCTTCAACGCCTTCTTACGCTTCTGCGCAATCCATTCGGGAAGCGAACGCGAGACATTGGTACCGGAGATCTGGTACACGGAAACACCGTCCAAACCGTTAGATGTGGATTTCAAAACCATTGTGAATGGGGGTATGGCAAAAAGAGTTGGGCTGAGAGCTGACGCAAATAAATTTTCATGGTGCATAGAAAATTTGAAAAGAACCAGATTATGTAAGCGATGAGCCGCCGCAGCCGCCTCCCATACTGGCAACACTATTGTGAACAGCAAGCCTCTGGGGCCGTATAGCGTAGGTTTTCAATCAGGAATATAGTTGGTGCCGTCTAATGTCGGTGACAACTGGAAAAATCGACTTGATCAGCTGATAGCTTCCTTTACGGGGAGCCGCCTCCCAGACAAGGTGTAGGCTTGAGCGCCGGTCATACTAGCCTTCTCATGTGATTATATAAGCTGCGATGAGGCGCCGCAGGAAGAGCGGCGGTAATAACCCTGGGCCAAATGGCGGAGGGGTCCATATTCCATCTTCTACGGTGTTGTCGCGTTATGGAGACCGAGGGATAGTACCGTCCACCTGAAATTTCAAGCTGAGAATAGATGAGCTGTAGTGTGATGGTGGGTAGGTTCCGCCTGCACTCCAGGTACAACGACAATCAGTAAAAACCATCTTAACTGGACAGGGATTCATTTATAAGCTGTATACTGCCGTTACTGAGCCTGCGTATTGCACCTGCATCTGTTATATATTTGTATGAAAACCCGTCGCTTGCAGGGGGTGAATAAATTTCAGTGAGAAATGTCGAATACTCTGGATACAGATGGTCCTTACCAGCGGGAAGCCAGAGAGCTATGACGCAGCGTATTCAAACTCCAACTGTGCTAGAATTCAACTAGGCAAAAACATACAACCCGACGCGGGGGTCGAACCCGCAACCTTATGATCGCGTACTGCTAAGAGTCACACGCTCTACCGATTGAGCTAGCCAGGCTGCTATAAACAGCGAGATGGGCAGATGGGTAATAGCGGGCATGAATAGGTAAACTTACGCTTAGTTTAACACCGTCCATTTTGGGAAACAACCAGAGTACAGTAAGTGGCCAGCCTGGATAGCTCCATCGGTGAAGCGTGTAGCCTCCTTATTCATTGACACTATGAGACGGGACTAGTCCAAAATGCCAATTAGCGAAACCTCTCAATCCGAATCCTACTTGACTGTAACGAAAACATCTAATAAACAGAAACAAAAACAATATACAACGGAGCTGCCTCCAGGAAGTAAAAAAAAAAAGACGGCAAGCTCACCTCTTGGAAAGAAAACTCTAAGTTCTCAGGCGTCAACTCTTAGTATAAACCTTCGGAGTTGTCAACAACACAACCAGGCATTTCCCCTTCTCTGGCCTCCAACTGACCAATAGTATACACAGTCTCACCCTCTGCAGTCAAGTTAGCAATCACCTCCGCCACGTTCTCTGGCTTGACAATGAGCACCATGCCCACACCCAAGTTGAAGGTCTTCAAGATGTCTTCGACCGGAACACCACCGGCCTTACCGAACCACTTGAAGATTTCTGGCACGACAAAAGTGTTCATGTCGATTCTAGCGGACAAGTGCTTTGGCAAGGCACGAGGAATGTTCTCCACGAGCCCACCACCGGTGATGTGGGCCAAGCCGGTAATCAAGTTCGCCTTCAACGACTTCAACAACTGCTTGACGTAGATTCTGGTTGGAATCAACACTTCCTGGCCAATGGTGGTGGTGTCGTCCTCGACCCACGGAGCCTTGTCGAAGTACGAAGCACCGGACTTCTCGATGATCTTTCTCACAAGCGAGTACCCATTGGAGTGGATACCGTTAGACTTCAACCCAAGCACAACATCGCCCACGGCCATGCTCTCCATCTTTGGCAAGATCTGGTTCTTGTTGACGGCACCGACAGCGGTACCGTTGGTGTCGTAGTGACCAACCTCGTACATGCCCGGCATCTCTGAGGTCTCACCACCGACCAACGCACAGCCGGCCTGGATGCACCCATCAGCGACACCCTTGACGAACGAGGCGGCAACCTCGATGTCCAACTTCCCAGTGGCAAAGTAGTCCAAGAAGAGTAACGGCTCCGCCCCCTGGACAACCAAATCGTTAACGTTCATGGCCACCAAGTCGATCCCCACGGTATCGTGGATGTTCATAATCTGCGCGATTCTCAACTTTGTGCCCACACCGTCGGTGGCGGCCACGAGCAAGGTCTCGTCGGTCTGGTAGCCCGCGGCCTTGAGGTCAAAGACACCCCCAAACCCACCAATGTCAGAGTCAGCCCCCGGACGGGCAGTGGACTTGACCTTTTGCTTGATCTGCTCAACAAGCAAGTTACCGTTGTCCACGGAGACACCAGCCTCGGCGTAAGTGATACCCGTGGAGACGGTCGCAGCGTCTCTAAAGGCTCTGTGGGCAATGTCGGTTCTGTTGTACTTACCAGCAAAGGAAACGTGTTCAACCCCGACGTAGGCCTTCCTGACAGCCTCCTCCAAGGTGGCGGCGGTGGCGGTGGCGGCAATGACACGGCCACCGGCGGTGACAACCTTGCCATCCTTGGTAGTGGTACCGGCATGGAAGATGTAGGTGTCTTTTGGAAGCGGGAGCTTGACAGTGATCTCATCGCCCTTGGTGTAGGCCTCTGGGTAGCCCCCGGCGGCCATGACAACGGTGGTGGCAAACTTGTTTGGCGTGATCTTCAAGGTGACAGAGTCCAAACGGTGTTCGGCACACGCCAACAAGACCTGGGCAAAATCGGTGTCGTCGCTCAACAATGGCAACACGGTCTGGGTCTCTGGGTCGCCAAATCTGACGTTGTATTCCAAGCACTTTGGCCCGGTCTTAGTGACCATGATCCCGGTAAAAAGGACCCCGACAAACGGGAACCCGTCGCGTCTCATTCCGTCGATGGTTGGCTGCAAAATGCTGTCTCTGATCTCTTGGATGAGCTGTGGGGTGGCCAACGGCGCTGGGGCGTAGGCCCCCATACCGCCGGTGTTCAAGCCAGAGTCGCCGTTGCCGATTCTCTTGTGGTCTTGGGCTGGCGGGAGGTCGATCTGGGTGTACCCATCGGAAAAGGACAAGATGGATAACTCGTCACCTTCGAGGAACTCCTCCACTACAACTTCGTCACCGGCGGAGCCAAACGCACGGTCGATCATGATCTCTTTCAACGCGGCGTAGGCCTCCTCCTTGGTCAGGGGGATCAACACACCCTTACCAGCGGCGATCCCACTGGCCTTGATGACCACGTTGTGGGGCACAGATGCGACATAGTTCTTGGCCTGCTCGTAGTCGGTGAAGTTTTGGAAAGCGGCGGTGGGGATGCCGTGCTTCTTCATAAAGTCCTTGGAGAAGGTCTTGGACCCCTCCATGACCGCTGCCTTGGCAGAAGGCCCGAAAACCGGGATCCCGACCTTGGCGAAATGGCCCGTGATGCCCTCTACGAGCGGCTGCTCTGGACCGGGCACGACCAAGCCAATGTCGTGGGTTGTGGCAAACTTGACCAATGCCGGGAAGTCCGCCTGGGACGAGCCAATGGCGATGTTTTCCACCTTGGAAGAGAGCTGGGTGCCGCCATTACCTGGTGCGACGTAGATCTTGGCCACAGAGGCGGACTGGGCCAAACGCCAGACGAGGGCGTGTTCGCGGCCGCCGTTACCAACGACTAAGATGTTCAAGGACATGGTATGAAATGTATATGCCGGGAGTGTGATACGTAAAGGTGTAGATGCGGAAGAAGAGTGTATTTAAAGGAAGGGTGAGTGGTAAGCTAGGCGCCAAGCAAAGCGACGCAGAGTGATGGCTAATTAATTATCTGTGCAGGGGACAAATTTTTCTGACTCGTGTAACAGCCGCAAAGGATGCAGGAGAAGGAGTCAGGAATACGGGAGGGCAGAGCGACTCTGGTAGAGCTAGATGCAGGATAATAGGAAGGTAATAGATGGTGTAATAGGAATAAATGCAGGAGAAATGTAAGGGCCTAAGTAGAGGGAACGGTTGGTGTGTGGTTGGTGTCAGATCTCAATGGATGTGTGGCTGGAGGCTTGGTTCGGGGGTTTTTTTTTCTTCAAAAAGGATTGGTTTTTTTTCTTCAAAAAAGATTAGGTTATTACTTCAACTCGGTCATTGGAAATAGCTCAACAACATGCGACTAACAATATTACCGAAGTTTTGATCGCTACCTCGTGTACGACTGGGAACGAGATGTTTAAATATCGGCAGCTTGGGAGTTCATCTACCCTTCCATACATTAAATTTATTATCATACACTTAGAACAACCCCAAGAGATCGTCGTTGGTCTTCTTACCGTTCCCCAAACTCAAGTTACCCACGCCGCTGTCAACGCCGGAGCTTCCAAACAAACCCAAGATATCGCTGTTGGCCAGAGGCGCCTGGGAGGAGGAGCCAAACACATCGCTCAATTCGTCGAGAGAGGAAGCAACCGGGGCTGCAATCTCTTCGTCGTCGCCAAAGTCCAACAAGTTTTCAGACTTGGCGTTGGCGACGATCTCACGCTTCGCCAACCGCTCGATCTCTTCGATGTTATCGGCACGCAAGATCTTGGCCTTGGCAATCAGACTAGTAAAGGTGTAGGACGGCTTGTGGTAGACCGAGGCTAAAGTGCCCAACTCGCTAACTAACTCGGCCAACAACGCGGGCGTAAACAGGGCGATAGTGGATGGAATCGGCGGCAACTCCGTGTTAAGGAGCACCTTGGCCGCGAGGCCGGAGTCGGACGACAAAAGCCGCCAGTAGAGGTATGCCTTGTCTCTGACGTCGGCGTTTTCTACGTCGCTAGTGGCGCAGTTCAAAATAGACTGCAAGTAGTTGCCGGAATTGGCCGTCGGAGCCCGCAAGTTGGTTTTGACAATGGCATTCAACGTCGCGAGCTGGACCACGGATGTCTCCTCTAAGAAGCCCTCCGCCAACTTCTGCAAGTGGCGGTCCAACCGGGTGAACTTCTGGGGGTATTCGCCCAAGATCCAGATGTATGCAGCTGTGGCTTCTGCGTCATCCAAGCTCTCCCAGTTGGCACTGACCACCGGAACGATGGCATCCACATATTCAGTGGTCTTGTAGCGCCTCAAGAGGTCGCGGAAGACCTTGACAGCCTCTGCCACGACATAGTCGCCACGCTGGTTGACCAAAAAGTTCAACAACTCCACGGCCTTCATTGCGTGGTCTGGTAGCTTGATGGCCACCTGGGCGATGGCAGACACTGCGCGCTTGACAAGGTCGGCATCCACCTCCATGGCGTACTCCTTCAATTCTGACAACAACAACGGCGCGTTCTTGTCGTTCGCAAGACGGACCATGATCTCCAACTTCTCCAACTTGAGATACAACGGGTCGCTGTACTTTACGTAGAATACGCGCAACTCACGTGAGAGCAACTGTGGATACTTTTCGAGAATCACGCGGATGTTGCGGATCCCCACGTATTGCGCTTCCGGCGACGTTGACATCAACGCCACAAGAGGCGACGACAACTTCTTGAGGTACATCTCGTACTCGGTGGATGAGAGCTTTTCTATGTGGGAAATCACCGTTTTGATCCCCGCGAGCACCACCGCGGTGTTCACGTGCTGCAACTGGGGAACCACCCGTTCGATGATGTGGTGGGCCTCCGCCTGGTCAACCGATTCGTACTCGGACAAGGCGGACAAGATAGTGACGCGCCCCCACTCGGTGCACTCGTTCAACGCGAGAAGCAACTTCTTCAACACCTTGGAGGTGATCTGAAAGCACTGCGTGGAAGGGTCCGACTCCTGGATCTCCGCCAACGCCGACACCGCGTTCGCCACAACCATCGGATTGGGGTCCGCCACGAGGTCTTGCAACGCCTGCAAGAAGCCCTGCTCCACACACATTTCTGGGTTCAAGTCGAACAATTTTGCCACACAGATCGCCCCGGTCTTGCGGACGTACGGATTGTCGTCCTTCAACGTGCGTTTCAACGGAATATCCATGTAGTCGACCATTTTGTCGACGCGGATGCAGCCCATGGTGCGAATGGCGAGCGCGCGCACCAACGGGTTGGGGTCCTCGGTGTCCTGGACGAACGTGTTGACCGCGAGAATGCACAACTCCGGGTTGGTCTTGGCGTAGTTCATGAGGTAGAGGTACACGAGCTTCTTTTGCTCGATGTCGTGGGTGGCAATATTCTTCAAAACGTCCGGGAACAAGGCGCTGACGTCCTTTCCTACGGTCATTGCCGCAATCACGCGCTGGATCGCGTCCTTGCGTTCGTACGCGTACTGGCTGACTAGGCCAGTACGCAATTCAAAGGACTCACCCTTGCGCGGCGCCTTGAACAATTTTCTCAAGCGGGCTTCAAGCGCGGAGGACATGTGAAGGAGAAGGTAAGGACTCTGGTCTGAGGGTGTATGTGTCGAAGGCTCTACCTAGGTCTGTGACAAGATCTGGATGACTCTGGCGATTAGAATCTGAATCAAACACAATACCGGCAAAAACAACAACAACCAATTTACAGCTTTTGTTATTGCAGAATAGGTTGTGTATTTAACCAATACGGATAATAAGGGAGGATATGCTCCAGGGGGGGTTGGTGGATGGGTTGTTTTTGCACTAACCGCCCGCAGCCAATACGTGTTGTGATTTTTCGCCGGAAAAGACGTGCGCGGGTAAAGTATGTGCGGCGCCTCCCGAGTCGCTGTGACGGTAACGGAGAATGAGCAGCGGGGGAGTTCTCAATCGGTGATGAGCAGGGAGTTCTCAATCGATGATGAATGGGGGGAGTTCCCGGTCGATGATGAGCGGAGGGACTTGGGGCACGGAATAGTTTTAAAGAGACCATTGAAAAGTTATAGAGACTACAACCCAGTTCTATTCAGATTGGCTTTCTCATCCCATCGCTCTTAATCCACCGAGATTGTTGGTTGATCTTCAAGCTCTCAATCAGTATTTGAATTGGCTTTCATTTCATCCGTTGCCGTTTGAAACACAGACTTGTCCATTGAATTAATTTATTTGGAACCCTACAACCAAAACCCTTTTTTTTTTCAATTCCCATTCACATGCCCATCGATCTTGGCCTTCAGCGAATCTCCCTCCTCTTGCTAAAGTTGGGTAACCCCCAGCTATCCTGGAAAACGGTTCACGTGGCTGGAACCAACGGTAAAGGCTCGGTGGTGGCGTACCTCTCTCTGGTTCTCACGAGCTCCAGTTACAAAACCGGACGCTTCACGTCTCCACATTTGATCCGCAAGGCAGACTGCGTGTGCTTAAACAACGTCCCGGTGCTGGACCAGACATTTGCACTGGCGGAGCGGCGGGTGCTTTCTGTTAACGAGGTTGAAAAGATTGGAGCAACGGAGTTTGAAATCTTGACCGCCACGGCGTTTGAGATCTTTCATTCGGCCAGGGTGCAGTTTGCGGTCATTGAAGTGGGTCTTGGGGGCCGATTGGATGCCACAAACGTAATCCCAGGTGCGAATGGCGGGCTTGGGGTAGTTGCAACGGGGGTCACAAAAATTGGGTTGGACCATGAGGGAATCCTCGGCAACACCATTGGTGAAATTGCCTGCGAAAAGGCCGGGATTGCCAAGCAGAACATTCCCATGGTTGTGGACGCTACCAACGAAGTAGAGGCTCTCGCTTCAATCACCAGAGTTGCAGGTACCCACAAAGCCCCAATAACTAAATCGGTTCCCGATCTTTCCACCGTCACGGCCTTTGGTGACTTGTCCAACTTGCGGTCGCCGCTCCTTGGGGAGTACCAGCTTGCAAACCTTATGGTGGCGTTGAATATCCTCCAGGTAATTCTCCCCGTTGCCCCGCAAATCACTCCGCAGCTGGTTATAGCGGGCGTGGAATCGGTTCAGTGGCCGGGGCGTCTACAAAAGCTTACGCTATACTACAGACAGAACACGCCAGGCTTGCCTTTGCTCCTAGACGGGGCACACAACGGTCAGTCTGCGGTGGAGTTGTCTAGGTATTTGGCTAAAAACAGAGAGGAGGGGCTTACCTTTGTGATTGCGATTACCAGGGGCAAGTCGCTAGCGCCGTTGCTCTCGAACTTGCTCCAACCGCAGGATAAAGTGGTGGTCACCCTGTTTGGCCCGGTCGATGGCATGCCGTGGATCGCGTGCATGTCCCCGGCGGAGTTGCGGCTGGAGGTGTGCAGGTATGTCGCGCCGGAGCGGGTGTTTGTGTGTGAGAACCAGGTTGCGGCGTTGGACAAGGCCCGGGAGTTGCACAGAGGGGTGGTTGTCTGTGGGAGTTTGTACTTGGTGGGGGACTTGCTAAGAGCACATGAGCGAGTGCGCAGCACGAATGATGATGCTAGCTCTGGATTGAAAGATGAGAAGACATGAGCGAGTGCGCAGCATGAGTGAGAAGGCTAGTTCTGGAATGAAAGACGAGAAGAATATCGAAAAATGTCAACTGTGTATACGTTCCCTCGGTCGTGGCTACGTCTATAGTAATTTAAGTAAACCTTTGGAAGAGTGTAGAATTTATATTATTGGCTTTAATCATGTTGTACTAGGCATCCGTATACCAAAGAAATTTTTCTTTCAGAGTTGGCTGTAGATGCCCGCGATTTGATATTCATTTATGTTTATAACAATGGTAGTGTACCTATCCCTCACCTTTGAAGATGAAATTTTACCGGTTTAGGCCTACACTGCATTCTTTTGTGAGATTTATCGTATAGGGACCTCATTGCCAATAGCATAATCTACAGGCTGCTTATTGCCTTGAATGGTGAAGCTTCCTTAATGCAAATGCCTATGAACGCCGATATGCATCCTGCGACCACGAAAGCCGCACCAAAAGCAAGAGGCTCAATCGCCGCGCATGCAGGAAACGCGCCTAATGAGCAAACCTTCGCTCTTGTCTCGTGAACGATGACGCGCCGCGAAAATATTTCAAGGCCTGTCAACCTAGCCCCGGTGGTTACTTTCTTTCATAAGACAAGGCCTTTGCTCTTAGATCCTTTATACGTGGATCTCCCAGAAGAACAGCCTCCTAGCTCACCCCCCGAATAACCGTGAAATGCCGTCTCACGCGAATATAAGAAAGATTGGGGCCGCGGTCATCATTTTGATCGTCGTCAACTTCATGTTTATCTTCAGGGAAGAAATCACGATGGAACGTGTGAATGATATTGATTTAGGAAAGTTCAAGGTCTGGAACGCCATAACAGGCACCAAGCAAGAAACTAAGATTAGCGCCACCTTCTTCTCCCTTGTGCGCAACTCCGAGCTTCAGGGCATGCTCGACTCTATCAAATACCTCAACGAGCGGTTCGACAATGCCAAATACGGCTACTCGTGGGTTTTTGCCAACGAGGAGCCCTTCCTGGAGACATTCATCGCCGCTGTCCGTTCGGCCTTCACCTCGGGGACTCCCCACTTTGTCCAGATTCCAACCGAATACTGGTCCTACCCCGACTTTATCGACCAGGACAAGGCCGCGAAGGAGCGCGCAAAGCTCGACAGGGAAAGGGTCATGTATGCCAAATCCGAGTCTTACAGACACATGTGCCGCTTCAACTCTGGGTTCTTTTTCGAGTTGGACGTGATGCAGCAGTTCCGCTACTACTGGCGGGTTGAGCCAAACATCAAGTTCCAGTGCGACTTGCCGACTGACTTGTTCCAGGAGATGGCTGATGGCGGATATGTCTACGGCTGGACCATGTCCATGCCTGAGGGGCGTAAGACGGTCGTCGGCTTGTGGGAGGCGTCGAAGAAGTTCTTCGAGGAAAACCCGTCGTATGTTCACCCGAACAACTCCATGCAATGGGTTTCTAGTTCCGACGGCTCTGAGTACAACATGTGTCATTACTGGTCGAACTTTGAGTTGGGCGACATGGAGTTCTTCCGTTCTGATGCCTATAGAGAGTACTTCAAGGCGTTAGACCGCACCGGTGGTTACTTCTACAGCCGCTGGGGTGACGCGCCCGTGCATTCCATTGCAGTTTCCTTTCTTGCTGACAAGCTGAAGATCAGGCACTTTGACAACACCGGCTACTATCACAAACCCAACCAGGGGTGTCCGATGGACGACCAGTTACGGAAGGACTTACACTGTGACTGCGAGCCCACCAAAGAGTGGACATGGCATAAATTCAGCTGCACCCAGCAGTTCTACAAGCTCTCGGGGCTCGAGATTCCCAAGTTGGAGCCGTACAACGAGCTTAACCGGAGGAGAATGTTGGATGAGTTTTTGAATGCGGAGGAGGTCTCCCAGTACGAGGGTCGAGAGTGGGTCTAGAGCATGAAAGAATACTAGCGCCGAAGAATATTATGTAGACTAGATGCATCCTCCCCGATAGCTTTGTTATCCATGTAACAAGCTTGGTGTGGACCGGCGCTATCTTTGGGAACGTGGTCGGTGCGGAAAGAGCGGCCCAGAGACAATTCAACGGCTCAGTTTTCTTTCCATCTGCAACTACGATAGGAACAGCACGAACCATATTTAGATAAAACATTATTACGGCTGATACAAACATTCAAATGTACCCTACCCCTTAACCTATGAACCCGGTAAATCCGTACTGGGTCCCTTTCGAGTTCACTTGGTTGCGTGCACCGCCCAACTGTTTGCACCTCCCACGACCGCGACTCCACTCAAATTCGCCTTGTCTTGTTCTTTCTCCACCCCCTCATCGTGCCTCCCCACCATGTCATTCTTAAAATTACTCAAGTTCTACTCCAAGACCACACTCGCGCTTTCCATCTTCACTGTCTGCGCGGTGTATGGTGTTGCGGCGTCAGTCGTACTCACGCTCGTCGGGAAGCGTCACTTGGCACAATGGACAGTTGCACGCGCCTTCTACCATATGTTCTCGACGTGCTTGGGAATCCGGATCCGCTTAGTCAATGGCGAGACATTACTGCAGGTGCTGCCATCGATTATTTTGGGCAATCACCAGTCTGCGTTGGACATTTTGATGTTGGGACGGACCTTTCCTAAGGGCTGCACCGTCACCTCCAAGCGCTCCTTGCAGTACATTCCGCTCCTTGGTTGGTTCATGACCTTGTCTGGGACATTCTTTATCGATCGCGGAAACTCCACTAAGGCGCGTGAGACATTACGGAAGGCGTTGGACAAGTTGCGTGCAAACAAGCAGTCCGTGTTTATATTCCCAGAGGGCACCAGATCGTACGCCACGGAGCCGGAAATGTTGCCGCTCAAGAAGGGTGCCTTCCACTTGGCCGTGCAGGCAGGCATCCCAATTGTACCATTGGTGATGGCCAACACCAGCAAGTTGATTAACTTCAAGAGAAAGGAGTTCAACCGCGGTGAGATTGTCATTGAGGTATTGAAGCCGATCGAAACGGCGGGCATGACGGCCGAGGATGTTAATAAGCTTGCCGAGGCCACCCTGACAGCCATGGAGGAGTGCTGCAAGCGTTTGGGATACGCCGGGGAGAAGCCGAAAGAGGAAGAGCCGACGTCTGCCAAGACCTCCAGCTTCGAGGCGAGCGAGAGCACCACTTTGCTGTCGCAATAGAAGACCAATGCTGTGTGGCGAGGAGATTCAGGAAGTAATGGAGCATCTTCAAGGCGACAGAGTGGCGTATAGCATAAGGTGTAGAGGTTGAGAGTTGGGTGAAAACAGGAAAACGTCAGTGTTGTCTTTGCATCGTGTTTCATGTAGGTAAGCATGTTGATTGGCAAGAAACATGTGTTTGTACTCAAAGGAAATATGCTATATACGATGCTGTAGGGTACTGTCTGGCTTTGAAACATCCATAGGAGGCTATTAATGCTCATACCACCGAGTATGCATCAAGGTTGTAAGAGCACAAAGTCCCCGTTTGCTGGCTGGGACTCGACATGAACAAATGGTATTCCGAGATCTAGCAATACTTGCGATCTCTTGGCTTTGAGTTTGGGTACCTTCAACGTGTTCTACTCATTGACGTGCTTACACCTCTATTTCATCCGTTCATTAATTTTTATACAAACAATGTAAGAATTTGCCAGAGTCCACGCCACTTTAACTTCGAATCAACAAACCTGAATTTTCTCTAGGAACCATCTCATTGATTCAGACCCAAGCGCACCACGTTCATCTCTTGGTTTCACAATAATTAGCGGTGAAAAAAGTGATCAATAACTCCAAAGGCACGTAATAATCAAGTTGTACCTACGGATACTGAGACGTCACAAGTCTCACACTAGGGCTTCAGGGCCGAGCCCCCGTTTATCAGCTTTCGATAATTTACAGCTTAAACTGAAGGGCTAAATCGTAAATGCCATTAAAACACCGAATCAACTAACTAGCCCGCCCCTATTGTCGTATCGGATCATTAACCCTGATCCCAGAGCTCCATGCGTCATGCACTCTAAAATAGGGCAGCCTCACCCGAGCTCTGTAGCAACCATATAGACATTGGCCATATCCGGCAATTTGAATGCATCCCAAATTAGGCAGTCAGCGAGCTCCGCCTACAGGACATTGCCTCAATATAAGACCTCAGCGACTTGACTACCTTGCCCACTTGTTCTTCCTCTCCACACCATGGGTATTTTCGACAAGTTACAGAAAGATTTCAAGGAATTCGTGCACTCGCTCACGACCGACGACCACTACGCGTCGTTTGACTCGCCGTACGCCAACGCCAACTCCGACAGACGCCCGCTCACCGCGGCGCTTAACTCCTCCAACTCCAACAACGCGCTGAGCACGTCCTTAAACGGGCCGGTCGCGTATAGACCGGGCTTGCGCTCACAATTGGCGCACAACGGCTCAGATGTGCAGTTGCAGGACTACGACAGCGGCGAACCGCCATTGCCGTCGATGGAATCGATCTGGGATCGCTTGGATCGCTGGTTCGAGGAGGAGTACCCGGAATTGGGCGACAATTTGCAGGAGGGCGCCTCTGCCGCCGATTTGAATGAGTTTGAGAACGATTTGCGCTGCTCATTACCGTTGGACGTCAGACAATCGTACACCATCCACGACGGGCAGGTGCGCGGAGGGCAGCCTACCGGTGCTTTCATGGGGCTCACGTTTTTGGATCTCGAGGGTATTTTCGAAGAGGCGCGCATCTGGGAGCGCGTGGTTGCGAAGATTGAGACGCTGAACCTCGCGAGCCACGCACGCGCGTCAACATCAGAAGACGCGCGTGCGGCAAAGCCAAAGGCCAGACAGCAGATCGACTTCCAGGCCAACCAGACATCTGTACCAGAAGGCCACATCCAACAGGTGTACGCCCACGCCGGATGGATCCCGTTGGCAAAGGACTGGGCGGGGAACAACGTCGCCGTTGACTTGGCCCCGGGCCCAGAGGGCCGCTGGGGGCAGGTCATCCTCTTTGGCCGCGAGTTTGACCGCAAGATCGTGGTTGCCAAGTCCTGGACCGAGTTTTTGTACCACTTAGTGGAAGACTACGAGGATGGTAACTACTTGGTGGACGATGAGGATGAGAGCTTGTGGTACAAGTTCCGCGGCTCACCAGCGTCGTACATGGACATTTTGACAAAGAGGGTGGTTGGGATTCAGAAGATTAATAACCAGACTCCGACCCCGAAAGTGGAGACGGGGGTTTCGTTGAGACAGGCCGCGACAGTCGCGTCGGCGAATAGCAGAGTGGAGGTTGACTTGCCAAAAGTTTCCCTCCTCGCGGAGACGTCGAAGCCATTGGCGGGGTCCTTGATTGATGAGCCAGAGCAGCCAAAGGAGGAGTCGTTGGCTGAGTCCTTAATCGATGAACCAAAGGTGGAGAAGAAGGAGCCGTTAATTGAACCCTTGGTCGATGAGTCAAAGAAAGATGACGTTAAGGAAGTGAAGACTGAGCAGGTGAAGACCGAGCAGGTGAAGGAGCCGGTGGTTCCATCGGACGATCTTGACAGTCTCGACGAGGACTTGAATGAAACCGAAGCGGTTTCCAAGAAGTTGGAAGAAGTTGCCTTGTAAGGTAGCGTGTATATTAATATAAATTTATTACATCGGGTGTAGAAAAGACAATCCTGGCGGCCATACACATGAGTGAACAAAGCAAAAACCATTTGATCGTCTCTTGAGCGGTAAATCAAGCTTTATCGTGGGATTTCTATGGCTTTGTGTGGCAATTGGATCTGACAACAGGTTCAATCGTCAATTGCCATTTTTGCGGGATGTGTGAGTGGCGCTCGATATCCCATTTGGCTTACCTTTTAACATATCAAGTTTTCGTTGTAAGCATAAGGAACCTGAAAACAATGAGACAAAAAAGATTCCCTAGACATCCTAATTGAATCTTATAAAATTATTAAATTATAAATGATAATGGGTCTTATTGAACTCTCCCCCATACAATGCATTTTTTCTCCTATTCCTCTTGCCTAACCATCCTGCATACTCCTTATAACTGCAAACTCCCGAAGCAAACCAACCGCACCATCTCTTTTTCCCATAACTATGGACGATTCCCTCCCGAGACGTAACCGCGATAAACGCGTGTTATCAGACAACCCCTCCACAAGCGTCGATGTGCCCACCAACCTCCTCATTGCAATGATCGCGGGCTCCGCTGGGGCAGCCGCCGAATCGCTCCTCACATACCCGTTCGAATGCTACAAGGTCGGCCAGCAACTCCACAAAGCCCTCCCGCTTGAGCCACCATTCCAGGTACCGTCGCAGATAAAGCGGATTTTCGCTGGTTCCGGTTCGTTGGTGCTCGGGAACTCGCTCAAGGCGTCCACGCGTTTCCTTGTGTACAACTACGCGTCCAAGTTCATGGCCAACGACCACGGCAAGACCACTGCGCCGCGCGTGGTGGTTGCCGCGAGCATGACTGGAATCGTGGAGTCGCTCTGGATCATTCCGTTCGAGAACATCAAGACGCTCATGATCCATAACGCATACATTTTGTCCATCCGAGACACGATGGCTGCGAAAAACGGGGTCGATGCCAGGACGTACACCGAGCAGAAATTGGCGGAGTTGCTCGCGGAGCGCAAGCGTGCCCTTGCAAGCGCCGCACTGGCACAGTCCGGTGTGCGCAAAGTTGCCGACACGTTCACGGCGCTTGAGCAGGCGCAACTCAAGTGGTTCAAACTGCCGTCGCAGCACTTCACCAGCTCCATCAAGGAGATTTACGAGTGCCGCGGGGTCCGGGGATTTCTCCAGGGCACAGGTGTAACCTTGCTCCGCCAGACGTGTAACACTGCCGTGTTTTTCTCGACGTATCAGGGGCTTAAGCAGCTCATTTCCCCTACAAGCAGTGCTGCGGGCGCAACTAACTCGCCGGTCATGTCTGCCATTTTGGGAGCGACAGCGGCGGCCGTTGTGGTTGCTGCTACACAGCCCATTGACGTGGTCAAGACCCGTGTGCAGTCCAAGTACGGATACCGCAACTCGATCGATGCGGGATTGCAGCTTGTGCACCAGGAGGGGTTTGCGAAGCTCTGGGCGGGGTGGATGCCGCGTCTTGTAAAGTTTTCGATCAGTAGCGGGATTACCGTGACGGTGTATAACTATGTGAGTGGGGCGTTGACGATGGCGAGCAGGGAGACGCCATTCGCGGCGGATTAAACCACCACGAATCACAGATTGGTTTGTGGAGTAATAGACACCAAGTGGACTACATCCATAATTGTTGAATCACCGCATAAGATACGAACAGGCAAATGGTTGTCTGATGAATAAAATCCCCCCTGATCAGTTTTTAGAGGGTATCTACATTAATGCGTCGAGTATAGCGAAAACACGAGTATTGAAGGTGCATCTAATCATAAAAGTCTTTGAGCAAAGGTATCTATTTGTCCTGGAAGTAGCGGATATACGCCGCCTTTAGTCCGCATCCTCGATCCTTGTCCTCCATTAGAGATCCGAATAGAATCCTCATGGCGTTAACTGAGAGATACAAACTCTGTAAAGGGTGGGATACATATACTTGTTTGCTCGACAACTGGTGAACCAGTCTGTTCCTACTTTGAAAACATGTCAAAAATAGAGCGCTGGCCCCTGGGTAAGGGTACCCTCTTTTTCTTTGCCACCGATTTGGTGACTTTTCGGGGGGAATACTTCGGCGCTACCACTTCCGGAGGAGCAACCAAGTTGGGATTTTTCGGCAACGGAGCCATGGGATCAGCGGTCTCCGCCTCGGACTCCGAATCCTCTTGTACGAAAAGCGGGTTTTCTGGAATCTTCTCCTGTTCTTGCTTCACCTCCTGTTTGACGGCCTCTTCCTCCTTAAACTTCATCAAGTTGAAGATATTTGTCCCCGGTTCTTTCTCTCGCTTGATCATATTCTCTCCATCCGGTCCCAACCTCCCCACCTCCAGTGTCACCTTCCACCACCTAAACATCTCTTGACCCTCATACGGCTTGAGCGCTGCGGATACCTCTGCACTCCATGTCTTCTTGGGATCAAGCCAAGTCTGGAACCTGGTGCTTCCCGGGTCCATTATGAGGGGCGTTCTAGCATGGAGCCATTTTAGATCCTCAATCGCAGGGCCAGTGACCATCGTAAATGACCCGCTTTCACCCTCCCTTCCGGCGTCGTACATCCCTGCTACAAACATTAACTTTCCGTCCTTGCGACTGACATAGTACGGTACCTTTTCGGTCTTTCTACCGCTCCCTGTTCGTCTTTCGATCCACTCAAAGTATCCCATCATTGGGATCATGCACCGACACAGCTCTCGGGGCTGTTTCCAGGTCTTTGCACCCTCATTGATCGACTCTAGCCGAGCGTTGAAGGTTTTCCAGGGCTGCTGTTTGTCCGAGGGACTGCACCACGGAGGGATAAGTCCCCAGTTCATAGTTGTGAGAGTAGCTGTTTCGTTGACGATCATGATAATCGGTGCTGCGTGGGTTGGGCCGAGATTGTACCGGGGGGTGTAAGTGGACACTTGGGGTATCTCCACGTTTAGATTGAGGTCGTCAAAGTAGATTTGCAAGTTCTGGAGCGCCTAAATGGTTAGCATACTGCATAAATGAAGAAAGGGCTGGGTGGTACGACGAACAAAATGCAATACCGGTTGGCAAAAGGTGCAACGCAGCTGGTGATCTGTGGCGGGGTGGGCCGTCCTATTTCCTGGCTAGGTTAGAAAAGTACATACTATGCCCATAGCATATCTACCGCACATCGCACAAGTAGAAATCAGTGCATAACGGACAAGGCCGGTTTCTTGACCCCATAACTGAATCGCCGCTTGGAATATCCTGCCGGTTAACGGATAAAGTGGCTTTTCCCAAAACGGCGATACCTGACAGTTCGCTTCTCGTCATGTGACCATGCGGATTAACCTTTGAATCTATGAGATCATGGATAGTAGGGTAACTCCATCGGTCTATGCACGACATGACATCAAATTGCCTTACATCAAAAGGGTCTCTAGCGTCTAGATGTCTATTCATCCACTCTCCGGTAACAGTTTCACACCCAACCATGCTTCGTAGAATTGCTGGAAAACGCTTTGCCAAGCCTAGCGGTTCCCTGGCCCGCTTTATCAATTACCAGAGCCAATACGCCCAGGCATACCAAATTCCCAGACGGACCTGGCCGAAGAAGCTCGCGATTACGCTCGGGGTACTCTCCGTCGGGCTCGGCGCGGGCTACTACTTCTACTGGCCAAAGCACACATTCCCTACAACTGTCGCCGCAATCCTTCGTAAGGGTCTCTGGGCGGAATCCGACAAGGGTGAATTCGACTTCCAACTCGCGCTTAAATACTATCTCGCGGCGCTCGACGAGTGCCACGAACAGAATGTGAGCCGCCTATCCGACGAGTACACTGGTATCCAGTTGAAGATCGCCGAGATGTACGAACGAATGAACATGACGGAAAACTCGCTTTCTATCTACTCGGAAATCTCTGCTGCGTACATGATAGCGCTCACGTCGCACGGCATACCGGAGGACCGCAGACCACACATTATCCAGAAGGACTTGCGGTTGGTGATCAAGATGGCGGAGTTGCATAAGGGTGACCCTGCGATCACCAAGGCGATGCTCATGACCCATTTGATGGTGGCCCAAGAGGAGGTGGCCAAGCGCAGCGGGAAGTTGGGAGAGCGCATTCTCCACCAGCAAAACTACAACTCGGCTGCCAATCCGGAGCAGTTTGAGGACCAGGGGGACAGTAGCTTTGCTGCGACGTCAAGCGACTCTGAGATTGTGCTCACCAATGCCGACGAAACCATCACGGCGTACAAGAACCCGCAGGCATGGCTTCCGTTCCGCGACGAGTTGTTCAACGCGCGTGATTTGTTTGTGGCGATCTGCTTGTCACTGGGGGATATTGAGATGGCTGTGCGGTCGAAGTTGATCTCCACAGAGTGGATGATTCTCGCAGAGTGCGACTTGCCCGAGATCTTGATGGCCACGTGCAACTTGGGCTCGTTGATGTACTTGCTCGCCGAGCGGTCCGAGTCGCAGGAGGCGATTTTGCGCAAGTTGCAGACGGAGAAACGGCCGGAGTTCAGCGTGCTGGAGCTTGCAGAGGCGGTCAAAAATCGAGCCTACACCCTAGGTGAAGCGAAAAAGTGTTACACCTCCGTATTGGCGAATGCCAAGATGATTCCAACCAATGAACGGTACAACACGTTGGACGAAGCGATCGGGTTGGCGACGTATGGTTTGGGAGTTATTCATTTACACGCGGGTGAGTATGCGGAGGCCAGACAAATGTTGAGACAGGCGCGGTTGAGAGCCAAAGGAAGTGGGTTTGACTCGTTGGTTCAGGAGGCGGAGCAGGAGTTGGCCAAGGTGGATGAGGAAGAGGCGAAGGAAATGGTCCAGCCAGAAACGGCGTTGGCTTGAAGCTGACCAAAGCGACGATCCTGTTTTTGCTTCTGTACTCGCTCTGTATTTTCCGGAGATTGCATTCCGCGTTAACTCTCTGATCTTTCTGTTTGGCATCAGTTTATGGCTTTTCTTCAATTTACACGTTGCGGTGTATATAGCTAGCCAAATGCACTATGCCTAACACTAGTTTCTCTGGCTGTTACCTCTTTCCGGACTAGTTTACCGGATCTCATACACCTGAGCGTAGCTAATCCTCGTATATAGCTACATATTTATTTTACCACGCATTACGATTATCTAAATAGAAGGGCAAGGCTCGGATCGAGTTCTTTCCATAGTTGTAAGCACTGCATAGATTCGAGACTTCCAAAGAGCCCCTTTGGAAATCCTGTTTGGGTAACAAGTATGTTGCTTATTCTTGTATAGCTTCTGCGGTATACCAAACCGTGAGAAGAAATGGCCATGAGCCCGATTGTGCCTGGACCCTCTGTGAGAAGAGTAATGTTGCACGTACCTGGTAGTATGGAGCTTGTGTTATATAGTTTGTTCTTGATAGATAATTACGTTAATTTGGAGACCCCAACTGGATTGGTTAGTTCTCTTATCATTGATAATTACTACGAGATAACGTAACCGATCATGGAATGTTGGTCGATGTGGAAAATACGGAGAACCCTCAGAGTGTAAACTGATTTTTGACAACCCACAATCAGCCTGGCTAGCTCAATCGGTAGAGCGTGTGACTCTTAGCAGTACGCGATCATATTGTTGCGGGTTTGGCTACTTTTTGTTATTATATTCTGAAAGTATCTTGGTAATGGACTGTGACGTGGAGGAATTACCCCCTACCACTGGTTTAAGTTAGTGTATGCTTTTAAACTTTGATCCAGCTATGTCAATAGTGAAGACATGTTATCGGCCCGGTTTCAAAACGTGTTCTAATTGCGGTCACCCCTCAGCAGGTTGCCGGATTCCCCTCCTTCGACAAAGCTTGAAATTGGTGACTAGACGAAGCTTATCGCTATTTTTACAACATGGGTTGTACCTTCCGGTGGACCGGTTGAGTCGGCCCTCGGATCTGCACCTGCGGCCATGCCATGAATAAAGTGAGTTTCTATCAACACTGTAAACTTGTGGCACTTGCACTTGAGATGGAGAGCAATTGCCCTTGAGCTTCCTGAAAGATTGAAGTGGAGTGGATTAATCATATCGGACCGCTTTTAGTGCTGTCATTCATGCACCGCCTAACTTCGCACTGCATGAAAGCGGCCCCGAAACTATCCGACAACCTCAATTTCTCGCTTCCTCATCTTTCTTTTTTTCACTTCCGCACCTCTCCATTTCCTCAGTTCAAGATTAATTTATCTATAAATTTTTAATGCTGATTAAATCTCCCCGTAGTGCAATTTCTATTCCGAGTAAAATCTAGTCTTCCCCCGCTGCCAATCCCCGGAGCATCCTCCTAGCGCTCATGCAGCAACCAGACGTCAGCTTGCAGCCAGAAAACGCAAGTGAGTCAATAAATAGCAGATAGAAATCCCTGTTTCCTTCTCTAGTATCTATCCATCTTCTCCTTACCCCATCCCTTGATACAATGTCCGACTTTGAAGAATTCAAAACCCTTGAGGAAACGCTCCCAGAAAGCTTGAAACGCTCGACGTCATCCTTATTCGAAACCTTAGTGACTCCTGAGCCCCAGGAGCGCCCTAGAGCCCCGAGGTCCCTTTCCTCGCACTTGCGCTCGCGCTTGGACCTTGATGAAAAAGGAAAGCGTTCCGGCTCGCCTGTGCCGTTGCCACAACCAAAATTCAAGGTCGACCTTAACCTCCCAGCGTTAAACACTAAGCAATCGTCGACCGGTGTGTTGTGGGCCACGGAGCGTGCGAACGAGTACGGGTTCGGAAAAGAGCCGGAGAAGTGGGCGAATTTGGGCCAGGGCTCGCCAGAGCACGGTGACACCATTCCGGGATCGTTCCCTCGCCCAAAGACGATCCCGATCCCGGACATTTCCAAGGGTTACGGACCAACCGCGGGTGTCCACGAATTGCGTGAAGCCGTCGCGAATTTGTACAACCACGAATACAGGCAGCATTTACCCTCCAAGTACACGTGGAAGAATGTGTGTGTCGTTCCTGGTGGCCGTGCTGGTTTGAGCAGAATCGCGGCGATTTTGACCGACTGTTACCTCTCGTTCTTCCTCCCGGACTACACAGCGTATGCCGAAATGCTCTCGTTGTTCAAGAACTTTGCGCCGCTTCCGGTGCCCCTTAAGGAAATTGACAACTATGAGGTGCACTTTGACATCATCCAGGGTGAATTGGAGCGCGGGGTGTCTGCGATCTTGACCTCGAACCCGAGAAACCCAACGGGTCAGGCGATGACCCTGGAGCAGCTCCAAGGCCTTCACGACTTGTGTCGCTCAAAGTGTTTGCTCATCATGGACGAGTTCTATTCGCACTACTACTACGAAAAGTGCGATGGGTCGTCCCTTTCGTCCGCCAGCTACATCCAAGATGTCAACAAGGACCCTGTCTTGATTCTCAACGGGTTGACAAAGCTGTTCCGTCTTCCTGGCTGGAGAACGTGTTGGATCTTGGGCCCAGAGGAGTACATCAACGCTTTGTCCTCCGCCGGCTCGTATCTTGACGGTGGCTCCACCGCGCCGTTCCAGTATGTGGCGGTTGACTTCCTCAAGCCAGATTTGGTGAAACAGGAGATGATGGCGTTGCAGCTCCACTTTAAGATGAAGAGGGACTACTGTTTGGACAGACTCACCAAGATGGGCTTCTCGTTCAAGGACAGGGTGCCGAACGCGACATTCTACATCTGGTTGGACCTCTCGCACTTACCAGGGAAGATTGCCAACTGTTTGGGCTTCTTCCACGAGTGTTTGCATGAACAGGTGATCTGTGTTCCGGGCTTTTTCTTCTTGATCAATCCGCAGAACTTGAGTCGTTTAACGGATGTTATTATGTACAGCTTTGTGCGTTTGAGTTACGGTCCGGAGTTTGAAGAGTTGGTCAAGGGTATGGACGGGATAGAGCGCATCTTGCGCAGATTTCATGCCATGCCAAAGCCGATCGCCTTTGAGGTATAGGATCTGAAATGATCGAATCATGATTCAATACATGTCTAAGGAGGGATTTTCCAGGATGTAGGTGAGTATTTGGACTACAAGGCAAAAAAAAATTGTAGCTAGGTAGGGATCAGAGATGTCGGGTTTGTGAGTGGGATGGGCATTGTGTATTGAGATTAACCTATCAAGTACCAAGAGGTGAATTAGAATGGGAGACATTGGTTAATTAGAAGCGGCATGCCCTGAGTAAACCGATGTTAGAGGGTACAAATCAGCAAATAATGATGTCACTCTATGCGTCGGCGAAACGGGATTACTTTGTCACTTTTGCGATGTGTTAGGATGGTCGGAGGAGTGGAGGCACCGTGCACAAAAGGCGAGGTTGGTAAAATGAGACAATATTGGCGAATATCCAAAGTAAACTCGATAGTTTATTTACGCTGGTATTTAGGAATGGGGCGAATTCGTTAATATGTGAATTGGAACCATGGTCACTCTAGATGCTTATTTCATCTAGAATGTTTCATCTAAAACGTTTCATCTCTGGGACGACAAATCATTGTAAGGATTGCAAAAGGTTTACCAGGGCAAATGCTCACTAGCAGACCCAAATCTGTACGATAATATATTCCTGAAAGCCCAATCTTGACCTTCTATAGTATATACATTTATAAAAGGCTGTACGTAATCAAAGCAGATGGTATCCTTCCAAGAAAAGAACCATCGCTCGTTACAGGCTCCGCCCTTACCTGTTATCCCAATACAGTCAATAGACCATAGGATTTAAAACTTTAGAAAAATAAAGCTCCAACTACACTGAGGAGTTTATATCTTGAAAAACAATTTATAAAAAAATTACTACTTTTTCAACGTTTTTACAACCCTACTGATAATGCTCAATCCCCATCCTAGGTTCTAGTCGTGCCTGACCCGTCCCATTCAACCTGTTGGTCGTGCCCATCCCACCTGCACGTCTCCATTCTCGGCGCTTAAATCGATGTCTACAACTGCCATCTGTTCTTTGCAAGCATTTGTTGCAACAATTCCAGTACTTCACCATGGATGGTATTCTACAGTCTGAGAACCCACACGAGGCGACTCATGACCTTTTTGTCAGTTATCCGGTGGCACAGATTCACACCATCTCCAAACAGGTGCTCCTGGAGGCATTACTGAAGAAAGCTGAGTTGACCGGGTTGGTGAAGGAGAAATACCGCGACCTCCTCAATGTCGCAGACGACATCCACGCAATGAGTTCTCTTTCACAGCGCCTGCATTACCAGCTCAGCGATTTGTGCTACGAGCAGAACGGCTTCCGCCACCAGAACCACGGCCAGGAGCGGTATCTTGCAAACTTTGCACGCTTCAGCGACTTTGCCGCGCCCAGCAACGCTGCCTTTACGCATGATCGCACAGTGCTCCTACGGGGAGTGGTCCACGAAATGGTGACGCTGTATGGCATTGGGAAAACAGTACCCAACGTAGAGTTGGCCAAGCTTATCTATGTTGTGGAGAGCGCCTTCCCTGAATTGGCCCAAGATCAGCTTCTCAGTAGGCAATTGCACGATTTCAAGGTTGTCTTGGTGGCGGGTTTGCTGCGCTCCATCGCGAATTGCGACCTGAGCGAGGAGGAGGACAGCGAGATCGAAAGCGAGGAAAGGTTATTGCAACAGTTAATCATAGTGGCTATTTTGCAGCGCAGCGAACCTCGCGAAGTGCTAAGGATGTTCTTGGCCCAGCGAGTGCACAGAATCAAAGGGCAGCTCAGTGGCGCCCTATCCCAGATCCACATTGAAGCGCTTTTGAAACTAGTTAATAACACGCTCTACTATGCCATTGCATTGTATACTCGCAAATTTGGAGCCAGCTTTGCACGCGAGGTCTCTAACCTTGACACGCTGAAACTTGCCCGTACCCAAGATTCGTTCTACGAAAGTATCCTCCTCGACCAGATGACGGAATCCGTGACTTACACAGAAAGTACCTCAGAAGTGGCCGATTTGCACACCCAATTGGACGGCTTCAAGGAAACCACCAACCAGTTGCTCTCTGCCCGTTTCAGGGCCCATATCGACGCAGTTTCCCATAAAAAGTCTATTGTGGGCCTTGTCGCGTTCACCACCCATTTTCTCTTGGCGTTCAAGGCCTTTCCGAGTTTGCTTTCATCAGAAGTTGTGGGCTCGACTCTGCTGTTACTTGTGGACCGCATCAGCGACATTTGCAGTGAAAAGATCGCCTCTATCCAGCCCCTTGTCAGCCAGTTCATGGACTCCTCCGGTGTGCATGCGGATTCTCCCGTATTCCATTCCTTGGTATCGTTAGATCTGGCCAAGTTGTCCGATAATGCGGATTTTGACCAGTTCATGCTGAAAATCAGCGGCTTCATTAATAACAAGGCTTTCTTAGGTGTGTCTGCGGTGTCAGCCATCATCGACAAGGTGGACGGCTGGTACGAAGACCTCGAACATGTTTATGAGGTGTTGGACCGTCAAACCTCTGCGTCTGCCTCCCTGACTTTCACATTGTTGAGAAGCAACGACAAGGCCGAGTATTTCAATAACGCAATCAACTATAACAACCCGATCATCGATGCAACATACTCGGTGGTGAACGATTTTGACGAAGAAGAGAACCATGATGCCTTCTTTGCCCGAGTTTCGTCCTTCTGGGTTGATATTGCCGATACCATGAGCGAAAAGTATCTGCAGATCATGGTTGCCTGCTCCGCCGACCTTCAACAGAAGTTTGCAGTTATATCCAAAGACTTGGGCGACAAACTCGACCAGTACTCTGCAGGTGCGTCTCGCGCTAAAAACTTGTACTATTTGTTGAAGATGGTCACTGACTTGAGAGAAAAGGTTGAGATTATTGCCCGATTTGACCTGACATCCGTGTCGATTGCAAGCTTGCGCGCAGACTTCTCAGCCTTGATCACTAAGCTCTTGACAGAGATTACCGTGCGTGAGATTCCCGACTCGTTTGCATTTTACTCCACGTTGCAGCGTCAGCTTGTGGCCGACCGTTTGGCCGCCCCGTCGGAGGGCAGTGTGGTGCTGCAGCCATCGTATGCGCTTTTGAAGCTGCTCTATCGGTTGGCAGATAAGTACACTATGAAGGCGGAGTTTGGTTCCTCGTGCGTAGCCTTATTTGATGTTCCGGAGTGGCACGGCGAGGTGAAGCAGGTGTTGCTCCATGAGATTTTGAGGGGCATTGGGACGTCGATCCGGGGTGTGCTAAAAAGCTGCAACGTAGAATGTGAATCCGTGGAAGCTGTTCAATGCAAATCTGAGGAAACAGTGCCAAGGTCACTGAAAAAGAGCAAGACTCAAAGAAAGGATGTGGGTAAAAAAGCTAAAACGGATAAAAGCAAAGAAACTGGAGTCAGTGAAAAGGAAGAAATTGCACCTGATTCAAAGGAAGTTGCAGCTTCGGACTCAGAGAAAGTTACAGATTTAGAGGAAGCCACAACTTTGGATTCAAAAGAATCTAGTAACTTGCCAGTTGAAATCCAGGAGCCTGAAACCGCTAACACCGAAAGCTCTAGCTTGTCCATCTCGCCCGAGCAGGTGTGTCGTGTTTATGTCGACACAATGGCTTTGTCGGTAATCTTCGACTCAGATAGCTCTACAACCAGCCAGATTTCTGACATCACGAAATCGTTAAGACAAATGGTTACGACTGATTCCTCAGATACCGTCCAGTTGATGTCGGCTGAGAGCGATATTGTCGAGAAGTTGAAGCACTGGTTGAAGAGCAACCAGGTGGGGTTGTTGCCCCTTACCATGTAAATTGGTTGAATCAATACTTGCGGCCTTTTCACGAGGTATCACGCAAGGGAGCGTAGCCTATATATCATTTCCAGCAAAACTAGGCTTGATACATTAAAGCATCCTATACATAAGTTTTCGTTTGTAGCACACATCTAAATTTTAAATCCTTCTTGACGAGTCAGAAATGGCCTCTTTGCGCTAACTAGATTCAAATGGTTGGTTTAAAGGTGTATCACGTACACTTACTGGCCTGAATAATGATCGAACGACAAAATGCCTTTTCTCCACAGTCCCCGTAACCCAGCTCCAAACTAGGTACGCATTTGCTCGAAGATCATTTAAAAAAAAACGCGGTTTGGACTCAAACTATCCAAAGTACTCAAACCCTTTTCTCTCCGGTCGGATCTGAAAATGTATCCTAGGAAGGAAACTAGATGTGTCTTCCTCGTTTTGAACCTGGTAAGCACGCACTATGATTGTAGGACATACATGCACCGAAAATTGTGAAACATTCCCGCCTTAAGTCCGTCCTGCAATGATTATAATAAACCGAGTCTCGCTGTTCCCGGTTTTGGGCTAACTGAAATGCTACCTACTGTGCAGGCGGCGGGCTCTTGAGCATATAAGCGGCTGCCCGTTCGGGTCAGTTTTTTCCCTACGTCCTGTAGTTTAGAGCACTTTATTTTTAGGCTTGTATTACCTAACTCCGTTACGTCGGACTACAAGGTTTAGCCAGATCTGGTTATCTAAATGACGTTTTTATAGCTCGCTGATTAGGGCTGTCGGGTCCATTGATCCGGTAATACCTAACCACTGCCTCAGGATCCTTTAATAGCGGTTTAGGCAAAAAGGCTTGAGCATTGCTTTAGAGTCAAGCCCCGTTTACACCTGCTCTAATGCTATTTAAAATAAGAACCTGCCTTACGGCTTAGTCTGTCTTCCTTTCAAGACTGACAATAGTAAAGCTTATATAGCTCCCTTGTTCACAAACATGATTTCACACAGCTAATTCTGTTATGCCTTCTATTATGCCCTCAGTTATGCATTTAACTATGCATGCCCAACTTTGCACGAGGATATAAGCCTTTAGCGCGCTGACTTTAACGTAGCTTCCTATATACGGCTATCTATAACAACCACATATACGTTATATTACAGCTTTGTCCACCGCTTGTCTCTGTCGTCACACCCAACCATCCAAACACCCCACCTTAAAGTAATGTAATTCCACATAAACTTTCATCCCATATCCCGCAAATCCGATGCTCGGCGCAACGCGTCGTACTGCAGAATTCTCACCCCAGCGCTCGTAACCAAATATTTTTGCGATACGTGTTCCTCAATTTTTCGCGCCTATATCATCACAATCAGTTCTCGGTCCTTTTCTCTTCCGGTGCCTCTTTATCACTCACACCATGGACAAGAAAGAAACCTCCCCAGCTGCTTTAGCTACCGCAGCCAACTCTATCGTCAACAATGGCCCTGTCGCAATCGGTGCCTACTGTTTTTCGTCCATCTTGATGACCGTCACCAACAAGTACGTCGTCTCGGGCAGCGACTTCAACCTTAACTTCTTTTTGCTTGCGGTGCAGTCGACCGTGTGTATCTTGACGATTTCCGTGCTCAAGTATTCTGGGACCATCACGTACCGCCAGTTCAACCCGACCGATGCAAAGCAGTGGTCGCCAATTGCATTCATGTTGGTCGTGATGATCTACACCTCCTCCAAGGCGTTGCAGTCGCTTTCCATTCCGGTGTACACCATCTTCAAGAACCTCACCATTATCTTGATTGCTTACGGTGAGGTTATCTGGTTCGGTGGCCAGGTCACCTCCATGGCGTTGTCTTCGTTCCTCTTGATGGTGCTCTCCTCCTTCATCGCCTGTTACGGTGACAACAAGGCGACCTCCGATTTGGGCTTGGGTATCGGCTACATCTGGATGTTCGCCAACTGTATCTCTTCTGCTGGGTTTGTGTTGGTCATGAGAAAGAGAATCAAGTTGACCAACTTCAAGGACTTTGACACCATGTACTACAACAACCTTTTGTCCATCCCAATGTTGTTGATCTCCTCTTTTGTCTTGGAGGACTGGTCCTACGACAACTTGCGGTTGAACTTCCCACCAGCCACCAGAAACATCATGATCTTCTCCATGATCTTCTCCGGGATGTCTTCCATCGGTATTTCTTACTGCTCCGGCTGGTGTGTCAGAGTTACATCTTCCACCACCTACTCCATGGTCGGCGCCTTGAACAAGTTGCCAATTGCCTTGTCCGGGTTGGTGTTTTTCGACGCCGCCATTAACTTCTGGTCTGTCTCGTCTATTTTCCTCGGTTTCTTGGCTGGTATTGTCTACGCCGTGGCCAAGGAGCAACAGAAGAAGCAGGAGGTTTCCTTGCCAACGCAGAAGTAAGAGCCTGCTAAGAAACGAGCGCGGCGAGCTCCTTGCCACGCTAATCTGTTCAGATTAGGATTTCTCCGTTGGTATCTGGATCAGGATATCCTAATTAGAATATATTTCTTTTTTCTATCTCCGTCGGGTTACTCTGGTAAGTTTCGTGCGAAGCATATCGGATTATCCCGGAACGCATGATCTTTGGTCTGCGCCCACCCCACCTTAATGGTACCCTTTATTTCTGTAAAATAGTATTTGTTTACTCTCCATCTCATTATTTTCGCGCATAAATAGATCTCTCAATCGGTTAGCTAAGTATAGATAGGAATGAAAGTGGTCTAGGGGCCTGGTTATGTAGGAATCAAATGACTGAAATCATACAGGAATCAAATAACTAAAATAATACCTGTGATTTCCCCTGACCGTCAGTAACCCATTACATGCAACCTTCACTTAATAAAATACCTAGTTACGCCCCAAACTCAAGCAACGAGACAATAGTCTCGGCTAGAATCAGCGCGACGTCCGGTGCAGTGCATCGAATACGCAACGTAAACTCCCGGCCCTCCGCGCGCGCTTCCAAAAACATCAACACCCCAAAGTTCCCCTGCAATGTATGCAAAATTCCGGTCCCCAAAATCAACTCCTGCGACACATCCTCGGGCTGCTGGTACTCTGTTTCGTCAATAATGGCAAAGCCCATGCGTGCGAGAATGCGCCTCAAGGAAATCGTGGGATACGCGAGGCTGGTCTTGAATTGTAGCACGGCCTCCCCGCTGGCGCCCATGGCTCCGACCTGCGCCCAGCGGGTCAAGAAGTTGCTGTAGGCGAGCGGTGCCGCCGTCAACGCGCGCAACAAGAGCACGGGCAACTTCACCTTCAACGATGTGAAGGCACCGCACATGAACGACAACAGGAGAGTTGGCTGCTCCACGTTGCTCAACCCCGTCGATCTGAGCACAACGTTGAATCGGTGGTCAGTCTTCTCACTCTGCGCAATGTCCGACGACGGTGCCGTAACCAGCTCGATGACGTAGGCGGGCTGGGTGGTGCTCGTACCAGACCTGAGCGTTGCAGTCAAGCCAGTGATGTCCGCATGGGTCGTCTTGTTCTTGTAGGTCAACTGGAAGCCGAGCACATGATTCTTTTTGGTAATTCTGTAAGTGATGCGCAACAATGTGTTTTCATACAAGATTCCCTGGTCAAAGTGGAGTGACCGGAAGTAGCCCTCCTGCCAGTTGGGGGAGAGCACTGGTTTCTTCGGCTCGGGGCCGGGAGAGGATGCTGAGGAGCCGTTGCGGGCCGCAAAGGATGGTCTCCTGATCGTACTCGCCTCGGAACTCTGCAGCACGAGGCCACCGGCACCCTGGAAAACAAGGCCGGTACTGCCATTGCCATGACTCATGAGTACGGACGAGCTGGATCTGTTTCGGCCAAACCCCCGTAAGTGTGAGACCGGCGCGTTAAGTTGGGCGATGGTGCCGACGCCCGCCATCAACGGATTGACCTTGTTAACAAACACCGGCATTTCGCCCACAATCAAGTCCAAGTGCTTAGTATCGTCGTTAAGAGTCACAACACGGAGGTACTCCATGGCCCTGGTTTGGATCTCAATGTCAATCGAGTTCAACTCAAGCTCGTAGAAATCGAGCACTAGCGGCCGCAAGTCCTCATGCCGCTTGTACATCTTTAAAAATGCCGAGAGGATGATGGCGCGCGTGTTAGGTGCGCAGTAAAAGTACTTGTGGTACAAGAGGTCGAACTGCACGCGCGCGGTGCAGCGTTTAGCTGTCATTCCCTCTATCAAGTTGGCATCCTCGTCAGCCTGGTCCAAGATCAAATGGCCAAACTCGCCAAGCACAAAAGCCCCGACCTTGGTCATGGTCTCGCTGAGCGCCTTGTCGCGCAAGTACTTCACCACCATCCGTGCCGCGAGCAGCTGCAAGCTCAGGTTGTTGACCAAGATCTGGATGATGCGCTCCCAGATTTCGCGGCTGACATGGGTGCCGGCGACCGAGATGAGGCGGAGCATCGTGGTGACGTACCAAACGGCGTCGGTGGCAAAGTTCTCGCACAACACCGCGATCTTAACCGCGAGTTCGGGCCGTAATGTGTAGTCGGCCGTGTGGAAGTACTTGGTAAGATGCTCAACCACCGTTTCGACCGTAGCGGCGGACGTCAACGTGTAGATGAGGTCTAGCGCCTTACGGCGGACGGAGATGTCCTTGTCCTCGAGAAGGTGGAGAATAACGGATAACTGCTTGCTGGTGTTCTCCTGTGCGACTTTACCGCCTCTAGAGGTTAATTTAATAAGAGCATCGAGCGTGAGGTACCGCGTGTTCGTTTCCGGCGAGTCGAGGAGCAGGAGCAACGCGTCGGTGGCGGAAGCAAGTGCCTCGGGGCTCGGGTCGAGATACCCTAGGAGTGAGATGCATGCAAAGAGCACTGCGGACTGAGCGTTTTTGCTCTGAAGCCCGGCTAATGGGGACGACGACCTGTTGATCGTTTGGTGGACAACCTCGCGCAAGGTTGCCAACGACGGCAGATCAATCTCCCCTTCAACAAAGTGAAGGTACTGGATGTACCTTTCAATCAAGCCAAGAAGCTTGACTGAGAGCCACGGGGCCGGGATATCGTAGTACAAGTACTCGTCTTTCACGTATGACGGGTCAAGAACGACTTTTGAAAGCTTGCGTGTAGCTAGCGGGAGCAAATTCTCGCAGAGCTCTGGCAACTCTTCCACTATGAAACTCACAAGCGAGACGGCAGAGGTGGACACCCCCAAATCGGCGTCATCGAGCACCGCCACGAGGCGCGGCACCCAGCTGCGACAATTGGCAAGTAAAAGCTCGGGGTTGTCCCGGAAGATTCTGAGCAAGGCTGCTGAGGCGTTTCTCCGCACCAAAGGAACGGTAGTGGGCGATCTGAGAAAACCGTAGACCGCCTCGAGGACGGCACTCCCGTCGGCGACGCCTGTAGCCACATACTGCAATGCGAGCGTGGTAAAGTCAACGTTATCGCCCCACAAGTCCTCCAAGACCGGCAGGATTGTTTCCAGAGCGTTAGAAGACTCAAGGAAAAGCGAAAACGAGAGGTACCCCATCTGTTTCTCAGAGAAGGTAGCGGAACGCGCGAGATCCATCGACGCCCCGAGCCAAAAGTCATGAACAGTCGTGTAGCCAAGGATGTGGATGTAAAGGAGCTTCGCCACATACTTTTTTTTCTGGTATCCCAGGAGCTTTGTATCCTGAAACTTTCTGCGGATGTTGTCGAGTTCCACCGCGATGCGTTTCCGCTCCTCGTCGTACGCCTTGGCGTTGCGGATGTCCGCGATAAACTGGGACAAGCCTGGGTGGGTTAATATCAGTATTGATTAGATGATTTCTGGTACTTACCCTTCATTTGAGCAGGCATATGGAAGGGGGTGAATGGGGGTGTTTGCTCTGATGCTGATCTGGCAAGGGTTGATCCGGGTCGTTTTGAATGTGGGCAGCTGTCCTGTGTGTAAGCCGGGATGATCTAACAGCTGGAGCGAGAATGCTCAAAAGCAGTATCAAGTAATTTGTATTAATGTTTGGGGTTTAGAGTATATTCAGGTTTATTAGAGCGTGTTTGAGTTTATTAGAGGTTATTGGGGTTACTAGGGTTTATTTCCGGTGGAATGAATATATATGTGGAACAGTAAGGTATACCACAATCAACAAAATACGAAAGCTCTATGCTTCGGGAAGATGAATACATCCCTTCTGCTCAATTTATCTCGTAGCATGCCAGAAAAATACGGTGCTCAGACCACCGAAAATAAAGAACCTTACGGTGGCATCGAAGGGAATGGGTGGGTCACATAAGCGATTGATATCACACAATGCCCAATGGTTTCTGCCATTAGGCGCATATTTACATAAAATCTCAGAAACTATCAATTTAGATACTTTAAAAACTTCCAAAAAAATTGTACGACCAGACGCTTAAATATTCAGGGGAAAATTTAAGCGGAAGAGGTCATGACCTGCCAAACTCTGATGACGTTGTCGGTGTAACCGGCAAACAAAGTCTGACCGTCAGCGGACCAAGCCAAGGAGATGGCTTCTGGCTGCTTGGCACCCAAAACTTCTGGCTTAAGCTCATCCATCAACTTACGTTCTTCCAAGTTGAAGATCTTGATACCAGCAGAGGTGGCAGCGACCAACCAGTATCTGTTTGGAGAGAAAGCCAAGGAGTAGATTTCGTCACCAGAGGTCAAGGAGTACAAGGTACGGGACAAAGAGAGATCCCACAAGATGATGACACCGTCCTTACCACCAGTAGCACACAAAGAACCATCTGGGGAGACGGTCAAAGTGGAGACGAAACCGGAGTGGCCAACGAAGTCGGCCTTTGGAGAGTAGTCGGACAAGTCCCAAGACTGTAGAGTTAGTAAAACTGTATGCGCTTGCTGCATTTTATCGACCGTTGAGCACCAGGGTGGTTCTTCAAATTGGAATCAGAGATCTTGGTGATATATATGTCTCATTCGGGGGATCTTACACCCCGTCTGAAGTAGCAAATATGTAATACATCATATGAATGAAGAATGCTCGACGGTCGCTAAATGAGTTAATGGATAAAAAAAACATACCTTGACCAACTTGTCCCAACCGGCGGAGATGATCGAGTTAGAAGCCTCATCTGGAGAGAACTTGACGGTGGAGACCCAGTCGGAGTGACCGTGCAAGGTTTCCATGCACTGACCGATGGTGTTCCAGACCTTGACGGTCTTGTCACGGGAAGCGGAAACAATCTGTCTGGAGTTCTTAGAGATAGAGACGGACAAAACGTCACCGGTGTGGCCGACGAATCTCTTGGTGGAGACACCGGTCTGGATGTCCCACAATCTCAAGGTCTTATCCCAAGAGGCAGACAAGGCGTACAAACCATCTGGGGAGATGGTACAGTCTTGAATGATGTGGGAGTGACCCTTGAAGGACTTCTTAGCAACACCGTAAGAGCCTTCTTCTCTGGTCAATTGCCAAGAGATCAAGGTCTTATCACGGGAAGCAGACAACAACAAGTCTGGCTGCGCTGGGGTGGTGGCCAAAGAAGTGACCCAACCGTTGTGGCCCTCCAAGGTACCTCTCAAAACTAAAACTTCTCTGTCGGCAGACATTTTATATTATTTCTGTTAGGGGGAAAGAGTTAAAATGTGTATAGTGGAGAAGGAAGCCCGTTTATTATATAGCGGGTAAGTAATTTTTCACCTTTTCCAGCGCGAAAAAGTTTTTCGCCGAGGGGCTAAGGGGAGAGAGAGGATGCAGGAGACTACACACTGTTTACAGGTTAGGTAGGTGGATAATCATGTGACTGATCTGGAGTATACGCCGGGGTAAATTTGGGCACGGCAGACTTTTTGTATTTTTCTCCTTTACTGTGACTGTTTTTAGGAAAGTCAAGTACCACTGATAGTGCAGTAACAAGGGTGCTTGCGACGAATTATATACAATTAGGTATTATAGAGTTGTTGGAATAGTACAAAATGATTACTTTGAAATTTGTGGAGTAAGCCTGGTGTTTAGCCACATTGTTGGTGATACAGATAGCGCACAAGGTGAACTGTAGCCGTGGTGTATAATTTTCGATATACGTGATTTAATCCAAATATCGATGTATATTTCGATACATCTATTATGTATGTTCATATACATATATATTTGATCACTGTAAAAGCAACATAACCTTGATATATAGGTCTCACGCAACCTTACCATAATTAGTATATATATATGAAATAATTATAATCGCCAGATATATGCCGAGCCAGTGTGAGAATACTACACCACGGACTTACAATATATTCAGTATACACATTTTTATACCATCCACGCACATGGGCCACACATACTGCTCCAGCTAGGATGGTTCACCTGTAAATGGGAGAAAATAGTATCGGCAACGTCTATCATGCTAAATACCTACAATTATTTTTAAAACCCATGTCGATCAGCTCAATTCTGTGAAAACGTAAACTTCTCAACAAAGTAACATCCTGCATGTAAATATACGCGTCTGCGACGCGAAAAGTGCGTATCAAACGCGTCTAAAAAGTCACTTCGGAAACCACCTCAGAAACCACTTCAAAGAACTGGACGGTACCCTCTCTCACAACTACACCATGACGCTCTCCGACTTTGAGAAACAAAGGCAGGCAAATATTGCGCGTAACCAGGCGCTTTTGAAGCAGTTGAACCTCGATTCGATCTCCCAAGACATCTACTCCGAGCTTAAAAAGGAGGATGCCCCTAAAAGGCGCCGCGCTACGAAGCCTGTGAAGCCTAGAGAGATTGTGCCTGCTTTGCCTACCCGTAGATCCAGAAGAATCGCAGGGGTCAAGCTCGAAGACGTCACCGACGATCCGTTCATCCAGGAGGTTACAGAAGCGGAGCGCAAGCGGGAAGAGCTCGAAAGGATCAAGCGCATGCGGTTAAGCGGTGACGTCAGCTTGGTTGATATTATCACGGATAAGAACGGTGTAAAGGCCGAGGAGGATGAGGCATTGTTGGAGAAATTCCGCGAAATCGGCAAGAACTACAGCATGGGGGACTTTTTTGATCAAATGGTGGAGAAGTATGCCACCACCGATAAGGCTCTCCAGGAATTGCGCGAGGAGTTTACAAAGGTTACCTTGGTCCCACAGTACGATCCGAACGATGTGAAAATCACACCCGGGAGAATGTCCACTGTCACCTTTCACCCTAGTACCGCTAAGCGGCTCGTGGTTGGAGGTGACGTTAACGGCCATATTGGTATCTGGTCCGTGGACAACGGCAGCCCGATTGAATACATAAAGGATGAAGCTGAGGAGGTGGAGGAGACAGAGGAGCTAGAGCCGGATATCACGATCTTGAAGAACCACGGGAAAAATGTGGGAAAGATTGTTATCCAGCCTACCGACTCTACCAAAATCATCACCTCCTCGTACGACGGATCCATCCGCTCCATCGACTTGAACAACTTGAAATCCACCGAAAAGTACTTCAGCCAGATTGATGGACTGGCCCTTGGCGTTTCCGACATCCAGTTTGGCTCGCCAAATGTGTTGTTCTACACCACCTTAGAGGGCCTGTTTGGCCGCGTGGATTTCAGAGAGAGTTCCAGAAAAAAGTACGACTTGCTCAGGGTGCACGACAAGAAGATTGGCTCGTTTTCTGCGAACCCGAACCGCGACTACCAGATTGCTACCGCCTCGCTCGACCGTTCCTTGCGGATCTGGGACTTGCGTAACGTCAAGGCCTCTCCGTGGTCGGAGTACGAAGGGGCCCGGTCGCCCCACTGCTACGGCGGCTTTTCATCTCGGCTCTCCGTGAGTTGTGCCGACTGGAACTCGTCCAACAAAATTGTGTGCAACGGCTATGACGATAAGATCAACATTATTGATGTTTCCGACGCATCCAGCTGGTCTCAGACCTACGTCATTCCCGGAGTAAAGGAAGAAGTTGCGGAGGGGATCCCGAACAGCATAGTTGCAGAGCACAGGATCAAGCACAACTGCCAGACGGGGAGATGGGTATCAATCTTAAAGAGCAAGTGGCAGCAGAACCCAAGGGACGGGTATGAGAAGTTTGCCATTGGAAACATGAATCGTGCGGTGGATGTTTACAGTGAAAATGGCCAGCAGATTGCGCATTTACAGAGCCTGCGGTTGACAGCAGTACCGGCAGTTGTTGCCTGGCATCCGACGGAGAACTGGATTGTCGGTGGCAGTGCCAGTGGGAAGGGTTATTTGTTTTGTTAATATTTTAGCTGGAATACCCTACCCATCCGTAAATTGGGATTCTGTCTTTTCTACACATTAAATATTTCATCGAATAATATGCAAAGATTAATGGCGTTGAATATACCCAAACGATTTTTCAATTTAACGAGAATCAAGCGTAGCCAACATTGCACCTTAAAAATAAACTGACACTAAATCCTGGACTCACACAATAAGCTACTCACTCGGGTGACTGAATTTTTTTACCAACCACTCCGGTCGGAGGTAGCCTGTGTTGTACCATTAACCATAGTCGTTGATAATTCAGCTAGAAATCTATAACTGGAAATTGACATAATAACTTTTCTTTCTCTGCCAACCTCGTATCTCGTGAATGGTCTCCTATTTGATTGTACTATAGCAGCCTCGCGTTGCTGATTAGTATCCTCTATTAAAATACCTAACATTTCAATACATTGACCCAATTCGAACCTCGAGCTTTTATCTTCCTTTACAGTAGACTATCCTGGTTTACCTCAAGGCATTTGATTTTTGATCTAGTTTTAAATGTGATTACCGGTGGATAAAAATAACTCAAGTACCGGCCTCAGAACGAGGCTATCAAATGGCACCCAAAAATACTACCACTTTGTACTCCGTTATCCACTTAACATTCTCCAGACATCCATGTTTATCTAAGAAATTACATCACGTGACAAGTTTATCCACTTGCAGGATTTTTTTTTTTTTTTTTCACGAATTAACCAGAGTCAGGAAATCGTGCCCCAATGCGTCATACCCATCCACAATCCGTCCTTTGATCCACCATTCCCAGACGAAGCATCTTCCTTTGGATATAGTATATCCGACCAACCAACCCAGCCTTGACCGGGTTTACTAGTTTGAGCTTCAGTCTTTACGTTTTTCGTACTCCAAGTATGTATCTCCAATTCGTGGCGCTACGCCCTGCGTGCGGCAAAAGTGACTCTCTCCGTTATTGCAATTGCGATAGTGACTCTATCTACTCCACTCGACCGCAGAAAAACGCGTCCCCGCTATCCACCGTCCTTAAAGAACGTTACGATGAACCGTACTAACTATCTAGCCAATCTCAAAACAACAAAATGTGTGGTATTTTAGGTCTTATCCTTGCCGACCAGAACAAAAAGGTCGCCCCGGAATTGCTCGACGGGTGTATGTTCTTGCAGCACCGTGGGCAAGACGCCGCGGGTATCACCACCTGTGGTAACAGAGGCCGCTTCTACCAGTGTAAGGGTAACGGTATGGCCAGAGATGTGTTCACCGAGAACAGAGTCAAGGGCTTGATCGGAAACATGGGTATCGCCCACTTGAGATACCCAACGGCCGGCTCGTCCGCCAACTCGGAAGCCCAGCCGTTCTACGTGAACTCGCCATACGGCATTACCATGTCGCACAACGGTAACTTGGTCAACTCCAGCGATTTGCGCAAGTATTTGGACGACAAGGTGCATAGACACATCAACACCGACTCCGACTCCGAGTTGCTTTTGAACGTGTTTGCGGCGCACTTGGAGACCTATGACCGCCCGAGAATCGGGAACGATGAGATCTTCACCGCGTTGAAAGGCGTTTTCGAGCAGGTCCGTGGGGCGTACGCGTGCACGGCGATGCTTGCGGGGTACGGGTTGATCGGGTTCCGTGACCCGAACGGTGTCAGACCGTTGCTCATCGGTGAAAGAACCACTGCAAACGGTCAGACCGACTACATGTTGGCGTCTGAATCGGTTGTGTTGACCGCCCACGGCTTCACCAAGTTCCGCGACATCCTCCCCGGCGAGGCTGTGATCATCCCAAAGGACACTGTCAAGCCGGAGTTCCGCCAGGTCGTTCCGGTGCAGTCCTACTCGCCGGATATCTTTGAGTACGTTTACTTTGCGCGTCCAGATTCCGTCATGGACGGGATTTCTGTCTATAGAACCCGTCTTGAGATGGGTGTCAAGTTGGCCAACAATATCAGAGCCCGCTTCCCAGGCAAGGACATTGCCAAAGAGATTGATGTGGTCATCCCGGTGCCAGACACGTCGCGTAACTCCGCCTTGGAGTGCGCAGTTTCCCTCGGGATCCCGTACAGAGAGGGCTTTGTCAAGAACAGATACGTTGGCAGAACTTTCATCATGCCCGACCAGGCCGAGCGCCGCTCCTCGGTGCGCCGCAAGTTGAACGCCATGGAATCTGAGTTTGCGGGCAGAACCGTCTTGATTGTGGACGACTCCATTGTCAGAGGGACCACCTCCAAGGAGATTGTCTCCATGGCCAGGGATGCCGGAGCCAAGAAGGTTTATTTTGCCTCCGCTGCCCCGGCCATCAGATACAACCACGTGTACGGTATCGATTTGGCGGACACCAAGGCGTTGGTGGGCTACAAGAGATCAGACGAGGAGATTTCTCGGGTTATTGGTGCCGACGCGGTGTTCTACCAGGACTTGGGCGACTTGATCGACTCGGTGAAGAGCGAGCTGATCTCCACGTTCGAAATCGGTGTGTTCACCGGCCAGTACGTCACCGGTAACGAGGACAGGTATTTGAAGGAGTTGGAAATTGTCCGCGCCCAGAACCAGAGAATCCGGGAGTTGGGTGTCGGTGCCGGGGTTGCGGGTGAAAACCTCTCCTGCGATGACATGGTCGATGTCAAGGCCGAGTCGGACATTGGAATTTACAACAGCGGTGACTACGCCTAATTATAGACTTTTTTCTGTTTCAGAACTATACTTTTATTAAAAGGCCGAGGCCACCGTAGGGAGACTAAGGCCGTCTACCATGCCGGGGAAGTCCTTCGGTCGTGAATAGCTTATGCCAAGGGACAGACCCACGTCAGCTAGGGTTTGATACCTATCAAACATGTATGGGGTATATCAATATCCGTTCCATCATGGTATAACGTCTGCTCTAACATATGTATATACCTGTATTCTGACTCCAACTCTAGAGGGATTAGAAAGTCGCTATCCATTCGGCCTGTTGAAAGGTCCATTTATACAATATAAAATCTCTCTATACAACAGTTTAAGTGTAGTTGAATCCATTGAAGGTGAGCTAAATGATGAAATAGAAAAGTCGTACAGATAGCTTTGTGTCGAGAAAAGGGAGGAATATACCCATTTCCTGGTACGAGGAAGACTATTACTCCGAATAAGCTTCAAACGTCAACTCCGCCTTCTAGCTATGGAGGTTACCGTATTCGTGGGCCATTTTTAAACTGACTCTCCCGTTTCTACCCTTTCTACTTTCGGTTTGCAATCTACAAAAGTACCAAAATATTTGCCATGGCACTTATTTTACCCGAAAACTACAAGAGGTCTCAAAAGATGGAGACACTTTTTGCATTGGTTTTACTGGACCCAACTCATTATGGTTGAAAGCAACCACAAATAAGACAATTTAGGAGCCCCATATCCGAATTCTCAGTGGGTGGGCCTGGTTGAGATCCTAGTGGATGAGAATGGAACCTTTTACCTGCGAGTCATGACCCAGACATCCAGAGCCGTCGGAGGGTTGTGGAAATCACACTACATCAACCATAGACACGTCTTCATCGCTAGCACCGCCAAATTCGTCAATGTCTATACTCATGATGCCATCGTTGAAATCGAGCTGTGGAGTCGGAAAGTCACCGAGTGCCAGCTCGGCTGTGAGTTCCTCCACTTGAGGATCAGAAGGGAGTTCGGAAGCTTGAACGGGAAGAATTGATTCCTCTGTTTTCAAAGGATCAGTCAGTTCCTCTAGAGTGGCAGCACTACCTAAAGTGAGAGCATCATCTAACGTGAGGCCGTCATCTAGCGTGAGGGCACCGTCAAATATGACTGAATCAATCGTTACGGGTTCCTGAATGACAGATTCTTGGTTGACAGATTCTTGGTTGACAGATTCTTGGTCGACAGATTCATGATTGACAGATTCCTGGTTGACAGTTCCCAGATTGGCAGGCTCATCCACCTGATCAACCCCCTTTGGTGTCTCCACAGAGTCATCATCTCCAAACAAGTCTGCCTCGGAATCAATTTGTTCTTCCGCCCTCTCGAACCCAGGGGTTTCAATCTCTGATTTTATTTTCGCTTCTAATGGTTCTGGTTTAACATCTGTGACGGCCCCTGGGCTCACTTCAGGAGCTACACCGTTCTGTGAAAGCACTGACACCTCCTCTTTCACAGAATCCAGTCCCTCTACCTTCACATCAATCGGCGCAGGCTCCTCTGTAACCTCGTCATAGGTCTTTCCAAGCACGGAGTCCAAGCGGGAAACCTCCTCTCTCATCTTGACCTTCCCCAACTTGGTATTCTTGATCTCAATGTTCACAGGCAAGAGCATCATGTTGTCACCGTTCTTGCAGCTCCCAATGTTTTCATTGAAGAGCTTGATTTCCTTGTTCAAGCCGATGGTTGTGTCTGATAATGTCGCGTAAAAGTGCTGGATCTGGGTCGTAAACTCTTTGCGGGTGGTAACGAGCGCGTCTGAGGTGACACCCTGTCTGGTGTCGATCTGTTTCCCCTGGTGGACCGTGAGAAGGATGTCCGAAAGCGTCGAGAGAAGCGACACAATTTTCGTGTCCAAGTTGCTCAAAGAATCGAGACGCTGTTGCGTGAAGGACGTCGATTCCAGGGCCATGATATGCGGTAACGTGACAGTGCTCAGTTTGGTTCTGCTGATAGATCTTTTACCAGTATTATGGCTACATGGGCTTGTGTCGAAGGCTAGAAGCATTTGCGTAGGTCGTGCAGAGTCCATATGGCAGCCGTACAGGATATATCTGGTTCCTGGCTAGTCATGTGTCAATCCATAGAGCCAGGTACGTGTTAGATAGACTTTAATTGATAACTGGCAAATTCATGGTTATCAGACAGAGGAAACAGGGTCGATATTGTTAAAAGTAGGAAGTTTTACATATGTGGTTTTACCAGGCTCCACAAAGCTTGTATGAAATTTAGAGACCATCAATCGCATATCTAAAATAAATCTAGACCGACAGACGTTAATTTTAAAATCTATTCACTATACAAGTTATATCCCTAGGCTATGATTAAAATTTTGCCAAGGTGATCAAGCTGTCGGCACCATTTTTCTGTAACACAGAGACTGCTAGAACGGGAATCCACACTAATCATGATGAATGTATGTGCTTATGGGCCATAATTTTTCATCCCATGCGAGCTACGGTATGGCTGTAATCCATGTGTGGCGAATGGAGCACTTGACAGAGTTGAGAATACAACCGCACTATTCTATCATCTGGAAATCAACCAAAGCAGCTCTTTCAATTTCAAAATCCCCGGTTAGGTGTAAAAAAAAAACAAAGCTACTGAATAGTCGTCATGGCATAAGACTTGCGGTTGAAGGGTCTCATGAAACGAGTCTGGCCGAATTTCACCGCTGCGTGCAGGTCGTCGTGCTGCGGCCCAGCGCAATGTACTCGCGTTCGCCTGCATTCGGAACAGCAACTGCGTAATGGCACCTCCTTAAAAGCACCTTCTTCACAGCTGGGCCGTTCTCACTTGGCTCAATTTCACACGTACAATGGCCTCTTCTTCAGCTTTACCTGAGCGTGATACGCTCACACAGCGTGGCGCCAAGACCAGTTCTGTGGGCGACTCTACGAACTCCAACCTCGTGTCGAATAACCATGCCGATCTTGATTTGAATCCTCGCGCGGGTACCCTCGCCGACCTCCAACCAGACTTTGTCCTCTCGGTGCTCTACAGCAACGACAACGGCACGGTTACGGCCGCGGCCACCGCGGACTTCGAGCGTTTGCTCACAACGCTCGACGGCCTCGGCTTCCAGTTCCAGGTGAAACCTGGCTCCGCGCAGACGGTGCTCGTGTTCATTCGCCTCGCACCGCAGGCTTTGCACGCGGCAGTCGCAGCTGCGCGTACCCACGACCTCGCGGCGGGTGTTGCGTCCTTCACGTACCCGGCCGAACCCTCGGCCAGCGAGCGGTTGCGCGTCGCTCGCGGCTTGATCACCGCCGCCGGGATAACGCCGGGCGTCGGCAACTGGAACTTTGTGCGCTGCTTAACGGCGCTCCACGACACGGCCGCAAACTACCGTGTGCTTGTCGGTTGGGCGCATGGCGCGCGTGCGTTCTTCAGCGCCACCGACGCGCAGTGCGAGCACGTACGCGACGCGTACGGCCCGGCACTCGCGTTGTACTTCTACTTCGCGCGCCACTTCATCACGTGGCTTGGGCCCTTGGCCCTTGTGGGTGCGGCCAACCACCTCCTCGTGGGCCGCTACTCGCCCCTTTTTGCACTCACGACCCTCGTTTGGTCTGTCGCGTTTTACCACTCCTGGCGGCAAAGACTGCAAAACCTCACTGCCCGGTGGGGAATTATTGGTAACGACGCCACCCCGCTCCCTGCTTCCCCATCGACTCTTGCTGACTCCACCTCCTTCTCCGATGTCGCCGTTAGACAGCTTGCGATTGTGCCCCTCGCGCTTTCCGTTACCTTCATCCTCTTTTCCTACCAGCTTCTCTGCTTTGCCACCGAGATCTTCCTCACCCAGGTTTACGCCGGACCGCTTCAGCGGTACCTCTCGCTCATCCCTACCGGGATGATCGTCGTGTTTGTCCCCGTGCTTAATCTCTTCTACGGTAAGGTCATCGACGCGGTGTGTGGGTGGGAGGGCCACACCACCGTGGAAGGCCTCCGTGCCTCCAAGGCACACAAGCAGTTTGTCGTTACTTTCCTCACGTCGTACGTGCCGTTGCTTCTCTCGGCATTCCTCTACCTTCCGTTTGCCCACCACGTCGGTGCGCACCTTGCGAGTGCGCAGCGCCTCGTGCCCACGCTCCTCTCCACTAGGCTCGGCGTGTCCATCACGCCTCAGTTCACCGTCAATGCGGCGCGCTTGGCCACGCAGTACCACTACTTCCTCTTCACCAATAACGTGGTCGGTTTCGCTACGCTGTTCTTTCTTCCCATCGTTGTGCGCCATGCCTTGCCTAAGGCCAAGACCTTGGCGTCGGGTGAGCCTGCCGTGTTTGATGACGGTGTGGACGCGGAGTACCTCGCGGATGTACGCGCACAGATCGAGCTCCGCGCGTACGACGTATCCGAGGACTACACCCAGACGGTTGTCCAGTTTGGCTACCTCGTGATGTACGCGCCGGTCTGGTCGCTCTCTCCGCTTTTTGTGCTCGTGTTTGCGCTCTTCCAGTTCAAGGGTGACTTGTTCAAGGTCATGACCCAGGTTCGTCGCCCGCTCCCGGAGCGCGTCGTTTCCAGCGCGCCATATGATTCCTACGTGATTTTGCTCGCGTGGGTTGGTTCTATCACCTCCACCGCGATCACCGCTATGTACCGTGTGCCGCCAAAGGTTGCGTACGCGCAGCCGTTCACCGCGAACGAGCACACGAGCTTGTACACCCGTGGCGCTGCGAACGTAGGAATCGCGCCCTGGAAGCTTGCACTCGTGGTCTTTGCGGTCGAGCACGTCTTCTTTGGACTCAATGTGTTTTTCAGAGCCGTCTACGCGCACTTCCGTCCGCAGGACGCCGTAGACTTGGAGCGCCGCGTAACCGTCGCGCGCGCAGAATTTGTCCAGGCGCACAAGCGTGATTTAGTGCATGAGAACGTCGACGACTCGTCTCTCGATAGCTCTTGGCTTAGTGCCGCTGATGCTGCTGCTGCTGCTAAGGTCATCCCGCGCCAGGTGGTGGTTTCCTCCGAGGGAAAGAGCTTCCCCCTCCAAAAGGGCGATAAGATTATTGATTCTAGGGATGCTTCTGGCTCAGCCGTCGCCTCTATCGATGCCAACACCCATTTCAACCCTAAGACGGATCTTTCTGAACAGGCTAAGGGGTTTGTGGTTGTTGAGGCTAAGGGGACTGCGAACCCTAAGGTCGTTGCTTCGGATGCAGGTTCCCTCGACGACAGCTCCCGTGTCGAAGCTAAACAGCCCTCTCTGGCCCCGAAGACGTTTGTTGTTGAAGCTCCAACGGATATCTCTGAGGAGATTGTGGTCACCAGTGATGCCAAGGGTAACGAAATGTTGTCCACCATCGATGACAACACTCACGTCCAGTCCAATCTCTCCGATATCAGTGATTCATTGCCATTTGACCCAAAACACCCTGCTATAAACCCGATTGACCCGGCCCATGATCCGTTGGTCAGAGATGCCACCTCCTCATCCAAGGCTGTGGGCAAGCTTCCGGCCAAGGATTCGTCTGTTAAGAAGCTGACGACCCCACTGCCGGCTCCAGGTTCGTCTGATTCCCACAGCTCAGGTAGTTCGTCGAGCAAGAAGACCAAACTCAAGGGCTTGTTCAGCAGCAAGAAGTAGGCTTGTTAGAAGGCTGATTATTTAATACGTTCCAGACTAAAATGACTGTAGAAGGGATGTGATTTCAGTGGAACCATCGTTCTCTCGAGAGGTGACGGTTTTATAGGATCCGTGTAAAACCAGGATGGAGTGCTGAGGATTTCAAAACAGGAAGAGGCCGTCTAGTAACGGCAGATTGACTTGAGATAAAAAAAAAGGGTAATTAGATTCAGGTGCGGTTTCTTTATTGAGAGAATATATGGAGCTTATTGAATGAGAGGTAGAATAGCTTTACGGAACAAAGAGTCCCAGGCATCTGAATTGAGATTCCCAATTGACGAAACGAAAACCTTGGACACGACGGGTTATCACCAAAATTGGAACAACTCTCGATCAAGTCACAACCATAGCGATTCTAAAAGTGAGGGTCCAAATTATTCCATCTCAACCCTACAGATGACTGGAAATCGTTCCCTTAAACTTCAGTTCAGTAACAAGGGTCTTCGCTTCCGCAGATCTTTCAATATATTGCTCTACACCCACACTACTGCCGATATCGCTCTGTTCGTATGTAACGTGTAATAAATAAGTATAACGGGACGGTATAAGATGAGAAGGGGCTATGCCATGCATAATTGGAGACTTGTACTTAGTCGTACTTTCTGTCGTGGATGTTGATGTTGACCTGACCGGTTTCCTCAATGTGCTTGTTTCTCAATTTGGCAGCGGCATTCCACTTGTCTACGGTTTCCTGGGAGTGCACCGCGGCTCTGTCAAAGACGACCTGGGACTCGACGAGCTTGCCAAAGGCCATGAAGGCGACGGCGATCCCGCCCAACACCAAGGTGTTGACCTTATAGTTCTTTGGGGTGTTGTTCCAGCCACCAGTTGGGGACCAGAAGTACTTTGGATTTGGAAAGGTCGGACCGCTACCCATTATGTGCTAAAGTGTATGTTAGCCGGGTGTCTCAAAGACGCTCCCACGTTAACATAACTTCATTTTTCTCTGGCGCAATTGGATGTTGCAGTTAGGGCTGGAAGTTACATAGGGCGCCACGGCTGCGCGTAAACACAGGCCCGCGAAGCGCACACCTTCGAAGAAAAAATTAGCCGCTGAAAAATGCAGTGACAGAGACCAGCCCGAGCCTCAACCACCTTCCTTGTACATACCTCTAATGAGTATTTTGCGTATTGTCCAGAAGGGCATCAGGTCCCCGAATGTGCTCTCCAGATCCTTCACCGTCTCCAAGCAAAACTGGACCTACGCACCGTCCGTGGTGACGCCGAAGTTCATCGTTCCTGCCGATCTCACCAGCTTCGGCGACTACAAGCGCGCGGGGAGCCAGATTCCCGTCACAAATGCGGACGCCGCAAAGGCGCCAGGTTTGGTGGCCTTGCACGCCAGATTGCAGTTGCCAGAGTCGTTTGAATTAGCAACCTTGGCCAGATCACTCACCTTCATCGCCGAGGGCAACCAGTACGCAGACAACGCTGGGATGGCGCTCTTTGGCAAAAACTTGGTCAAGTACTACGTCACCGAGTATTTGATGGTGCACTATCCGAGATTACCGGCCGTCATCTTGAGAGCAGCCTTGAACGCCTACACCGGCGAGGAAACCTTGGCGCAGATCGCCAGGGAATGGGGGGTGGAGGCCGATAACAAGAGCGAGATGGAAAAGTTCTTGGTTGATGAGCCTAAAGAGTTTTCTTTGGGCCGTTTATCTTTTGACAAGGTCGATACCAACCCGGAGAGAGGTGTTACGGTGGTCGAGGGCGGCGTCAACGTACAGCAAGCAGCGTTCGCGTCGGTCGTCAAGTCCGTCATTGCTGGTGTTCACGCACACAATGGCGCGGATGCGGCCAAACAGTTTATCCACGACCACGTGATATCCCGCCACATTGACATCTCCCAGATGTTTCAGTTTCAGTTCCCGACCAGAGAGTTGACCAACCTTTGCAGCAGACAGAGCTTAGAGCCGCCAGTCGCCAGGTTGTTGGCCGAGACCGGGAGGTTGACCGTGTCTCCGGTATTTGTCATTGGTATCTTTAGTGGCAGCTCCAAGTTGGGTGAAGGCCAGGGTAACTCCTTATTAGAGGCCAAGAGCAGGGCTGCTGTCAACGCGTTGAAAAACTACTACTTGTACAGACCAATTGACCCAGTCGTGCCAAGCGACCCGAAGTACGATGGCTCTTTGATCGACGGCAGTGCTGTGGTGATCTAAGTCTTTTCGAAGGAGCGTAGTCACTCGGAGAGCCGAGTGTGGTTGCATAACGAAGACAAACGTGACGTTTGTTTCCTGTATATACGTATATTAATGTTTGGTATATCCGAGCGTAGACTAAAATGATCGTGGGTGAGAAGGATCGAAGAGCTACCTAGAGGCAACGTGGGAATGGAGGTTTCGGGGAAGAACTCACCTATCCTCTAGATTTAGGTGTACATTCGGCTGGTACCTTTGTCTCCGTTCCAGGCCCAACTACAACCAGAGAGGGAAATCTCACTGAGGTATTTCATATTCATCTACATATTTCCGGGTCTAATTTCTTGGGGGCCTAGAGCCGAAAATGTCGCTGCCGACTCTGACATTGGTGGCTCCCTGTCTAATAGCCTCCTCAAAATCGCTGCTCATCCCCATGCTTAATTCCAACGCCTCACCTAACCCCAAGGCCGCCTCCAACTTCTTACTCAAAGCGACCAAGGCCCTGAAATCCAAGTTTTCTTCACCACTTTTGGACTGCAAGACGGACCCAATGGTCATTAAGCCCCTCAATTGAAGTTTGGAACACGACTGGATGTACTGTGCCACCTCGAGGATCTCGGCGTAGCCGTTGACAGGATCAAAACCAGACTTGTTTTCCTCGCCGCTCGTATTGATCTGTAAGAAGATGCTGATTTTTGGGAATTCGTTTTCGGATCTAAACTCTTCCAACTTCTTGGCCTTCTTGAGCGAGTCGAGTGTCTCCAATGCAAACAAGTTGTGCACCTTCCCGGCTAAATCCTTGCACTTGTTGGTCTGCAAGGACCCGATGAAGTGCCACTGGATATCTTTTGGCAAAGCAGCAGACTTTTCCAAGAGCTCTTGTACGTAGTTCTCCCCAAAATGTCTCACGCCGTGATCGTAGAGCGCCATGATGTCGCTCGCAGGCTTGAGTTTGGACACCGCTACCAACCTGACGGGTTTCTGGTCGATGGTTTTTGCCGAGGCTCTGACTCTCTCTGCGATGGTTTCGTAGTTGGCCACTAGTTCTTGCGCTCTTTCGGTTGTGTAGGTGGGATAAGACATGTTGCGGGTGCTGGAGACCAATCTGAGTGGAAGTCTGCGGAGCATTCTTGAATTGGGGATTACTCGTAGCAGTTAGATCCGGTGAGATTTTCATGGGGAAACAAGTAGAGGTTACGTGCCCTGCGTCGAGGTATCAATTTATCTCGGAACAGATGTATGAAATACCCATCTGAGGGACGTGAGTAATTGAAATTATATGTTATAACCTTAGGCTTTGCCGATGAAATGGAACATTTATACATCAATTACTTGTCAGTCCCAGAGACCAACAGAGTAAAGCCTTTACGGGGATGGACAGCTTTTGATTCCACAGCTTAGTACATCAAATTGCCCTTATGGTAGAGGCATCGTTGGACTCTGATAGTTTAGAAATATACATCTCAGTTGCCTAAGGTGAAGGTAGTACCATGTTCATAAAAGTTTGGCATACAATGGTTGTCAGTTCTTGACTTCTCTCACCTCTACATCTCTCCCCATCGGTATCAGAGCCAACCAACCCCATTTCCATCGATAAAGTCATATTCACCTGACCCATGATCAGGGTATTCAACAACAATTACATTTTAAAGTACGTACACCATGTAAATCCGTGGAGAGGAACTGATGCGGCCTGTGCGCATATGACCTCCAACTTGTGACAAGCCGCACATCACGTGAAAGGCTCCCCGCCTACAAAAAAAAAACATCGTTTTGCTTCGCCACCTGATTTTGTTTCTATCTCCAACCATGAGAATAGCGCCAGATACACTCACAAAGCTCCAGCTGACGCCGGAGGCAATCAGAAACATCTGCATTCTCGCACATGTCGATCACGGGAAGACCTCCCTCTCTGACTCGCTTCTCGCGTCGAATGGTATCATCTCGCAAAAATTGGCGGGCAAGGTCCGTTTCCTTGATTCGCGGCCAGATGAGCAGCTCCGTGGGATCACGATGGAATCCTCAGCGATTTCGTTGTATTTTCGCGTGTTGAAAAAGCAGGAGGGCTCCGATACGCCGTCGGTCAGCGAACATTTGATCAATCTCATTGACTCGCCAGGCCACATTGATTTCTCGTCGGAGGTCTCCGCCGCATCCAGATTGTGCGATGGTGCAGTTGTGCTTGTGGATGTTGTTGAGGGGGTGTGCTCCCAGACGGTCACGGTGTTGAGACAGTCATGGCTAGACGACTTGAAGCCGGTGTTGGTGCTCAACAAAATTGACCGCTTGGTGACAGAGTTGAAGCTCACACCACTCGAAGCATACCAGCACTTGTCCAAGGTGATTGAACAGGTTAATTCGATCATTGGGTCGTTTTTTGCTGGCGAAAGAATGCAGGATGACATGCTTTGGCGCGAATACCTCGAGAAGAACGCTGGGGCCGACAAGAAGTTTGTTGAGAAGGATGATGAAGACATCTACTTCAATCCCGAGAACAAAAATGTGATCTTTGCGAGTGCCATCGACGGCTGGGGCTTCAACATCGGGCAGTTCGCCAAACTCTATGCCGAAAAGCTCGGCATCAAGCGCGAGAACTTGCAGAAGGTGTTGTGGGGCGACTACTATCTCGAGCCCAAGACGAAAAAGATCTTGACTGCAAAGAGTTTGCGTAACAAGCCCACCGCTAACATGAAACCGCTCTTTGTGTCGTTGATCTTGGAGAATATCTGGGCGGTGTACGAGAACACGATGATTGACAGGAATCCAGAAAAATTGGAAAAGATTATCAAGGCGTTGAACTTGCGCATTTTGCCGCGCGAGCTAAGATCCAAGGACGAAAAGGGGCTTTTGACGGCCATCATGGGCCAATGGCTTCCCGTGTCCACTGCTGTCTTGCTCACCGTTGTTGAACGTTTGCCATCGCCGTCACAGTCGCAGAAGGAGCGTATTCCCAAGATCCTTGCTTCCGTTCCGGGTGCCACCGACGATGGAACGATCAACAAGGATATCGAGCGCGATATGTTGAAATGCGACTACAAGGGCTTGAGTTGCGCTTACGTGTCGAAGATGCTCTCCATCCCCGAAAGCGAGCTTCCACGGAACAACCTCCGTGTGAACCTTACGGATGATGAGTTTATTGAAAGGGGGAGAATTGCGAGATTGGCAGCACAGAAGGCGGCCGATGCGGCCAGAGCGTTAGAGGAATCTACCACTGAGGCCAAGGGCGATTCCAAAACGGCCAACGACGAGTTTGTTATCACTTCTGCTTTGGATTCCACCACGTTAGATGATCCGTTCGGGTGGGAGGAGGAGGAGGAGGAGGAGGAGGAGGATCCGTTTGGCGGGGCCATCGAGGTGGAAAAGGAAGAGCTCATCGGGTTTGCCAGAGTCTATTCCGGGACTTTGACTGTGGGCCAGGAGATTACCGTCGTGGGACCGCGCTACGACCCGTCTAGGTCGGCAAAATATAACCAGAAGTATATCACCACTACGATCATCACCGAGTTATACTTGATCATGGGCCGCGAGTTGGTCTCGATTAACGAGGTGCCTGCCGGGAGCATTGCCGGGATTGGCGGCTTGGGGGGCAAGATCTTGAAGAACGGGACGTTGGTCGATACCAGAGCCACCCAGGGCCTTGTGAACCTCGCGGCTGTGAGCTTGCTGACGATGGTGCCGCCCATCTTGCGTGTGGCTGTGGAGCCGGTGAACCCGACGCACATGGACCGCCTTGAGCGTGGACTCCAGCTCTTGAACCAGGCGGACGCGTGTGTGTCAGTGTTTGTACAGAGCAACGGTGAACACATTTTGGCAGTCGCTGGCGAGTTGCACTTGGAGCGCTGTTTGAAGGACTTGAAGGAGCGGTTTGCGGGGTGTGAGATCCAGACATCGGAGCCGGTCATTCCGTACCGCGAGACGACCCTTTCGTTGGCGAAACTGGAGATGAATGCGCCAAAGAATCCGGAAATGGGTCCTAGGGGGACGGTTGTGGTTGAGATTGGCAACCACAAAATTACCTACGCGGTCAGACCTCTTCCAGAGACGGTTATTCAGTTTTTGAGTGACAACTCGAGTTCGATTCAAAGCTTAGTCGATAGTAAGCACAACGTTGAGGAAGAAGAAGAGGAGGAGGAGGAGGAGGATGGTGACGCATTGCTCACAGGAAACAACAAGAAGCGCATGAGTGCGGAGGCGTTTAGAGACGAATTGGCCAGCGCGTTCGACTCATTGAGCGAGAAGGAAAGAGAAGCGTGGGGTACTGGCGAGCAAATCGCTGCATCCGTCGTGGCGTTTGGGCCAAAGAGAGTGGGACCAAACTTGCTTCTCGACAACTCCAACATGTTGAGACGGATCTTTGAAACCACGGGGGAGAAAACCTTCCTGTACCAGGACTCGATCTTGAACGGGTTCCACTTGGGGACGTACGAAGGACCCCTTGCGGCAGAACCGGTCCAGGGCATTGCGGTGCTGATCCAGTCGATCGAGGAAGTGGATTCCGTCACGGCCAATGTTTCCGGGAGGTTCATCACCGCAACTAGAGATGCGATCCACCAAGGCTTCCTTGACTGGTCGCCTAGAATCATGTTGGCGATGTACTTGTGTGACATTCAGGCCACGGCCGAGGTCTTGGGGAAGGTGTATGCCGTTATCCAGAGACGTCGTGGGCAGATCCTCCTGGAGGAGATGAAGGAGGGCACGCCGTTTTTCACCATCACAGCCAAGATTCCCGTCGTGGAGGCATTTGGGTTCTCCGAAGATATCAGAAAGAAGTCATCCGGTGCTGCCTCGCCGCAGTTGGTGTTTTCGGGCTTCGAGGCCGTGGATGAAGATCCGTTCTGGGTGCCAACCACTGAGGAGGAGTTGGAGGAGTTAGGCGACTTAGCCGACAAGGAGAATGTGGCAAGGAAGTACGTCACCGCAATCAGAACTTCCAAGGGGTTATTTGTTGAGAAGAAGGTTGTGGAGAACGCCGAGAAGCAGAGAACGCTCAAGAAGGATTAGATAGAGTACTAAAGCAGAGTATAATATTAACGGAGCTAAGTCGAGGTATTCGTAGCCTAAGGAGGTTCCGCAAAGGGTCTATACCGGGGTGCTTGTGACCAGAGGCTTCTACCGATTCCATGCACCCTTGTTTCATGAGAGATTAGCTAGAACTGGATCAACTAAACTTATTCCTCAGACGTACGATGTATTTAGGGGGTAGCTAATGAAGCATGTTTTAAGTTTAGCGATATTAGTGCTTTATAGAGTAGACCGGGTATAAATTTCAACGTCTCAAACTTCAGTTGGGTATTACGTCAATTACAAGTTTAGCTAATGGTAACATACGTATACAGGTACACAGAATTAATAACTTTCCCCAATTCGGTTTAGCAAGGGTATGACTATCTTGGAAGTGAGCCCTAGTCACCATGAGGGGTCAAATAGCAAAGACATTGATAGGCCTCGGGGGATTAGGATAAGGGGTAAAACACCAATGGTTTACCGGACTTGCTTAATTTATCCTTGGGTGACTCTCGAAGATTTCGTCCACCACGATGTTCAAAACTAATCAGCAAAAGGTGGCCCCATTTGATACACCACATCCTCATGACAGGCTAACCACAAAGGGGGGTATATATTGGATATACCTCCAAATCAAAGGTCTATATTGCATAGCCTACCGAATCGTGCTTTCGGACAAAAACTTCAAACTGGTGAAGCCAATATCGGGGATAACCGGAGCAGAGCTCGTTTCGAGCTGGATCGGCGTAGCAAACTCAGACGTCTCGGTGCGACTCATTGGCGAGTACAACCGCACGGCTCTGACATGCGTATCCTTTCCATTTTGGTGGTTGGCGATGATCAAGATGCGGATGAAAAACGTCTTGAGCACCTTGTCGCCACGGACACTCTCGAAATCGATGTGGCACCAACCCTTAGGCTCCATGATCTCTACACTAGCCACTTCAAGCAAATCGTGCTCTCCGTTACCCGCGAGAATGGCGATACTCGAAGGCGTGTACGACTCGTCAAGCGCGTAGTGCGAGAAGATCGAGACCCGGCTGAGCGACACCTTCTTGGTAAAGTGGATGTTGATATGGTGGGGCTGGGCGCCATCACTTTCCCAAAACAACTGCGGGCTTTCGTCACGCAACTGCTTGACCCTTTTATTTTGCTTCGAGGAGGATACCGACCAGAATGCGAGGTTGCTAATGTCCACAAGCCCAAGCGATTCAACCTCCCTGAGGCCCGCAGCGTACACTTCGAGCGGGTCTTCCGCCGCCGGTTCTTCTTCGTACTCACGACTTTCAAACTCGTCGTTTATGTTGGATGAGTCCATAAGGGATGTGTGTAGGGTATGGCGGGAGGAGAGAATACACAAAAGAAGCGTATATGCGTATTAGGAGACATGTAGACGTGTGTAGGTTAAAGTGGCGATCCACGACCATCAAGTGGTACCCTATAGGGGCCAAGGTGGATTGCTGTTATAGGAAAGCCTTTGGCATACAGACAAACCGATAGACTAGAAGTTAACCGACAAGAATTAAGGTCAGAGATCGAGAGCCATGATACAGGCGGCCTGAAATGAATTGTGCACAGTATTAATGCCGATACATTGATCTGTACATAGTTATTTAACTCCGGGGGAATTGTCAAGATACCTGGTAATGTGCATCTTACCCATAAACCCAACACCCCGGGCAGTGCTAACCTCGGTTGCATCTATGAAGTTAACCATAAACTAAAAAAAGTAACGAGAGTAACATTGTACGCAGCTTCCGTGTTCCGTAGCTTGCCATCTCGTTTGCGTCAACCCTCCGTTGTACATCGGCCAAAAGGGGTTCTAATTGTAGCCGCACATGAGCCCGGACGTGCAGATCTTGCCTGATACGGAAGCCAGCCATGCACCTCAGCTTCTGACCAGTTCACCTTGGAGACTAGGAGCCCCAGCCACCGAAACTCCCAGAACCTTCATATATACCTATTAATTGACACAGACCCAGTTTCCCTCCGCTTTGTGCTGAGTCACCAACATATGGAATCTCATACGTCTTCCCAAAGCGGTAACGGCTTCCTTGCTGGTCATGCATGCCACCGTGCCTTCCCGAGATAAGGCTCTGAGCCGCTCGCCCCTCCATTTCGGTAAACGCACCCTTCCTCCGTTATTGCTTGCTCAGCGCAGAATGGCAGTTTCCTTTTGCGTAAGCCGCCGGGTACATTTGCCACTTCTTCTTCCTCCCCAATCCTTTGTCTCTACGCATATAATCAGCGATTTCATTGCTTATTACATAAACCAACCCCTCTCTAGCCACCATGAAGCTCTCCACGAGTGTTTTAGCCGCCCTCGCGGCCACCACCGCCGTGAACGGTCTCTCCCTCCCGCTCTTCAACGAGCAAGTGCCGATGAAGATTGACTCCTTCAAAAACCACATCTCCTCCAGCACTTACCATGCCTCTACCATCTTGTTGAACAAGGTCTCTGAGGCTTTCGGGATCTCTGCTGACGAAATCACCGACGACATCAAGTCTTTGTGGTCCGAGATGACGCTCAAGTTCCCGTCCACCATCGCCGGCATGAGCTTGTACTCCCAGCCAAAGAAGTTCACCGCCAAGGCCAAGAGTGCCTATGACTTCCATGTTTCCAGCGAAAAGTTGCCAAACCACAAGTTGAGAGTCAAATCCAAGGGCCCAGAGTCCTTGAAGATTGACACTGTCAAGCAGTACTCCGGGTACTTGGACGTCGAGGACGAGGACAAGCACTTCTTCTACTGGTTCTTTGAATCCAGAAATGACCCAAAGACCGACCCAATCATTCTTTGGTTGAACGGTGGCCCTGGCTGCTCCTCCATGACCGGGTTGTTCTTTGAATTGGGCCCATCCTCCATCAATGCCAAGATTGCCCCAGAGTACAATCCGCACTCCTGGAACTCCAACGCCTCCGTCATCTTCTTGGACCAGCCTGTCAACGTCGGGTTCTCGTACTCCTCCTCCTCCGTTACCAACACCGTCGCCGCTGGTAAGGACGTCTACGCCTTGTTGACTCTTTTCTTCCAGCAGTTCCCAGAGTATGCCAAGTTGGACTTCCACATTTCCGGTGAATCCTATGCTGGCCACTACATCCCAGTGTTTGCCTCCGAGATCTTGTCCCACGACGACAGAAACTTCAACTTGACCTCCGTGCTCATCGGTAACGGCTTGACCGACCCTCTCACCCAGTACAGCTACTACGAACCAATGGCGTGCGGTGACGGTGGTGAACCATCCGTCTTGCCTGAGGAACAGTGTGACGCCATGTTGGACTCTATCCCAAGATGCTTGAGCTTGATCGAATCGTGCTACAACTCCCAGTCCGTGTTCTCCTGTGTGCCAGCTGCTATCTACTGTAACAACGCCCAGATGGGCCCTTACCAGAAGACCGGCAGAAATGTGTACGACATTAGATCGATGTGTGAAGGCTCCAACTTGTGCTACAAGAACTTGGAGTACATCGACGAATACTTGAACCAGGAGGTTGTCATGGAGGCCCTCGGGGTCGAAGTCGACAAGTTCCAGTCCTGCAACTTTGATGTAAACAGAAACTTTTTGTTTGCCGGTGACTGGATGAAGCCGTACCACAAGGCCGTTTCCGAGTTATTGGGGAAGAACGTCCCAGTCTTGATTTACGCCGGTGACAAGGACTTTATCTGCAACTGGTTGGGTAACCAAGCCTGGACCAACGTTTTGCCATGGTCCGGTACCGACGAGTTTGCCAAGGCCGAAATCAGATCCTGGGAGGTCAACGGTAAGGCTGCCGGTGAGGTCAAGAACCACGAACACTTCACCTTCTTGAGAGTCTACGGCGCTGGCCACATGGTTCCATACAACCAGCCTGAAAACTCCTTGGCCATGTTGAACTCGTGGTTGAGCGGTGAATATGCGTATTAAACGGTGTGACCGTTGGCCAGTCCCTTTGAAAACTTTTTTTTTTCCCCCTCGGCTTGCTACATGAGTTGAATAAATATACCTATTTTTAGCGTACAGATGACTATGTAGATACGAACGTCATCGTTGTATAAGACTCTGACACTATATCTCTCAGGCCTAGCCTCTTGAAAGGCTGGCATCTTCCTGTCATTTCTATAACCGTTTCATAGTTTCGTTACGTCACAGGGACCTAGTGTACACATTAACCCATACTTAATACAAGTAAATCTTCGACCCAGCGTTGGTCAATCTCTTCAACACCTCCAATGTCTCCTTGACGTCCCACACATGTTGTTTCTTCGTGTCCAAGTAGGTGCTATCGACGATGATAATTTTTAATTCCTCAGCCTTCAAAGGGGAATCTTCGGCATCTAAAACCTTGACTAATCTGGTTGGGGTTGCGGCAAAGACTCTGGACCTGGTGGTTGGCAAGATTTTCAAGTCCTCCTGGATCTTGTTCTTGTTGATAAGCTTCACCGAGGACCCAGCAATGGATTTGGTGGCTCGGTGCACGTCGCAGGCACGGATGGCCGACATGGACAAGATGGTGATGAACTTTCTCTCCTGAGCAACAACAGCAGCTGGCAGCGGCTTCTTCTTACTCTTCAGTTTGGCCTTCTTACCGGCCACACCCTCTGGCAACATGTTGCTGAAGTGCTTCAAGATGAACTTTTCCACGCCCTCCAAGTTTCTTTCCTGGTCCCAATCGGCGGTGCTTCTGAAACAGGATTTGTTAAAGTACAATTCGTCCAACTCCAAGGCAGACAAGTCAGGGTTCATCCTTCTAAGCTTGTTGTTGACGAAATCGGCGATCTGTTCGGTAGATTCCTTGGACAAATTTTGCTTCTGCTGCACATCGTATTCCATTTTCATCTTCTTCTTGTTCAGTAACTTGCCGTCTTCGTCTCTCTTTCTCTTTTTGGCCTTGGATTCCTTATCGATGGAGAACCCTTCTTCGTTGTCGGAGGTTGGCTCCCCCAGGAGAGCCACACCTTCATCGACATCGGAGTCAACGAGGTATTCAAGACCGTCTTCTAAATCGTCTCCAGCAGCAGACATTGTGTTTGTGTTGGATGCTAATCCTAAGTGGTTATCACTATTTTTTCACTTGTATGCAAGTAAAAATTTCAGTTCCTGCATGCAAATATCTTTAAAAAAGAAATCCACACGTGACGATCATTTGTTTTGGTAAACATGGAGATAAGTTGAAGCCGTAGAATAAACACAAAAGACGTACGAGGGAAGATCCTATTGGCTTTTCCTGACGACAAGCTTAGAATGAGTTCTCCCACCGGCCAACTGGTATGTATACTGGTTATTTCCTGGTCTTTGCCAATACTAACCTTTAAGTCCGTCAGCAGACCCACAACTCCGCGAACCCCAGCCCGCACTCCCACGCGAACTCCTTTACAAACTCCTTTGCGAACTCCTCTACGAATCTCAGCCACAACTACGCCTAGACAGTCCCCACAGTCGCCCCCTCGCGTGGCCAGTATATTGCGAAATGCCACCCCCCGGGTGACTCCCCGAAGACATACCCCGAAAAGGCCCGTGACCCCCTATGGACGATTGGCGCTTGAGAATGTCACTCCCAGAAGGCGGCACAGGGGCCATATAAAGAGAGACACACCCACCAACACTTTACGACTTTTATCTCGGGTCATTGTCAAGGAGAAAGCAGTGGAGGCTCAGAGGGAGGCTGAAAGAGAGGCCGAGAGAGCGGTTGAGATATCCAGGCTCAGGGAGTTGCAGCGATTGGATGCATTGGCAAAGAAAGAGCCTCTCGAGCGGTCTCACAGCAGGATTGTCCAATCCCCGGACGGCGTTTCCGAGCATGACTTGGATATAAGGTCTCCAGGTATTATGAGGTCTGGCGATGGAAACGCCCACGAGCGAGCTTTAATACCACCCGCCTATGGCTCTCCAGGACAAACCTTTTCTATGGCGATTCATGAACAAACACACATTGTGAGATCTTCCGTTACCCGGGGACATAGTCTCAACCCCCCCTTTGATAGCTCTAATGCACAGCACCTTCATGCTGGGTCCCCCAGGTACAACTCCCAGGAACCCAGCGTATTGGGCTCACCGGCAAACTTTGCTTCTCGTGATGAACGCAGTCTTGGCGTGGCATCTGAAAATGAAAACTACCAGGACTTTGATATGGGAGGGGACTACCCCCCACCGGACTTGGACTCTGATTTTCTCGTGCGAGAAAAAGGACGGAACAGGCAGTCCTTGCGGAGCGACTTGTTTTCCGATATCGCCATTCCTGAGGGAATCATGCCTGATATGGGGAGAGATGTGTTTGCCGAGAGTGATTTCATTATTCGGGACCCGTCTCCACATCCCCTTTCCGATCTGGAACTCCAGTCGCCACCTCTATTTTCCGATCCAGACCTCCCGCCTGGTCCCGAAGGCGTGAATGTGACAGTGCGGAAACGGCCTTTGGCTAAGAATAAGCGACTCCCCAGACCCCAGTCCGTGGCGGCGTTGCCAAAGAAACTCGTTAATAATCTCGCAGCCCAGTTTTTGCAGTCCAAACGGCCAGTGTCTGGCGAGATGGCCAACGTGCTATCATCGATGACTGACGAGTTTTTTTCCCAGCAGGTGCTGGATCTCGAGGCGTATGCCAGGCACGCGGGCAGGAAGACGATAGATACGGGCGATGTAATTCTTCTCATGCAGAGACAGAAGTTGTTGGAGCGGTCTGATGGGTTACGGGGAATAGGCAGTGGAAGGACGGTTGGGGGTCTCTTTCGTTTGGCCCATGACCACTTACCGTTGGAGAATTTGATTGAGGTGGAGAAGTGGATTTTGAAACGCGAGGAAAAGCTTCACCGGAAGCTTGCCAAGAGACAACCAAAGGTTGAGGATCTGGACGAGGGTTAAGCGAGGGGTGCTTCCATTCCAGTTAAGGTTTTATCATGAATATAACCTTTCGGGAGTCGAGGTTGAAAAGATACGCGTCAGAGTCAGATCTGTTGCTGTTTCGGGATTGGTCAGGATAGATTGCCTCTGTTGACAAGTGTTAATTATATTATACCGTCCAATTTCTAGTACACCATGGATGTACTTCTCTCGCCTGGGTAAGTTTTAGTGATCGATAACCTCCGGCAGACGGAAAATTAGTCAGAACTAGTTCATATCAAGCATAAATACAATTAGCTTTGTAATACTCTCTGAGCCTGATATATCACGATAAATTCCTACACTGTGTTGAATATTCCCTTCACTGGGGCTTTAATCCCTAGCAATTCATACCCTTATCTATATACAACTGACTAAGACTAATCATCGTCGTCAAAACCTCATTCTGTCATCTAATGGCACGGTTCGCGCGTGTTTGGCGACGCCATACTTGGAAATTTTGTACAACATGAGACATGTGGCCGGGGTGATTCCCTGGATGCGCCTTGCCTGGCCAATCGTCTCAGGCTGGATTTTGTTTAACAATGTGGCGGCTTCTGAACCGATATTGTGAATCTGAAAATAGTCGTAGTTTAAGGGCAAGGGCATCGATTCATCCGCGGTGAACGCGGTGATCAAGCGGCGCTCCTGCTCGAGATATGGGAAGTATTTTCCCTCAATCGCCACCTTTTGCTTCAATCTGGGCGACATGGCGGCGTACTTCTCCGGACTTGCCACGTATGGCATGACCATCTCCACGGAAACGTCCTTGTGGGCCAAGAGCTCGAACGCCGACTTGCTACTTCCGTCGTTCCCGAGCTTCAAGCCTTCAAATATTGTGGTCCATTTATGTGACGTCTTCACCACGTTCTTCAACTCTTGGAGCAAAGCCTCCACCGTCTCTGCTTCCTGGGAATATCTGCTCCAGCGGTCGTCCGCAATGACACCCAAGGCGCGGCCAAGCGGCGTCAACCGCGCATCGGCGTTATCTGGGCGCACGCTGATGCGGAACTCGCTACGTGACGTAAACATGCGGTATGGCTCATCCACACCTTTGGTTATCAAGTCGTCGACCAAGATACCGAGATAGGCGTCGCTGCGCTTGAGCTTCAAGGCTTTTTCGCCATTGTGCTTAACGGCCAAACCCGCGTTGATCCCGGCCACCACCCCCTGTGCCGCCGCCTCTTCGTAGCCTGTGGTCCCATTAATCTGGCCGGCCAAGTACAACCCAGATACAAGCTTGGTTTCCAAGGTGCTGTTGAGCTCTCTTGGGTCGACGTAATCGTACTCCACCCCGTAGCCAGGCTGTAGCATTTCTACGTTTTCCAACCCCGGAATAAGCCGGAGCATCCGGAGCTGGATATCCTCTGGCATGGTCATGGAGATACCGTTAGGGTATACCACATCGGTATCAATACCCTCAGGCTCGAGCCAGATACGGTGCGAATCTTTGTGGGAAAACCGGACAATTTTTGACTCGATAGACGGACAATAACGGGGACCCTTGACCGTCTCGCGGATGTGGATAGATTTGTCCAAGTTTTCCGCAATAAGCTTGTGTACTGCGGTATTTGTGTACGTTCCGTGGCAAACCACTTGCTGGTCGGCAAGGGCGACGGTGTCGTTCATAAACGACATTGGCAACGGCGGGCTGTCTCCTGCTTGGACCTCTAGGTTGGTGTAGTCGATAGATTTTGAAGAGAGACGTGGTGGGGTACCGGTCTTGAGCCGCCCCAAACGGAACCCCGCTTCGTCCAAGGTCTTGGATAGGCCGAATGTGGCTTCTTCACCCATGCGTCCAGAGGGGTAGGCGTTCAACCCAATGTGAATCTCACCGCCGAGAAAAGTGCCGGTCGTGATGACCACCTTTGCGGTTTTCAACACCGTACCGTCCTCCATTATCACGCCCACCACGTTTCCGAAGGATCTTCCGTCAACGTCGGAACCCGCCTCGGCCCTGTCGACGATGATGTCCTTCACCTTGTTTTCCATGACCTCCAAGTTAGCATAGTGTAATATAACCTTCTGCATCTCCTTAAGGTAGATGTATCTGTCGATCTGGGCACGCGGACCATGGACAGCCGGGCCCTTGGAGAAGTTGAGGATTTTAAAATGAATCCCAGCCTTGTCCACGATCCGTGGCGACACACCGTCGAGAGCATCCACTTCCTTCATTAACGTTCCCTTGCCTATCCCACCGAAGGATGGGTTGCAGGAGCAGGTTCCAATCTTGGAGATCTCGGGGGTCACAAGGAGGGTCGGGATGCCGGACCTGGCAGACCCAGCGGCCGCCTCGCACCCCGCGTGGCCACCGCCAATGACCACTACCGGCGCTACACGTGCGCCCTGTAGAATATTTGGGGGTAAGGAGGAGAGAGAGACGTTTCTCTGGAAGGTGTGTCTCTGGTAGACCGCCCCTCTTTTTATTAATGTGAGCATGCTGTGTAGAGAGTGGAGGGATAGATATAAATCGGTGATGAAAAATCGAGGTAAAAAAAATTTGGGTGCAGGAAGATGAGGTGCATGCGGCGGGTCTTAATTCTACGGATAGAGAACATAGGCGCTGAACGTATAAAAGGAAGATCAGGTTGATATTTTGAATGAGATAGATTGGTTTAAAAAGCCTCAAAGTTGGTTGCTATTACAAAATATATTTTTCTGTATAGTATGTGGCTACAGCTGCTATACTAATATTGAGTGAACTATGGTTAAGTCTGTGATTTACCAGGTGGAGCAAAATTATCTTTCACTGAGATCCAAACCATTGCTACATGCATCGATATTTTATCGGGTGAAGATTCGCAAGATAGAGCTGACTAAATGACGTATCGGCGAATTGGTACAAGTCGTTGTGTTTGGGATGACATTCATTTGCTCAAGGAAAACAGTCAAGTCTTTGATGGCTGGTTGGTGATAAAGGATGCAATCCTGTCATCTATATATAGACTTTTTGACCCAACCCCTGTCGTTTCTTCGTCCCTGGACACCGCCATAGCAGTATGGTCAGCGAGGAGCTGCATTAGAATGTCCTCGCTCGATTCAAGTTTCACTTCAACCTTGACACCCGAGGGATTTTTCTCCCTCCTCGAGCTCTCCAAAATTTCACTGGACACCGTGAGGTCCGTGCCGTTAAACAGTTTAATCTTTTGGTAGCAGCTGTCCAAGATATCCTGCGTTGTAGTGGGTTGAAATAGATTATCGATACGTTGACGCTTGGAGGATGTGCCTTGTAGCTCAACTTTGAGATCATGGTCTCTTGTGGCTTGTGGGCATTTGAAGGGGTAATCACACTCTAAGTTATCGCATGAAACTATCGTCTCTTTCGGGGATATAAGAAACCTGAAAACAGAACCTTGGAAGCATCTGGGGCAGGGGCTGGGTTGCAGGCTCAAAGGCTTTTGCTTCGGGGTACGCGGCTGTGCTGGTATCTGAAGAGATACCAGAGACGACTGGGGCATTGTGATGAGGTAAAAGAAGCTATTTGAAGATTTCTAAACGAAAGATAAAGCCAACTGTTTCAAGTTCGAGTATTGGAAACCCAAATAGAAGGTTTGGTTTCAAAAATTTCATGCAAGATATAATTTTTCAACCCCAAGCCGCATTGGTTGCATACTCTGTGTCGAGGGGTTACAAGTTGAACAGGATGAAGGACAGACATTTATCCAGGTTTACTGTTGGGAATAGAGTGATATATAGAGGAGAGTTGGAGGCAATAGAGGCTGCCTGAGAATAGAGGCTGCCTGAGAACTCCCATCATAGCCAATTATGCTACTTTATTCTCGGGGATATACGCCGAATGCAAGGGTGCTCGTCAAGACCGTAAACCACCTGTAACCCTAATAATATAATATCGGAATAGTATTCTCTACCTAAAATTCGCTTATTTCTGCTGACCCTAGACCAATTGTGAAAAATGCTGGGTCAAAAGCACGGCAAATACACCTCTGAGCTCTAACAGTCAATCTCCAATCTTCTTTTTCAAAGTTCCCCCGAGTAAGCAGATTCCATAATCTCACAAGGGGACTTCACGGAGCATAAACCACCATCAGCCATTTCTCGGAGCAATATTACCCAAATAGGAAAAAAGCGCACCTTGTGTGCGGCCCATGTCTGCCTGTGCTGTTCCGGCGTTGTTGTGTCAAGATTCCTTCATTTCCTTCCCACGTGATGATCGTACCGTGAACACCAGCAGCCTATTGTATGGTTGCCGCTACATGACATTACGACGCGTCGCAAGTTCATACGTGGCTACGACCTACTGCGACCTTGGGCTAGATGCATACCTATCTCTACGGAAACGGGCAGGGGTCCTGCACCGCAGCTAGCCAGGCGTAAATCATGTCATGTTGTGTAATACTGGGTACTAGAACCTCATCAAGAGGATATATCCCTTCCAAACAGCACGTTTCCGTTGGTAAACGGTCAATACCAATGTTCAGCACCCTAGAATGAGCTATAAAGCTTGCTAAATTAATTTTGGTGCAGTTATACTAGGAATGATCGCGTGCCCTAGCAACTGTCTTTTCCGTGTCAGAGGCATAAAAAAGCAATTCACGCTCCATGCCGGGTATTTGGGCAAAAACGACCTTTTTCGGCGCGCCAAAGTAGGGCAGAACAGAATTCCCGTTTCGCTGAATTTCTTTTTCGCCCACTGCGAAACCACCACTTTGTAATTAATTATCAAAACAGCCGCCAGAAAAACGAGAACTGAATTGCATTACAACTAAAACGATACACCATCTCCCCCTTTTCTCACACCATCTCTCTACCAATTGCATCCCCGTTCTTCAGCCAAATCCAAGAGCCCATCTCTCCCTTCCCGCATCGCCGCTTTATCTGTACTCCCCCCTAAAGATAACACGCAGGTGCACCGCCGCCGTTTTAGCCTCCACAAGCAACACCAACGACCGAGAATACCCAACGTGTTCCGCTTGTAGCCCGTTTTTGTTTTTGTTGCGATTCTCCGAAAGTCTCAAGTAACCTTGTTCCCCAGCTTTGGCGTCTAAAGCTTAGCCAAACCCCCGGTTGCCACCGTCTTTAGGAACAATCAACCCGAAAGCTTCAGTCTCGATACCACCCTTGAGATTTGTCGAAGCCCCACGCATTCCACATCTGTCCATCAATCAATAACAACAGCATCTGACCTCTTCCAAGGCACCTGATTGTACGACCACGAAAGCATCAGACTTCCCATTTGAGAACCCGTTCTATCGAGCCCCATCTTCCTACTAATTATTTTCCTCATGTTGTCTTCAAATATACACAGCCAGCAGACGCTATCGAGTAATGAGCTCCCGCTGTACATGAACACGTCGCCCACCTCGGGTACATTGTTGATGAACGACCTGCTTTTGGGCAGGGCCTCGTCCTTGAGTAACTCCATGATGAACATGTCGCTCAACACTCAGCCACAGCACACCAACATTCTTCCACCGCCGCATCTCCACCTTCCGCCTCCGTACACCCTTAGAATATCGAACCTCCCGCCGGACATTTCCATCCGCGAGGCGCACTTGATCTTTGCGTTGTGTGCGAGTGAGATCGTGGGCGTCACATTGTCTGCCGACTCACAGTACATCCTCGCGAGTTTCAAGGGCCAGCCCGCGATGCAGCGCGTCGCGCAGTTGCTTGACAGCTGCAGCATCTTCGGGCCCACTTTCGGTCCTATCAAAGTTGAGTTGGACGAAGCTTCTCTCGGTTTGCCCGGTGTGAACCACAACATTTCCCCTCCAACCACCAACTCTTCCATGAACCCGGCACCGGGCACAGCCTACGACAGCTATTCCGGCAAGCGTCCATCCATGGGCACCCAGAGGTCGCGCTTCATGTTCTCTGACCCCTTTAACGGTGGCAATGACCCCAACGCTGGATTGGCGGTGAACACTGCGATCCAATCGCAGGCTCAACAACCGCCCGTCAGTGCCACCCCTACTTCGTCCCAGCTTTCAGACTTGGGCTCTGGTAAGTCCTTGTTGCTCATGGAGGCCCAGAACGATGTCCGCGAGTATGAGCAGTTAGTGAGAGGCGATCCGTGGGGCCCAGTGGCCCATCCTCCTTCTATCCAGTTACCTGGTGGCCAAAACCCGCCAGCTCAGTCTGCTCCCCAGACTCCGGGCTTTGAGTGGGACCGCAGAAGACAGAACTCTGCTTTCTTCAATGGAAACGGAAACTCTGCTGGTAATGCCTTGCCGTCGCAAATGCCAACTCAGCAGTCTGTTGCAAGTCAGCAGGCACAGACACCAACTCAACAGCAGCAGCAACAGCAGCATCCAATCCAGCTTCAACAACAACAGCAGCAGCAACAACAACAACAACCGCAGCTTGCTCAGCCTGTGAACTCGTCGTCTGAGTCACAGGAACCACCGCAGACACAGGCCCAGGCTATTTCCCAGGCTCAAGCTTCTTCCCAAATCTCTGCTCCTCAGTCAGGCCTGCCGCCAAACTCTGTGTTGCCGGACTTGTCACTCTTGGCGAGAGTTCCTCCGCCAGCCAACCCGGCAGACCAGAACCCGCCGTGCAACACGTTATACGTCGGTAACTTACCGCCAGATGCCACCGAAACCGAGTTACGCTCGTTGTTTGCTCCACAGAAGGGATTCAGACGGTTATCGTTTAGAACCAAGAACGCCACCTCCACCGGCGCTTCCACGTCGTCCAGCGCCAGTACGGCGTCCACCTCCTCTGCTGCCGCCACCCCGCACAGCCACGGGCCAATGTGTTTTGTGGAGTTTGAAGATGTGGCCCATGCCACCAGAGCGTTGGCCGAATTGTATGGCCGTGCGTTGCCTCGACCAGGCGGTGTGGGCGGCAAGGGAGGCATCCGTTTGAGTTTCTCCAAGAATCCGTTGGGTGTCAGAGGGCCGGGCAACCAGAGAAGAACCAGCACTAACACTAACGGGTACTCGTATCTGTATGCCAAGTAGCTGGGCTGAGAATCTTCCTGGAAACTCACCCGGCCGAGACGCCTCGAAGAGAAGCTCTTTTCTTATCTCATCGCGTACACTTCAGGAACTATGATACTGCTGGATCCACGATTATTGATTGTCCCCCCCCTCGACTCATTCTTTTTGTTTCTCCTGTATGGAGTCATTCTCATTTCCTCTTTAATTTGCAACTTATTTTTCTATCCCTTTTACCACATTTTTCTCCATTGTTTTGTCGCTTTCTCTGACCCATTCGTTTGTACTACTTATTTGCTCCCTTATAATTCAATCATTTTGCATGTGTGTCCCGATACATCTTTCTCTTTCCTTCAATTGTAGCGCGACTAGAGGAAGGAAGGCTCTAAAACCACGCGGTACTTATGGCGTAATTTTGGAAAGCGATCGACGCGTACAGCTGTTTCACCATGCATCCCGTTTGAAGCGTGCAGCGAAGGTTTCGACTAAACTAGTATTCGCGCTTAGCGTTCCATCAAGGCCCACGGGTGTCGCATTCCACAACCGGGCATTCCGCCTATAAATTGCTGTCAAGAATTGAACCAACGATCAACCTGAGTCAATTGCCATCACCCGAGCATAAGCTGACAATCACCATTGGTTGGCCTAGGTCTCAAGCGATGTAGAGCCGATCTACAACACCGTCACGTGCAACTCTTCTTCAAAGACCGCGAAGCTCTCAGAAGATGGACCAAATGCAAATAATCAACAATAATGCGTGCCCGATTGGCAGTGGCAGCCTCATATTTATTCATCAAACTGGAATATCGCCGTATTGGTGTAACAAAGGCAGGCTCCAGCCGCTTACCCGGCCGGCGCGTACTGCAGGTCCCGCCCCACTCATAACCAGCGGTGAGAGCTTGAAAACAACAAGTTGCCAAAATGGCACGCCATTGTCTCCTATCACCTTCCTTCTACACACACACAATGATTAGAGGAAGCGCAATTGTCCGCCGCAAAGAGGCTAAAAAGGGGATCCGTCTCACGATCATGATCGTGGGCGAGTCGGGGACGGGCAAGACCACGTTCGTCAACTCATTGCTTGACCAGAAAATCTTGGACCATAAGTACCAGTCATCGGACGGGGATATGACCGCGTCGGCTTGGGAGAGAACGTTCCTTCCGCAAACGGCACACGAAGAGCCGGGAATCTCGATCACAGAGACGAACGTGGAGATCATTGACGAAGACGACTCAAAGTTGCTTTTAAACATTATCGACACGCCCGGGTTTGGCGAAAACATCAACAACGAGGTTTGTACGCGCGAAGTCATCAACTACCTCAAGCAGCAGTTCGATTTAGTGCTTGCAGAGGAGACAAAGGTGAGACGCAACCCAAAGTTTGTGGATTCGCGGGTTCACGTGTGCCTCTACTTCATCACGCCTACGGGCCACGGGTTGCGCGAGATCGATGTGGAATGCATGAAAAAGTTGCTGAAGTACGTGAACGTGTTGCCAGTGGTTGCGCGCGCGGACTCCTTCACGGAGGTGGAGTTGCGGCGGTTTAAGCGCACAATCATGGAGGACATTGAGAAGTATAACGTACCGATTTTCGAGTTCACCTACGATGAGGAAGAAGACGATTATGATGTCATCCAAGAGATTGAGTTTCTCAACAAGATCCAGCCGTTCGCGGTGATTGCGTCGGAGGAGGTTTTTACCAGAGAGGATGGCACCCAGGTGCGCGGCAGACAGTACCCGTGGGGCTTCATCAACATCGACGACGCCAAGTACTCCGACTTTCCCATCCTCAAGTCCGTCTTGCTTGGCTCGCACTTGCAGGACTTGAAGGACCTCACCCACGACTTTCTCTATGAGAACTACCGCACGGAGCGCCTTTCGAACGTCGGCGGGATGCAGTTTGAGGATGATAACGCAAACAACCTCTTGCCGAGAGACTTTTCGTTTATGGGTAATCCGGCCCGGGAGAAGCCGCCGCCGTCGTTGTCTAATCTCGCCGCGCTTGCCAACTCGGAGCTGACCACATCGATGCTTGGTGCGAATTCCACAAGGGCGCTCTATGAGCCATCTACCCCGACCCACAAGTCATCCATGTTGTTTGACGACGTCGAAGAGACGTCAGGCTCCCCTGCTACGTTAAAGAACGACACATCGTCGGTGCAGTCGCGCACGACAGACGACTCGCGCACGCACAGAGCAGACACATCGCAGTCGTCGGTGCGCATCCAGGGTGTGTACGATGACGGGGCCAGCGTGGGTAGCGCCAGTGCGCAGCCGCAGCGCCAGCAGATGCGCATGATGTCGGAAACGATCCCGTATGTGTTGAACCACGAGCGCATTGAGCAGCAGAAGTTGAAGTTACAGCAGTTGGAGGAAAGACAGGTGCGCGAGTTGCAGATGCGTGCGGATATGTTGGAGCGCAAGGCGAAGGAGTTGCGGTTGAGGGAGCGCACGATGAACGCGCAGAGCGAACAGCACCAACAGGGCGAGCAGAACGAGTCTGCCATCAAAAAGGAGGAGACCTTGACCGACTTGCATTCGGTTTTGCAGGAACAGTGATGTAATTAACGAGCCAGTGGATATTTGGATGTAAAGTTGGGTGTAGGCAGAACGCTATGACCAAAGCGTGGAAATACAGCGTGATGGGTAAAGTCAATTGAAATCTATAAGACGTTTAGGCTCAATATGCCACAACCATTGAAGTATCCAAAGCCTTGACCAAGAGGTGTAGGCCATCGGGACAGGAATTTAGCAGAACTGGCGAAAAGCCGACTTAGAAACTCCTGTGCCACTGCTCTTCCTACACATCCTTACGTGAATCATACTGATATATATATACATTGACAGCAAGTCTTATCAACTTGGGAACTAACAAAAGCTCACCTCCAGGCTACGTTTCAGCCTTTCTTTACAAGAAAGTATGGGACCTGGTCTTGTAAGTGTTACAATCCTTCAACCACTTCTTGTAGTCCTTCAAGCAGAAAATCTTCTCGCCGTAGTAGTCCGGCACTGGGTTGGCCACATTAGACTTGGAAGGGTCCGGTCTGTTCTTGATGATGCGCTCCAAGAAGATCTTCTCCTTGTTCACAAACTCTGGCATGTGCGCCCTATTCTTCAAGCTAAAAACGAGATCACCAATGATTGACGCACCAACCATGTAGCCGGTGGCGGTGGACAACATCATACCCCCAAAGAGCGCCATCAACGGGTCCATCCCGAACATCGTCAGGGTCGGATCAATGGTCACGGTCGAAATGTATGCCCATGCGGCGGTGGTGGAAAGGAAGGAGGTGGTGATCCCGGAGGACGTGTTGATCCAGCTTCTCTCCTTCTTCTTCTGGAAGTACTCGTTCCAGGTCAAGGTAGGCACCACCGGGGTTTGGGTGTTAAATAACGGTCTCGCAGTGGAGAATGCGCGCATGGAGGTTTTCAAAATACCAATAGATCTGAGCATGGTGGGAATGTTGTGTAGGTGCTAGGGTGAAGAGATGTCTGGTGCTGACCATGTAGCTTGCCTGAAATATTCTGTGAGGCTATCCGGTACGGACACTAACCTGCTGCATAGATCTATTATTGCTGCGATTGGATATGCTTGTGCTGTAAGGCTACTATTTATTAGTGCTTTAGATGTTTGGCTGTAGGTCCTCTTCGGTGGGATATCCAGAAATAGCCTTAAATGTTGCAGTGGTGGTTTAGTTCATAGGTCTGTGCATAGTCATCGGAGGGCATAGATTGATTGGCGTGCTGGCTTAATGTTTTAGAAATTATGGTTAGAGTATTCGAAAAGACCTTTATCAACGTTGGACTGTGTTATTTCGCCATTCAGATCTTGGGATTCTTGCACCAATATCCGAGAGAACGTGGTTTGGAGTTACGCCGTATAGGATAAATACAGGTCATAAGCTGATTTTGACATATAATTCGAGAGTTTATTAAAAAAAAAAAAAAAATACAGTAAATTTTAGGCTATAAAACTACGAGAATTCTAGTCCTTAGACAACTATATTATTATTTATGGTCAACGAGCCCAATGGGTGATCCTGCGCTCACCCCGAGAAGTTCGGAAAATAAAGAGCGAGAGTTGAAGCTGCTGAGCACCCCAAAGCTTGACCCCTTTCACATAACTAGCAGCCGTGGCTGAAATCGTATTCGTTTATGCTCCAACCCACATCTACATTCAGCTCTACACATGCCCTTTTCACAAAATGCTTAATAAATATGTCTAACCAGTGGACCTACTCCTGCTCGTCCAAGGTCTTGAAGACAAACTCCTTGGTGCTCTTGGTGTAGGAGATCCCGCTTTCGAGCAACTTCTGGAACGCAGCGGAAAAGTCCTTGAAGAAGAGGTCCTGGTCGTTGGCGTACTCAACACAGATCTTCTTGAACGAAGAGTCCTCGGTAAGGGCAATATCGGCCGGCAACATCATCAACGATTTGGTCTTGACGTCCTCGTACTGCTTAGGGCCATCCCACTTCTTGACCTGCCACTTGTCTTCCAAAATCAACTTGTAGAAGTCGTTGGTGAAGACGGTTGGCGAGAAGGTCCATGGGCCCTTGTAACCAGAGCGGTCAGCGTGGCAGCCACCCAAACAATGGGCGCCAATCAAAGCGACAGTTTCTCTCTCGGTCATGCCCATTCTAGCAAACAAGTTTCTCACATACGGGGCGTCTCTGGAGGCGTCTGGCAACTTTCCGTTTGGAGGACACTTGGAGGCATCCTGGTCGACTCTGCCGGCTCTCCACTTGACCTTAGGGCCGCCCAATTCCTGCACGGCACAGACCCCGCCAAGGGTCCATAAGTCACCGTATGAGATCCAGTCATACTTGACCTTGAACTCGTCCAAGAACTTTCTGGCAATCTCCAACCCATTGTTGGCATCATCAGTGGACTCTGGGGCGAATCTCATGGTGCCACCGTAAGACCCACCGGTCTTGTCGTTGGTGTCATAGGTACCAGACGAGTGCCACGCCAATCTGACCAAGACCGGGCCGTAAGAGCCGTAGTCGTATTCGTCTTCGTCCTGGAGCTTCTTCGCGATGGCGTTGTAAATTTCCTGGTACTCGTCCTGGGCCTTCGATGACACCTGGGCCGCGTTCAACCCAGAGGCACCGCCAAAACCGAACAAAGCCTTAGCAGCATTACCGTTGCTCTTTTTGTTGTTGTTGTCGTTGTTGTAGTAGTAGGTGGCCAAGGCAGCAGAGGTCAACCCGACAACCGCAGTGGATCTGACAAAGGTCTTGGAGCTGGCCTTGATCTTGAGAGGACGCAATTGCTTGAAAGAAGCTCTGGTGAAGTTGGAAGCAACAGAAGCCATGATGTGGTGATATGGTGAGACCGAGCCCGACATAAAAAAGGAGGGGAAGTCGTGTGTTATATAGCGTGTTGTCAGAGCCGTGGCCGGACAGCAACTGGGAGGTATCCCTCACGCAAGTGAAGACGAAAGTGAGGGGAGATGCGGCAAAGCGGAGAGAGACAGGGTCAGATGCGGATATGATGGGCGGAAGTTGCCTAATACGGTAATCAGACATTTCCGAGGTACATGACGATGACAAAGATAGAAAGTCGCGGCCTTCGATTGGCTTCGCGTTGGCCCTCGATGCCTGCATAGTTTATAAGCTGTGGCTGGCCATCAGGTTCCGCAGGCATGTGAGAGGCTCGGGCGTCAATGCACGGTAGGAATCTCACTAAACGATACAGGGAACTTGGGTGAAGTATAAACCAGATCTATGTGAGGACAAATTGAGTCTCGAGGTGGTCGGAAGGCCCGCTGATCCCGGAGTTTACTCTACGGATGCAGCAAAGGCTTGATCGTTTATGATCTGTTACACGTTCCGGTAGCATCGAATGTTCGAGACTATTCGACAGCCGTTTTAGTAAGGCTTTGAGTCGAAACTTTCTCCCTGCGTGTAATGGTGGCAACTGAAGAAACGCGCAGTATGCATGGCAGCGTGGTTATACCTCTATCCTACGCACTACTAATAATGAAGTATGATATACGGATCATGTTACATCCGCTCTATTTAAACTAGTCGGAAAAATCTGGACAAAAGGGTCTTTCCGATACCCAGCGTTTACAATCAGGCGCCGAGAGGCCGATTTCGAGTTTCGGATCGGATTTACCCGTACAGGGCAGAACCATATGCTAATAATTCGCGATGCTTGAGTCATGGCTCAAATCGAGCCATATTCTAGCGTTCTCTGGCCTGTGCAAAGCAACGAATATGGACTCTGGCCCTGCACGCCGTGCGTATTCGGCGCAAGCCACTCCGATATAACACGGGTGGGCCTAGAGGTCCTTAGAACTGATCAAAAAGCTTCAAAATCAACGTATGTATATTTGGCTAGTAGAGATTTCCGGTCTACCGCGCCATTATTTGCGAAAAGTGTAGGATAACCCTTAATTGTCACCGAACGGCAAATGTTTACGGCTTGACGCACAGTGGAAACTCCGACATCGTTCAGCAGATAAAAAGAAATATATTTACAACGGTGTACATGCGCATCAGGAAATAATTGTCAGCCAACCGGTCTAGGTTTATGACGAGATTTGCCAGAAAGCAATGAGGCATTTTTGCTACACAAATCACTATATATAAAGCTCGATTGTCACCCTCAATTTTAGATCCAAAGTATTTCCATAATCACATACACTCCGCACTGGAAATTCCCATACCGTTGTATCCATCCTTATCGCTTACCATGGGTAGATTTTCTGATTTGAGCTCCGTCGAGATCGATTTAAAGTCGCTTATCGACAATACCCTCACTGGTGAATTGGTCATCGTTGCTAAGAACGCCATCTCGTTGAAGGAGATTTCCGTCACTTTGGTGAACCAATTCACAAAGCAGTACCAAACCTTGCATAATCCGTATGTCAAGAAGTACGACATCTCGCGCAACTTTTCCCTTGGCGACAACTACAGATCGTTTGTGAAGGACGCTATTACCGGTGCCAAGTTGGAAAAGGGATCGACAAACACATACCCCTTTGAATTCTACCTTGACGAAAACTTGTTGAAGTCAATCATCGCCGCGCCCAGCTTGAAAATCGATTTGAGCAGCTACTTGAGCGTCAAGATCGTCAGATCTCATTCTTCGTTTGGCTCATCCACTGCGTATTCGGAAAAGAAGCACTTGGGGGATTTCATTAAGGCCAACTATCACACCCCGTTGGTCAGACAGTACTTGCCTATCAAAATTCACTTGGATGATGCCAAGGAGATTCGTGGCAAGGAGTACGAAGTTTCCAGTATCAAGCTTTCCTTGATCGAGCATACCGCCTACAACCACCATGATGCCACTGCGTCCCAGTTTGGCTCTCCTTTGAGCAGTACCAATGTTTCCGATGACGAACTGAACTCCTCTGCGTCGGCCCTTGATCTTCAGAAGCACTTCGATACCACCAGAAAACAGTTGCTCAACAAGTTGGTTGCAAACACGTCCACTTCTGAATATGACAGGAGCTGTGACCAGCATAAGGTTATTTCCAGCTTCGAGTTTGTTTCTGACGATTTAGCCACGGATGTGGGCTTTTCGGCCACGTCCAAGAACCAAATGAAGAGAATCGTTGGCCAGAAGTTGTTGCTTCAGAACGTGTTGCCAAATGTCAATATTCCTAGCGTCGTGACCATCACTCACCGTGTAAAAGGCCATGCTGTTAGAATCAACCGTGAATCTGGTGAGAAGGTTGACGCCGAGCAGTTTGAGCTTCCAGTCAATGTTAACTATGTTGACGAATCTGCCGAGGACGTATTTTTTGAAGCGTTCTTGGAATAGGCGCAATACCCATATATATCAAAATATAATTAATTAGAACTCCGTATATTCCCCTCGAAGTCTCTTAGGTATCATAAGGGCGCCGAACTGGGAAAGATTGATGAAAAATAAACTAAAATAAATAATAAAAAAACTAGATAGCGTTGCTTACGCAGGTGAAAACCGACCCATAAAGATGAGATTGGTACGAGAGGACAATACTGTCCACACTGGCATAGAGTCCGGGTCCCAAAATGTAGATACCAATGAGAATCAAGGCAAAGTTACTGATGAACTCAAGTTTACCGACGAATGACTCCTTTTTGAAGATTTCCAAAAAACTAATGTCTTGTTCGCCCAACGTCTCGACGTAATGAGACTTTCGCAACTGGAAATATGCAACCCCCCAGAAGACAAAGCCGAACCAACAGTCAAACAACGAAGACATCAAGGACAACAAATCAGAGAAAAATGGAATCACCTCGGCGATCACAAAGGCAATAGCCCACAAACCAAGATTGAGCAATACCCAGACCGTCCACCCCCTTTTGGTATGGTTATTACGGTGACGAGACTTCTCGTCAAAGATCCGGAGGAAAATAAACTGGGAAGACACATTGCCGTATAAGGCTCCCAAAAAGAAGATGGTGGGTAAAGCAAAAGAGAAGGCAATCTTCTTATAGTTGCCAATCAATGACCCGAAGGCCGGAGCCGTGATATATGCATTACCCACATAGACGTACACAATGGAACCTGCAAGCGCAAAGGTGATAAGTTCGCAAACGGTAACCAAGTAGAGGGCCTTCTTGAAATCCTTTGGTTCCTTCATCTGAGAGATGAAGGACGGGTAGGTGATTTGGCCGACAAACGTGTACACAATGTTTAAGAATGCAGACATCCCGCTAACGTACGTGGTTCCCTTTTCTGGCCACAAATTCCACTGGACGGGAACCTCTGGGTGAAACCCTTCGGGGTGGTCTTGGATAGCGGCAAAGATAACGGAAAGAATCACGGCCACAAACATGGTGAGTGCACTGAAGTAGGCAATTCCCGACATTGAGGAAAAGGTTCTGGGTAAGGAAAATAAAAAGCAAACGATAATCGTCACCACGGAAAATACGAGGGAACAGATGGTGGTGTTGTCGGAAATGGTATTGAAATACTTGGCCCCCACCAAGACGTGCAAGGCCTGGATGAGAGTGTTGTTCAACAAAAAGCACACTGCGGTAGCGTACCAAGCCCATTTCTTTCCCCAGAATAAGTGTTGGCCAATGTCGCAAACGTTGGTGATATGCGGGTACTTGGCACAGAAATCGCCAATAACCAAACCCGTGTACAAAACGGTCAAGGCAACAAACACGGTCAAGATCAAGCCGGGCACTAATCCCAAGACCGAGTAGGACCAAGGAAACGACATGATTGCAAGACAGATGTACTCCGAGAACAAAAGGCCCGCGGTTCTCTGCCACGAGCAGCTCCGGTAGTGGATCTGAACTTCCGAATCAGAGGCTACTTCGTCGTCCGGATACTTATCCTGGGTCACATCGGTACTTTTGTAGTGCGCCGCAAGGGTAATTTTTTCCGCTGACCCAGTGGTGGAGGATGACCGGGAGTTGGTCTCGGCTTTGGCTGTCATTCTGTCTTTTGCTTATGTCGGGTTTTGTTGCATGTGGCGGGGTCCAGTGCAATTTGGGAGACCAAAAAATAGGGCAAAGAGAATGTCACTGAAGGCTGAAGGGTGTCACATTGATGAGATGCCCGGCTCGTTTTATAATTTTTTTTTTTCATGAGATTGGGGAGTTCTCTCTAAATATTCTCGTTAACACACTTATGCATGATGTTGTATTCCTTGCACTGCTGGTCTCACGTGCATTTAGTATGTCTGAACCCACCAGAGTCAGCCACAATAGTTTACAGGTCTATGGGAGCCTCGAGGTAATCGTACATTTATAGATAACATTTGTCTTGAGGTTCTGGTGTGTCAGAGGGTTAGAGAATCAAATATTGAACGGAGTGTTTATGAAGAATTGTTGGTAATAGCTGCATACTAAACTATATCTAGTCCATGATCGTTTCGGTACTAAACTAATATCGTGGAATGCCGCAAATCTTAATCGGTTTCAGCACCGGAAGCCTCTTCGACCTGGGTTGATTGCTGCATTCTCTGCACCGGAGCTTATTGGAAGGGCCTGCATATCCACAGTTTACAATTGCGCGATATGACGCAATTGTGTATTTCTGGTTGAGGCACGTGAAATTGGCGTCTGGTATATAGGAACAGCGTATTGCAATCTCTCGATTGATACAGGTTAAAGTTTATGGTCTAGGCCCTGGATATTCGCCCTGCTCCAGCTATTATTAGGAAGTGAAATTTTCTGCCGCACGCGTAACCGTGGAAGTCAGCAGAACAAGACGTTGAACGTGACTACAAGGCCAGTTCGGTCGGTGTATATATCCATATATATTCCCATATATCATTTTTTCAGCGTATGTGTACAAATACTTGGTTACTGTAATTTATATATAAGGTAATATCATAAACAGCTGTTTAGTTGTTACTATAAATATAAATATATTTTATAAATAGCTTATTAAGGTTAAGGTCTCTCCGACATACACCATGTCAAAGTTAAAGGCAAATACCGTTTGGAAAATATTTATTACGTAAAAGTTAGAGATATAGTCTATTATGAAACACGAAACGAGACTCGAGAAATTACTTACAGATTACTCCCAATGATACCCCAAAAAGAAACGGGTACAAACCCGTTGAAAATGGCCGATATTAACCCCTAGCCGCCTTCTTAACCCAGTCGCTTAGCCCCTTGTTGTCATCAACACACTGGGTCAACCACTTACTTCTGGAAACATCCTTAATGGTAAACCTGGTGGAAGGTATCGGGTCTAACATTCTGATGACAACCTCCTTGGTATCCATGGATTTGATTCGGCAAAAGATCTCGAAGGATTTCCGCTTATCAGCTTTAAACGCAGCAGACTTTTCAAACGCATTGTTCATGACAAGCTTTTTGTACTGTTTCGCAACTTCTTCTGACTTGTAAAGACTGGCATACGCCTTGTAGTATAGATCCTCGGCGCTGGCCTCGTCCCATGGCTTCATCATGAAATGGATAACCAAGTACGAAAGACCAAGCGCCCACACATCCACAGCCCGGAAGTCAAACTTTCTAAAGACATCAGAGTCCTTTGCGACCGCACCGCTGTACCGCGGGTTGAATAATTCAGGGGACTTGTACGATACGGTACCAAGATTGATCTTGGCCGGGGCAAGGTCCGAGACACTACCGCCCTCACCTAAGTCGAGGGCATAGCCGAAATCGGTCAACTTCAACTCCCCGTTACCGTCAATCAAGACGTTTTCCGGTTTGATATCGCGGTGCACAAGATTGTGGCTATGAAGGAAAGTTACCGCCTTGACTAGCTTCTTGAAAATCAAGTCTTTGAAATCCAAAGGAAAGGCTAGCTTGCGTGACCGCACATCGCCGAGCAAAGTCTTGAGACAACCACCGTCCGCGAGAGGTAGCACAAGACACCAACGGTAGGGAATAGCCGTCTGCTCCTCGGTTTCCTCTGGGGTATGGTCCTTGAGGAGACTTAGAACGGACAAGATGTTGGAGTTGGCATTACATTTTTGCATGATTTTGAATTCGCGAAGTGATAAGGTATCATACAAGTGCTGGGTAGACGGGGCTTGGCCTTCTATGTGGCAGCTGGAGAGCTCGATTTTCAACTTTTTGAGCACGACTTTGGAAGAGGGGGCTTGATTCAGCCTAGCCGCATAGATCCAGCCACCGGCCCCTTCTGCAAGGAGTCTCCTGGCCGGGGCCGTGTCTGACGCACCCTTGGGCACAGCTAAACAATACAGATAAGCGGAGTCTTCCAAGTTGGGGTACTCTTCTGCGGGCGTTTCCTGTTCGATATCGGATATGTTTTGAAGTGGGGACACAGCCACATACGTGTCAAAGCACGCAGTTTCGTCTATAGAGACCTTGCGGATGTCCAATATCATCTCGTCACACGACGCGGCAGTGGTTTGGGGGGTTATATGATGGGTCATTGCCTCAATGTCGCTGCTCGCGGCAGACGTGAAGCTCGTGACGGAGGTGGAACGATACCAGGTTGTCATGGCTTGTGTAGTTTATGAGTTGTGGCTATAGATCGTTACGGAAAAATATGAATGGTTAGAGGGTCTTTTGATGGCAAAAGACGTTAGCGCATTACACAGCACTGGGGGACCTATTTGTCAAACGGAGGAAGAAATGGAGGAATGGTTCGGGGTACGCTGGGGTCATGTAATAGGGGAAAAGCAGTTATCAGAAGTTACGTAAGAATATTCTCGGTTAGCAGGGAAGTGAGAATAGATATATGGAACAACCGGGATGTTATATGGCACCCGTTTGTAACAGAACGACCGAAGTGTAATCAGCGTCATGCATGGAGAAAGTCAACTTTTCCCGCCCGTGAAAGTGCGCAATGGGAATTTCCTGCATGGATTCTCGGAAAAAAGAAAAAGTTTGGCTATCAGTGGAGGGGGGAATTGCCTTGAAAGGCAATAGCTCCGTCTGATGACGTCGTTTGGCCTTTTCTTCCCTCGTCACTCAGGCCGGCAAAAGCACCTTATCTACTGGGTTGGTCTAGGTTCACACCCACAAAAGTACGAAATTTCCCATGAACCAAAAACGAGCTAGGGGATTAGTCTTAACCACGGCTCGGAAGGAAGTGGCTCTTACGGATTGGCAGACTAATGGCCGGCCCGAGACCAAGGTTTGGAGTAAAATGAGGGGTGGGCCGGTGGGTCATCTTTTGCGCACGGTACCGCTTATCAGGAATCCTCTTCAAATATCATCATCCGGGCATAAATTATAAACAAAACTCTAATCAAGTTGTTATCCCAACCATAGCGACTCGATTATTGATAATTCCCAAAGGGCGCTTTCTTCCGCAACATCATGCCACACACATAGCGACAGTCGTAGCTTTTTCGCCCGCATTGTCAGTGGCGGTGTGTCCCAGCGTAAAGATAACAATCCCCGATAGGTATAGCACCATGTCAGTGGATTTAATTGATAGACGAGCTGATCTCACCAGATCAGAGAGCGATAGAGGAAGCTACCATGGGTACGGTCAGATCTATGTTATCCTGTATACATTATGGACCGATTTCGAGACTGATGGCCCTGCAGAATACCAAAACTTGAGGGCAATCAAAACACTACGTATGAAACATTGACATAGTTTGGGAGAGAAATACAAACAAATACCGGGAACTACCAAGCTCGGAAAGAATGAGCTGGTGCTATGACCGTGACCTGACGAGCCAGGAAGGTGCCAAGTTGACGTCAAAAATCCAGGTCTTTTTCTGGACAGTCATTATCAATAGGGTGTTTCCATTATATAAGGTGGCTGCCATTAAAACTGTCAGCTGGAATCTAAAGTTTGGGGGCTTGTTAACCAGGGCTAACCTACACGTGGGTCATATCAACTTTTGCTGTACGTAAACCGAGCTACATTATAGACACCGTGGCAAAGCAAGGTACTTTAAGACAATATCATTGGCTAGTGCGGGGTTCACACTAACGGTCCGAAAATACCCCTTTGATTGTCAGCTGTAGCGGTTCTGGGGTCTAACAGTGAGGCTAAAGGATACAAGTCTGGCATTGACTAGGGCAGAATGTCCCTGCGACGTCTGAGCTCGGATTGTGAAAAGAGGGCCATGAAATTCACAGTCATTAAGGGCTATTCGGTGCCCAATCACTCACTTTAAGCATAATCGTGTAACCTGAGCTACCACCCAATACACCACGCTTACAGGGCCAATGCTTGAATAAGAAATTAGTATTATAGAAAGGTATTAAAAGGGGGTAGAAATGGGAAATTAGTAAGACAAAAAGGAAAGTTTCAGGACGAAACGGCAAGGCAGAGAGGGAGCAGGAGACTTGCTTCGTCAGAACCTTGATTACGACTCAACTTATTCCTTAGAGAGCGTTTACCGTTTGGGAGTTGGTCTTGGCGTTTCTCACCTTGAAGAATTTAATGCCCTTGGAGTTGTTTTCGGTGGCCGGCTCGGCCTCCACAACGCCAGTCTGGTCGGCGTACGGGTGAGCAGCCTCATCGTCAGAGTCCGGGAATCTCGAGTCTCTGTATAATTTTTCGTGGTCGGCACCGTAGGCTCCCTTGGAGCGGCTAGAACGACCACCGAAACAGGAAGCGCAGCACAAACTGAACAGGGAAACAATCAACAAGAAGGTGGAGGTCCAGGCAAAGGCCAACAATTTGACACCATACTTAGGGCTCATGCTAGCGTCCTTGAATTGCTTGTGGCCCAAAACCACAGCGGAGGTCTGGAAACTGGAAGCGCCGGCGATGAAAATGAACGCAATAAAGACGGAAAAGACACTCAAGAAGCCAATGATGCGGCCGGTACCGCACAACAAACCAAAGGAGCCCAACAACGCCACAAGGGTGAAGAAGAGGCCCACAATCCAGAAAGCGTAGGCGAATCTGGTCAAGTAGTAGTAGGTTTTGCGCGACGTGACAAAGCCCGATGGTAAGGTATCGGAGTCACCGAAGTTGTCCTCCGGCGAGAATGGGTACGCAGGCTTCTTGATGCATCCGATGACGCTGCCGCCGTCGACGTTGCAGATACCGTTGCTGGTCCATCTGGAGGTGGCAAAGTCGGCGCTGGTGGTGCTGGTGATGCTGGAGGTATCGGCTTGGATCCAGTAAAGCTTAGTCAAGAAGGAGCCGTGGGTGGCACCTGAGAGGATAATTAAGAAGGTTAGCAAGGCCGAACTAGGGGCGTTAGTATGGAGTCCGAAACAGTTCCAAAACGGTTACATACCCTGCGAGGAACAAGATCGGCACGAAAGTAAAGAGACGCCTTAACATATTGGTATATTTGGATATATAGTTGTCCAAGGTGTGTGTGCGTTTTAGGAGGGGGAGATTATATATATAGATGGTAGCGAGTGACACTACAAAGTGGGCAGGTTGGACTCGGCCGTCACTTGCTACTCATTCTCAGGTTGGTCACCAGAAGCGGCTGCTAGCAAAGCCAAAACAGCGAAGCGTGCGTGCCATACGGGAAGGAGAAAAAGAACAACACAGGCCTGCGCAACCAACAGACAGCTGGAAAAAACAAACAAATTAAGGAAATTTTAGTATTCTCCTGCACTGTGTGTGCGTGGTGAGCTGTTGTCATGCGTCAAAGTGACGTTTTAGATGCAGCTGCCACTAAGAGCAAGCACTCAGAGGTTGCTAAACCCAAGGTTTATCTAGGGGTTACTGCATTTGAATCGTGAAGCTTGAACTCTGATTCAGATTGCTGCCGCAAACGTTAGGGTGACGTAGTATTTGAAATACCGTGAGGTGTATCTGGGAGGTTGACACCTGCAGATTTTCGTATTGCTGCGCCATCCAAGCTGTACACGGCACAGCCTGCATGGGTGTAGCATCTTGTCGCTACATTCCCTTGCGTAACCAATTGGGCAATTCTGAACCGAACTATTCGTAATGAATCCTCGGCTTTGGATGGAAATGGTGCCAGAGGGCTTCAATCTAGATGCTCTCTAGCGAAGAGATTACTAGGAAACGAGGGATGAAGCCATAGCACGCAGCAAGTGGGTAGGTACAGGATGCACATGCAAAGTCGGTCTACACCGGCTCCGAATGGAAGAGGGGAGGTTAGGGGGGCCGAAGCTATATATAGAGTATATTTGATATATGCGGGAGACAGGATACTAACACCCAATATTTACGGTTACAGGGGGTCTGCCAGTCGGTAGGACATGCTCTGTCAAGCTAATTAAAAATCGTAAATATGAGCTCTAAGGGTTATTGGGGGTACTCAAACCACGTTTATTTCCTTGTCTCATGTACCATATTTTTGCACTGATATAGACATAGCCCGGTGCCTAGGCTTGGACGAACAGGACAGGATCTGAAGGTTTAGGTCGTATCTACACCAAGGAAGCGCACGTTCGGCCCTTGACACGCGGAAAATCTCCTCTTGGTTTATTGGACATTGTATACCAAACGACAATGATGTTAAAAAGCATAATTTGGCGAGAAGCACCAAATTTGACGCCCTTGGAAGCTATAAGAGCGCTAAAGAATGGTTTATGAGGATATTACTGGCGTGCGAATGGCTTGCCTCTAGTTTACCTTGGACCGCCAATTCTGGCTTTTAAATAGTGGAGGTCCTGTGCATGCCTTACGTAGTATTACGTGGTTGTCTGTGTTCAGTATAGAGTTAGGCATAATCTCTGCTCACCAAGAGATCTAGAGCTTTCCCCTGTGGGCTCCCTATAATGACTTCTCAAGTAGTGTTTCGCATTAATTTAGTTTGCGTTTACCGGAACCGACTGTTTCGAGAATTCTGTCTGTTCCCTGATGTAAGGCTGCCGAAACGTTGAAGCAGACAGGAGAATGGCGGGTAAATATGCACTTGTTTACAAGACAAGGCTCATTTCATAGGTTTCAGCTTATGCGGGTCCACTGCCTCGTTTTTATTAATACCAATGAAAACGGTCCAGACATCGACACGTCGTGAACATATAAATAGGTGCAGTTTCCACATTTCCTTTATATTTCACGTAGAGCTTTTTGTCAGTAAGTATATTCTCCAAAGATTTTATACATAACCGAAACAAATCAGATCCAAGTTTCAGTCCAAATTTTCCAATGAGTATTAGCAATATTATCTTGAGTGAAACTACCACGAACCCAGCTGCGATTCTTGCCCCCTTGAGTAGTATCGCGGGTGATCTCACTTCCACCGCTGTTGGAGTTATTGCTTCTACCGCGTCTGCCGCTTCCCAGTTTTCTACCGGTACTGAGATAGCCTCCACTGTTTCGACAGCCTCCATTGTTTCGACAGCCTCCGTTGTTTCGACAGCCTCGGCTTCCGTTGGTGTCTCTGCAGTCTCCTCTGTCGCATCTTCAGCTCCAATCGGAGTGTCTATTGCTTCATCTACTTCTAGAGCTTCCTCTGCTCTCACGAATGCTTCCTCTAAGACTTCCAAGACCTCTTCTGCCTCTTCCAAGACCTCCTCCGCCTCTTCTAAAACGTCGTCCGTTACCTCTTCTACTTCTGCGGCCGGTGCTATGGGTACCTCTGACCAAAACTGGAAGACAACCTTCATCGCTGCCTCCCTTTTCGGGGTTGCTGCTGTCTTGGGTGCTTTCTAGATTTGTGTGTGGGACTCAACTCAAATGCACAATCTAGGGGCGCAAACATTGATCCACATTGCTATATTTACAAAACCTTTTTTCTCAAGTAATCAACAGTTAAATTTTGTCCTAGTTTCTCTCATCTATGGTGCCGCATGTAAAGATAACCACTTTAGGCCTAGGTCCATTCATACTCCCGATATCACATCTCTGGGCCGGCAAAAACGCATATGCAAGTTATACATGAGCATGCATAGATGTATACATCCGCCTGTTCTAGGACTCTGCTAGCTAGCTATGACTACAGCAGAGACAGGGTATGGTGACCTACAATTCTTTTGTTAAATTTAGATACACCGCCTTTTATTGACTGTTTCAAAATCAGAGACACAAGCTCATTGAAGGCCATGAAAAGGGAGAATCGCAGGATAGACAACCTCGAACAAAACATATTTCTATATGGTTTTCCAGAATTAGTATACCATGGTTGCCTTCAGAACCGATAAGTACCCATCGCATAGGAAGCAGTGGAGATTTTGTGATTCCCTGGGATCGCACATAACGTTCTGTGTATCTCCTGTACGGGATATCCTTAACCTTAAACCAGGAAAGCTTTAACGGCGCGACTCAGTGTGCACACACTACCAAACCTGCATCATTAGCGCCGGAAAAGGAAAAAAAGGCTGATGAAAATTTCAATGCAAGTTAAAACGGGTTGGGTAGACTTACATATCCGCAAAGACTACACATCAGTTTTCATTGTTGACACAGAATCAGGAACCAGGAACACAAGCCGTTACGCTAGCACAGCCTATATTTCCTACCAGTTACTCACCAAACCCGGTATTGCAGTGATCCATTCCTTTCAACGTGCTATGATCAGAAGTGGGTTTAAGAGAGTATTCGAACACGCCCAGACTACACAGCATTTTACCAGAACCATGGCAACCAAAAAATCTCCTCTGACCACCCCAGAGCCCACCAAGAAAGGGAAATCGTGGAAGGCCGACCGCCCAGCTGCGTTTAGAAACAATCGCCCCACAGGCCCCAAATCGTACGAGGCGAAAAAGTCGTTTGGCGATAGAACGAGCTTTAGCTTGAAGCCAAATGCTGCATTGTTGAAAAATTCTAAAATCGACGAGATCTTCCCCGAGCTCAAGGCCAAGAACGGCAGAAAGCATACAAACACCCCGGAGCGTACCATGGAAATCGAAAACTACACAGAGAACCTCGAAAAACGGGGCAAAAAGACCAGTGTCTACCTCAATAACCCCACATCGATCTCGCGCATTACAAAGTGCGTTCAGCAGGTTGCTAACAGAAAGACGGTCTTGTTCTGTATCGACGTCGAGGCGTTTGAGCGCAACACCAAATGTGTACTCGAGATCGGAATCTCCATCTATGACCCGAGACTCCAGGAAAATGCCATGTTTCCGGTGATACACCAGTTCCATATTTTGTTGAAAGAGACACTAAAGATGAAAAACGGCGCATTTGTGCCTAACAACCGCGACAACTTCTTGGGCGGGGACTCGTTGGTGCTCTCGTGCGAAAACGCAGCCACCTTGGTACAGCTCTTGATCAATCACTACTTTGTCGATTTGCCCCAGAAGAACCCGGGCTATGAAACCGCACTTGTGGGCCATTCCGTCAAGGGTGACGTCACCTGGTTCCAGTCCCTTGGGATCAGCTTCCCGCAGGAGCTCTTAATTTTGGATACCAAAGACGTGTGGGTGGCCTCTCAGGGCGATAAGGGCTGTAACCTAGGCAAGATCTTGCAGAGATTGCGTGTCAACCATTCGTATCTCCACAACGCCGGGAACGACGCTTACTTCACGTTGATTCTTGCAATGATGTTGGGCGATCCGTCCACCAGAATCCACCATGAATTAGACACATACATCTCTCCACCCGACTCGGACCTCGATCCAGCGGTGTCGCAGATCTCCATGATGCGTATTAAGTATAACGGTGCCACCCACAAGCCAAAGCCTGTGACATACTTTGGCCAGTTCAGAAACATCGACCGGCCGATTGATGCCGTGGAGACCGTTCTTTTCCCTTCCAAGAGAATGTAGGAGCCACCTAGCTTTTAGTTAGAATGTAGAATGCTTGGATGGCCTGCATTTTTTTGTATTCGTTCATTGTATCTTTGAATTAGTAACAGCTTATACAAATTTGAAATTTTCAGAATTTTTGTACACGGGTCAGTGGTATTCCTTCGTGTCTTTAGCGGGTGATGCGAACCCAACATAGGGCTTGCACAGGTTAACGATGTAGGAACATCTCCAATCAACTTTCAAACTTTCACGTCGATCATATCTGAGCTCACTAAAGTTCTCATACGTTGACTATGATATTTTTAGAATATTGACTGCCCTTGGTGAAAAGACCATAAGGCCTCCAAGCGGCGCACGCATGCACCTAGTAGACTGACCCTGAGTCACGCGACATTACGTCTGTATGTTTTCACAGGTAGACCGAGGAACCCCGATATAGAAACAATCAGCCATCACAGCTGGGCCATTATACCCCGGTTGGAGAAATTTCCTTGCTTTGTCTCTGTTCATTTACCCTCACCAATTAAGGGCGCAAAAAACAGTTGTTAAGCCAGCGCCCCTCTGAGCAAAAGCACGTGCTAATATCCAGGGCCCCTGCCTCCGAAACCTACATACTCTCCTTCAAACCGCATTATATATCCATAATCTCTCAGTAGACTCCCCTCTCCCTGGCTCGCGAAAACTTGCCCCTCAAAATCGATGTCGAATATAATCGTGCTGCCTAGACGGTACTGGTGGGGTTCCATTTTTCGTGCGCGTACCGCTCGTGCCACCAAACAGTAGTTCCATTGCCGAGCGGCATATATCCTGTCTGGGCGCTACTTCAATTTTAATTTTTATGAAACACAAAACAGACACGCTTTGTTCTCAGATACCAACCTATACCCCATCGCTGTTTTACGCGTATTCAGCACAGTACACGTCCACCAGCTGATATCTAGCGCGACTGTCGACAACACGCTTCTGCAAAGCCCGCCGACTCGACTTGATAGCCCTGTGATTCGCAAAATTCACCCACAGCCTGAGACCAGAAACAAAGCCGCCTTCAAAAGATATCCTATATCCACCGCAAAAGCATATCTTGACATCTATAGTGAGCTCCTTACCTATTCCCCGCCGTTTTGCGTATATCCGCCTTCCAAAACGCCGGCTGTCCAACTAAAGTATACAAGACCCGTTTATATTCACTGGTTTGCCGATATTCACCACCGAGTTTTGCCAAAATCGTCCCAATTAAGTGTTTAAGCACCTTTGCTGAAATCAAAACGCGCCTTTGCATACCCACTCAGCCCATATAACACACCCGTACCATGCAATACGATATACCTTCGACCCATGCCTCTGGCCCGTCGCTTGCCACAGGTACACCGCGACGCGTGAAGGTGTACCTCCTCAGTGGTGAGGACTGGAAGGACAACGGAACGGGCTACTGCACGGGCGAACTCGACAGCGTGGCACCGCGGTTTGTGGTGCGCAACGAATTAGACGCAAGTGAAATCCTCCTCAATACCGTTTTGGACGGCGACACACAGTACCAGCGCCAGCAGGATACCCTTATTGTGTGGACGGATCCTGCGGGCAACGATATTGCTCTTTCCTTCCAGGAAGCCGAGGGCTGCAACTCGCTCTGCGACTTCATCATCGACATGCACGAAAAGTACTCGAGCAACATTTCGCTCGTGCAGGTGGTTCCCGGCGGGATGGAGGGCGCCGACATCACAGAGCTCATCGTAGGCCCAATGAACTACCCCCCGCCGGTCCCTACGACCCAGAGCTTGGAGCAGGTGCTCGAGCCTATCGGCCAGGGCTCCAACTCCGTCTATACGCGTGAACACATGGCCAAGTTTCTCATTGACCACGACTACATTCTGAAGCTTGTGGGCGTTTTTGAGAGCGCGGAGCAGCGCCGCGACTTGAAGAGCCTCCATCTGTTGTGCCGCATCCTCAAGACGCTCACGTTGTACAATGAAACATCGATCATTGAAATTATGATCGAGGACAAGGTGATCATGGGGGTGTGCGGGATCTTTGAGTACGATCCCGATTTTCCCACGCACAAGGCCAACCACCGCGAGTACTTGGCTGACGAATCGAAGTTCAAGGAGGTGGTGGAGCTTACCGATAGCGATGCTGAGATTAAAAGTTTGATTAAAAACAATTTCCGGTTGCTGTTTTTGAAGGATGTGATAATGGCGCGGTTGTTGGACGATGCGACACTTACGTTGATGAACACGTTGATCTATTTCAACCAGGTGGAGATTATCAGTTTTTTGAAAGAGTCACCATACTTTCTTGATCAGTTGTTTGCGATGTACGAAAGCCAGAACCTGCAGCAAAACGAATGGACGCGAAGCGGCATTGACGTGGAACAGAACGGCACCGATGTGGATCAAAATGGCCCGGAAGACCATTCCGAAACTGATATGGACCTAAATGGTTCAGGGGATTCTAGTACCGCGGCGGATCAAAACCGGTCAGATGTAGATCCGAACACTACAGGGGATTCTAGTACCGCGGCGGATCGAAACCGCTCGGATGTAGATCCGAACACTACCATTGGTGACCCAAACAGTTCTGTTACCAATCCAAACATGAAAACTCATCGCACTGCCATTCCAACCACCGAGGTTAAACGCAACGGGGTGCGGATGCTTCACCAGTTCACGCTCATCACTAAATCCCTACAGCCGAACCAGAAGTCGGACTTTTTCCGTCTGCTTGTGCAGAAGGGATTGTTCAAAATGCTCGGGTTTGGGTTCAAGGACGAGCTAACGGCGATCCGTGTCAACAGCGTTGAGTTGATTGTCGCCATCATCGAGCACGACGTGTTACTTGTAAACGGGTGCCATCCCGATGACGCGTCGTCCCTCAAGCTCTCCAACAACATGAGCTTGATCTCGATTCTCAGCGACTTGATGATTAACGAGGCGAACCAGGGTCTCAAAATCCAAGCGTTTGAGGCCCTCAAGCTCTTGCTCGACCCGGCTGGCGACAGTTCCGGTAGCAGCATGGAGTCGTTGAAAACTGTAACCACTTTGAAAACCGACGAGTACTTTAAGGCGTTTTATGCAATCGTGGCCCCCAGATTATTTCAGCCGATTGTGGATGTGGCCCGACAGAAACCTCTCGAATACGGCTACTCGATGAGCCGATGCCTTCTTTACCAGCAGTTGTGCGAGCTCATTGCGTTCTGCACGCGAGAGCATGACAAAAACATGTGCCGGGTATTCTTTTTGGAGAACTCCATCTTGCTGGGTGTATCGAAGCTCGTGGAACAGACGACCCGCTTGCAGTTGCGTCTTGCGGGAATCCGGTGCTTGAAACACATTATCTTTCTCAACGATGACATCTACACCCGCCACGTCATAGCCAATAACCTCCTCGCGCCCATCTTCCAGCTTTTAGAGGAGACGAACCGCTTGAACAACTTGGCCAACTCCACGTGCTTGGACCTTATCGAGCAGGTCTTGAACGGCTTGGACCGAGCCGAGCATAAGAAGAACTTTAAGCTTTTGGCCACGTACATTGTTGGCCAGTTCAAGGGGTTATTGACAAGCATCGACTACGTTTCCAACGGCTCCGAGCTTGTGACCTTGGTGGAAAACAAGTTTGCCGTCCGAGAGAACACTTCTGTCACGTCACTGATTTCCACCGCCACCTATAATGATGCCCCAACGAACGGCGAATTGTTAGGAGCGTACTTTGGCGATGACGACGATGACGACGATGACGAGGCTGAAGAAGACGTGGACATGTGCAATGGCAGTATGTTGGCCAGCGACCCCATCAGACAAAAGGCTCCGAACTTGCGAGACGCAGATCCCCTTACCCTCAGGTCGGTGAACGAGGAAGCGAACGGGAGACAGGTGGAGGCTTCTGAATCGGGGCTGGAGAACGAAGAGGAAGGTTTAAAGAGACTGCGTGATTCGGACGACGAAAACGAGAAAAGCAGCAAGCTCTCTTCCTCCATCAAGACAAAGTTTTCCAACGCAAGTAAGACTATTGTCTCGAAGTTTAAGAAGGAGAAGGTGTAGAGGTTTTGGAGGTTCAACGAGAAGGTGTAATGTTTATAGGTTGTTTCAAGCGCTGAGGCAGCAGTATTTGCTTGTAACATTGTAATGGCCAAATGGGTGACATACACGAGTTAAGGTGTGGGTGCGTCGTAATATGAAGAAATACCCTGAAGCATGAAAGAATAGCTGTACTGGGAGTATCCTAAGCTACATGACCAGATAAAGCTACATGAACAGATAGAGCTACGCGTGGATATGTGTGACAGGGGATCCCGAGAATACAGACATGAACATCTTTTAATCCACGATAATCCAAGTCGTAAAACCCCAGAGCTTCGAAGGTCAATGCACTTCAACGAACGGTGTAAATTGGTTTGATAAAACCTGTCGACTGCATTCTGCCTTGAACGGAATTAACTACCAAGTGCAACACTTTCAGACGCTATCATCAACATTAAACGAATACTGGAATACCCACAGCTAGGTGTTTCTGTGGATTACATACAACTACCCACCAGACCCTGTTTCGGGAATGCCTCTAAAACCAATGAATATAATAAACGAATCACCTAAACGAATACTCAATTATATGAACCTTAGGTAATTTTTTAAAACTTATCCCAGTCATCCCCCCAGTCCTCTTTCTTGCCCGCCAACCCCGGCAACGCGGTTTTCTCCTTTGGCTTGGCCACACCAAACGCCGGCTCCACCTCCCCCGCATCAAACAATGACTGCTCCTCGCCTAACCCGTCAAACAACTGGCCGTACTTGCCGCGCGCCTGCGGCTGGGGCTGACCCAACGTGGAGGTGAAGGCCGAAAACGTCTCAGCGCCGAGCTTCCCCGTTTCCTGCATCTTGGCCCCGAACTGGGACATAGCGCGACGTGCCTCCTGGTGCAAGTTGGGATCGTTCAACTTGGACACACCCGGCTGGATGACGCTGGTGTTGACCTCCTCTACGGACTTGGCAACGGTGGAGGTGAACAAGCCCCAGCCCTTGGTCAAGGTGCCGAGCGGATCTTTCTGGAGATTGTCAATGGTGAATGCGGAGAGCGACGAGCCGTTTGCCGGCGTGGGCGTGTTGCCGAAGCCGCTGTACTTGCCGCCCTGCGACGGATGCACGTTGTCTGGCCTGGCCTCATTCTTTGAGCCCAATTCCGAAAAGTAGGCCTCGTTCTTGGTGCGTGGGGTGGGCGTGGTCTTGCGCGACTGCGTTGGGGAGTCGGCAAACTCCGCGCGCTGGTTGCGCGCCTGCTGCGACTTGTGCTCCGCCGCTGGAGGCATGCTCGTGAGACTCTCGCCCGTGTGGTCAGGCTGCACAAACTCGCGCCCCTCCACCAAACAGGACAACTTTTCCTTGTAGTCCGTGGCGACGTAGTTGTCATACTTTTGTTTAGGCGCCCAGGTCATATCAACCCCCTGAGCCTCAAAGTACGCGACACAGTTGTCGTTACCCCCGAGCTCCATGCGCTGGAGCTCCGCAGGCTTAAACTGGTCCATCGTGATGGACCTAACAAACGAAATGTGCACGCCTAAGCCGCGGTGCACGCCCGCGCACTCCAAGCAGATAAAGATCCCGAACTTTGGCGACGCCCACTGCGGGTTAGGCGCGCGGCAGTCTAAGCACTTCTTGTTACCCGCAAGCTTCTGCAAGCTCAAGAGCTTTTTTCTAGTGTCTGGGTCAACGGTCCAGTCTGACATGTGGGTGTGGTGGGTGAGGAGGGATCAGGAAAGACGGTGCTGAAATTTGAGATGGCTATATGTCGCGCACGCACACGACCGGCTGACTTACGTGGCTTGTCATGAAAACGGTATTAACACGCCCTGGTATGATACGGGAGTATGAATAAGAGCACGTAAGAGGGAGTCTTATGACGCCTCGCACGACGCGCTTGGTTTATACATTAAACGGTTTGCTAGGGTCATCTAAATAACCGAATTGGGCCTTACTTTCACCCACCGGGTCCCAAAATCGGGCCTGTTCCAGAAGTTGAAATCTACTTACGGCTTATTGAGATGGATTTCCATTTTTGACAGTGTTTATCCAATAGTAATGCTTCTATCCTGGTTGCTTTAAAAGGTTAGCACTAAGAAAAAAAAAGACTGTCAGCGGATTTTATACCTACAGTGCATATGAAAAATCAGATATAAATAAGAAAAGAGCCCGCTTTGAAATAATAGTGCCCGCTTACAACTTCGATGGCTCATTCAACATCTTGGTGAGGCCCACTGGGTAAATATCTTCGCCGTACTTGAAGCCCATGTGCCATTGGGCACCATCAACGACCTGGGTAGTACCGGTGATGTACGTTCCAGCTGGAGAGAACAAAAACACGGTGGCCTCGGCAATGTCGCGGGTGGTCCCATATCTTTGCAATGGAATCTGCTTCTTCAAATCAACACCACGAGTCAATCTGTCGAACCCCTCAGTGCCTGCAATGGCACCTGGGGCGATGCAGTTTGATCTGACGCCCAATGGACCCAATTCGACCGCTAAAGCGTTGCTCAAGGCGTCCACACCGGCCTTGGCGGCACCGACATGCACCTGGAACGGAACACCGTAGTAATGCAAGGTGGCACTGACAAAGAGGATGGCACCCTTGTTCTTCTTTAATTGGTCGTAGCACGCCTTGACGGTGTTGAAGGAGCCCAACAAGTCAATGCCGATGACAGACTTGAACGCGTTGGAAGACAAGTGGTTGAAGTCACTCAAGAAGTTACCGGCAGCACCGGCAATCACAAAGTCGATTCTGCCCAACTCCGCAACCACTCTGTCGACAGCCTCCTTGATCTGGGTGACCTCCCTGACGTCACAGTTAGAGCACGCCACCACTCTAGCGCCCGGTCTGAGAGCCTCGATCTCGCGTGCGGCCTTTTCGGTCTTTTCCTGATTTCTTCCCAAAATAGCAGCGTTAGCCCCTAAAAGCACCATGGCTTCCGCCTGCACACGGCAGATGGTACCGGCACCACCGGTGATGAAAACAACCTTGCCCTTGAACAAGTCGGCTTTGAAGGTTCCGTTTGTGACGAAAGATTGGTCTAACGTAGTCATGGCGTGTGTATTAATTACAGAATATTCTGGTTGGCAGGGAATCGACAAACGAAAAGTGGGGATTGCGTCCTTATATATGATTTCTGCGTACCCCACAGCGGCGCGTGTTGCTTTCCTCCAGCGAAATTCTGCATGTGACGTTCTTAATGTGCGGCAGTTCCGGCCGACAGCCGAACGCCGAAATAAGGCGCGGGCTCCAAGTCCTGGGGAGGGCTGCATCAATCTGGGGACGGTAGAATTTAGTCAGCACGGGGTAGACGGCGGGGTTTGTACCGTTTTAATTTATTCATACGGGAGAAATTGTCGGTCTGAACAGAACTCACGAGGGGCTTAGCATAGTAACCGAGGCTCTGATATTGAGTCCGTCAAAGTCCTTAGACCAATACGTGCCGTGGATATTCTACTTTATCCGTTTCGGTAGACCCAACGGACCGGACCTTGTAAGGTAGAGATATAGATTGTGGGGGAACTGGCCAGCTCAAAAACGGAATGCTCTTGGAGCCGGAATGATTGATCCTCGAGGAGCCGCACGACTTTCGGAGCCCTGATAATATTTTAGACGTGCCGGTCTCTATATGTAACGGGGTTGGAATCTAAGCCAAAAATTTGAGCTCAACCAGATTCGGGGAAGTGAGAGACTTCGAGTTATTCTACAAAATTTCTGGATCCAAAGCACTTTTCCCTCCCAGGATTGTGATACAACCGAAGGGCAAGGGTGTTAGTAAGTCATTCCATATTGGAGAATGTCGTAACCCCATGATATTCATAGGTTATCCCTGGGAATCCATAACCTTTCCGGCATACTTCATGCCTGGTGTAAAATCCTTCCAAGGAGCTCACCCTAAGTGCATGCGATTATTATCACACTTAAGTTTATCGCAAATCCGATGTATAATGGCCTTGGCAAATTAAATCTACAATCACAGAGCCTCATTTTTCGTGTTATACTACAAACGCGGGAAAGCATTACGTGAAACACTCGGTATAATCTAAACCCTTAATCTCTGACCGGAGATCTGGATCTGGAGCCGCCTCTGCGTGGGGAGTGGGCCGGGGATCTGCTGTATCTTCTGGTCTCCTCTCTTGGCTCTCTTTCTCTGTCGCTGGCCTCTCTGTAGCCGTCTCTTGGAGGTCTGTCCGCGTCGTATCTTTCTCTTGGGCTGTCTCTTGGGCCGTAGTCTCTTCTTTCGTACCCACCTCTGGAGTCGTATCTTTCTCTTGGGCCGTTGTAGTCACCTCTTGGGCCGTTGTAACCGCCTCTTTCACCCCGTTCTCTTGGGCCAGAGTATGGACCACGGTCGCCTCTTGGGCCGCCGTAGCCAAAGTCGCCTCTAGGGGCGCCATAGCCCCTTTCTCTTGGACCGTTGTATGGGCCTCTTTCGCCGCGTGGGGCGCCGTAGTCACGTCTAGGGCCGTCGAAACCGCCCCTGAAACCTCTGGAGCCGCCTCTGCCGCCTCTTCTGGAAGAGAAAGGCTCGGATCTGGCCATCTGGACCATCAAGCCCTTTTCCATGGCAAACTTGTTCATGTCACCGTCCATTTCGGTCAAAGCCTTTTCGGCATCTTCTTCGGCAACGTACTCTACGAAGGCGTATGGTAACCCATCGTCGGTTCTTGGAGGTGGAATGTCCAACCGGATCAATTTACCGTACCTGGAAATGATGTTAGTATGGATGGGATGGGACGTTCGATTATTCCTCCGTTTGAATGTTCATTTCGAGTGCACTGTGGATTGTTTGCTTACTGCACTTCGCCGACGAATTGCATCTTGCACGCAGTTTCACAAGAAAGGATGCAGTTGCCGAAGGCGAGGAGAGTGACGGGACAGTTGGATCGGGAAGTAAAAGGGAACGAAGAAAGAGGAGTAGGAGGAATAAAAGAGAACGGGAGGGAAAAGGATATAGTGATGGAAAGCACTCTTAGCTCAGAATGGGACGTATCTAGTGGAGTCCAGACGTAGGAAGGGTTTCAGGCAGAGATAGAGGGAAGAGAGGGGGAGTATGCAATCATACATCAAGTATCTGTGAGTCAGTCAGATGACTGGACACTGGAATCCTGAAGAAAAGACCGAGACGCATCCAAAAGGTGTAAATACAAAAAAAAAAGATGAACTGATGTCTGATCAGGACATCAGTTCAGGGGCGTGGAGCAAATACAAGACAACAGAGAGAGATAGAAACATAAAAAGGAAACTGGATCGATGGTAGATTCTACTTACTTTTCGAAGAAGGGGGCCAATTCAGCGGCGTTGGTGCCTTTGGTGAAGCCTGAGGGGTGTTAGTATGAAGTTAAGGGTAGCGCTGGACAAGGACCGCAATCAGCGTGGCATGGAGTGTGTTCTCCAGGGATGCACGTACCAGTAACATATAAAGTAGTTCTAGGCATGGTTGTGTGCTGTGTGGATGAGAAGAAATGAGCTTGCCTTCGCAAAAAGCCGCTAATATAGACGCCGACATCAAAAGCGGTTGAGTTTTTCGTCGACACTGTTGCACGTGACTTGCGAATGCGGAGTGAACGGGGGTTGCTGCAATATTGGAAAACTTCATTGTTCGCGGAATCTTTTACGGGTTAAACGTTATAGGGGTTGGTTCGGCACCGGGCGGACGTCTTTACTGAAGATCTAATCATTCAGATTATGTAGCTTCTCAAGCGGGGACTCCCCATAAAGTTTATGACTACTTTTCTGATCACCATGATTCGGGCAACGGCAAAGCCTGCTCCGTAGCTTCTCAAGTGGGACTTCACCCATTACCTTACGCATGAACCCGTTACACATCGGTAACATCAATACAAGTTAACACATATATGTATTCCATATACTTTGCACGTACAAATCTAACCCTTCTGGGTCAACTCATACATTGATCTGGGGACCACTAATTAAAGATACATCAGGCAGACGCCTGACCGCGGAAACCGAGTACTAAGCCAGGTTATTCGTCCCCCCGCAAGGCACGGATGACGGCGGGCCTTCTCATCATGTGCTTGGTCCACTTGTACACCTCGGGGAACTCGCCCTTCAAGTTGATGCCGATGCGGTCGACGACGTTGTTCCACGGCACGAACGACAAGTCCGCGATTGTGGCACGGTCGCCAACGAGCCACACGGGATAGTCGAAATAGCGCGACTGGGTCATCGGGGTGGTGCCGGAGGAGTAATTCTCGCGGTTCTCGGAGTCCAACTCCATGATGAGCGACTCGCGTCTCTCCGCGAGCGCCATCTCCACCACACCGTACACACGGCGCACCTCGTCGGTGTATCTCTCGACCGCGGAAGGCACGGACTGCGAGTGGAAGTAGCGGAAGTGCAATGCCTGGCCGATCATTGGCGCGTGACCCGAGGTCTGGAAAAAGAGCCAGGACGAGATCTGCGATTGTTCCGCCAAGTTTCCCGACCACAAGGAGCACGAGCCGGTCTCCTTGAGGTACTGGTTCACGAGGTAGAGGATGATGGAGCCAGACTCCCAGATGGCCAAGTTCTCGGAGCCGTGGTCGATCAACGCCGGTACACGCGCGTTCGGATTGATCAGTACAAACTCTGGCGCCCGCTGTTCGCCGTTATTAAAGTCGAGGAAGATTGTCTGGTACTTGAGGTTCAACTCAGAGAGGATGATTGCTACTTTGAACCCGTTCGGCGCCGACCGGTGCGAGAAGAGCGTGATGCCGTCTGCTGGCTGGTTCTGGAAGAACTTGGTGATGCGGTTCTGCTGCTCGGGGTCGTGCGCCGTCTGCTGGTGAAGCTGGTGGTGCAATTCGGTACTTGTATTGGGCGCCGTATTTGCATCGACACCGGGATTTGCATCGCCGGTTAAGTGCACAGATCGAAGTCCTGCCGAAAGATTTGAGATCGTGGGGTTCGGGTTCTGGGAGATCATAAGCCTTGGGACGGAGTGGGAAGCCTGGGGTGGTTTAGATAGCGCGTGGCGGTTGCGGCAATTTGTGGCAAACGAGGGTGCTGGGGGGATGTCAGACTCTTGAGGGTTCTCAGATTAGATATAGATGATGGTGCAGCTGTGTCTGGGTCGTAGCTATAGATAGACCTGATGGGGGTGACGAGTGAAGGTGTCCGCTTGAGTCACTGGCGTATTTTTTTACTTTTTTTTTCCTCTTGCGAGTTTACGGGAGCACTGCAGGAGATCACGTTGTCATGCCTTGAAAGAGGGGGAACCACCGAGGCGCCGCACGGGCACAGGTTAGTATGGAGAAAAGAGGCTTTCCTCACGTATGGTTTCTACCATAAATATTGAGGCTGTATTTAGGGGAAAATGGTGTATTTCGGAAATGGTGTATTCCGGAAATGATGCATTCTGGAAATCGGTGAGCTCTATAAGCTCCAGTTTAAAAGGAAGGCAGCTTTTTTTCTTGCCCTCATATTAGAACTGTCTTCCGCGCTCCCCCACCCACAAAGATCAGCCCAAAAACATCCAAATGGTACGTGTTTTAACCGCGCGCGTCCATGTCTGAACCTATTAAATTGTTATTCAACTTTTTGCGTTACTCGGTTTGAGTATGACAGCTGTGCACTGACTTGATTTTCAGTGTTGATGGTTGTAGTCTGTTGGAGTGCAAAAATTGTTAGCGCTTACCGCCCAACCTGATGTATGAACTGTACGCGCATTTCGCTTGGTACCAGATTTCGTGCTTTCCGTCTATCGCCACTCTGTGACCTAAGATGATTCAAGGTGAGTAGACAATACTTTATCTGATTGCTTGAATTTCGCTACGATGAGCTCATAGTTTGGGGCAGGGTAGTTATCAGATGGCCATAATTATAAGTTCACATGGCGGACTCCGCCGGAGAATTAGTTATTGGCAGACCCGCCATAGTGCATTACAGTGGTTTAGTGTCATCACCATGGCTTTGGTAGCGATAGGAAGAGTCAAGGATGCTTGTGATTTGTACTGGTTCTCTACCTACATCTCACTAGTTATCCAGATTCTATGGTATCATTGGGTGGTATATTATGGCGCTGACCATACCACTAATAATTATTGCAAGTTATAAACCCGCCAGTTTTCTATTTCAACAATTCCTGGTCGTAGCATTCGTCAAAGAACCCCACTTCGTACTCCAACGTAGCCAAAAAGCTGTTTCTGGAGGCAGCCGAATCGCCGCAGCGGTTAACCTCGCTTTCCAAAAACTTCACGAACTGGGTAAATGCCTCGCCACTGTGCAATACAATCCATTCGTTGTACTTGAAGGCAAGTTTGGTGGGGATAATCTGGTCCGTGATGGCATTGTCGGCCCACTCCAAGTACACGCGCTCCATAACGAACAAAGAGGTGATTACCTGCGCGTATGTGATAGAAGGATTGTGGGTCAAATCCTCCATATACGCAATATACATTTCGACGGCTGGCAATATGGTTTGTTCCATCTGCCTGACCTGTTCTGGAGAAAAGCTGGTGGAGAGTTCCTCGATGGCCTTGTAAAAATAGTCATTCTCCGCGTTGGAGACAAAACCGATTTGCTTGGCAATCACAATGGACGCCGAAACGTCGTCACAGAGAGTCAACGCTCTGCCAAAGAGCCTCAACCCGACGTTAAAATAGAGCAAGTCCTGGATCAAATAGACTAAAAGCCTGGCATCGGATAACGTACCCTTACAGAGCTCGGTCGTAAGGCTATGAGAAGTAGCTTCCTTGAAGAGGGAAGCATATTGCTGAATCAATCCCTCAGCGTATGTCAACTGGGTCATTTCGGAATGAGAGAGGGAACATGAGTGGATATCAAGGCTGTATTGTTTAGAACGGTACAAACCATGCTTTGTAAAATACTTTTATACCTGTAAATCCACGGGTTTCCGAAAAGCCGTTGAAGCATTAAAGTGGCTAGGCGCATACCGTGTTTTAAGCGCATATCTGAGGGCCCCTAAGTGCATGAAGCATATCGCCCGGATGTGCATGCAGATAGCGCGAACCAAGTTGCGCGGGCAGAATGTATCCCACATAGAGAGATGGCTGTCATAGCCAGGAATGGGATATTTCTCCGGGGTTGAAGGCTGTTTGTGTAAAAAAAAAGCCTTTCCCGTAAGCACCATTTATGCTGCTACGTCTAAATATACTCATAGATTTAAATTAAGAAAATGACTCTACCGCCCACATCCCACGAATCAGACTCCACTCCAGAACACAGTCTTATCGACTTTAACCGTTCCCTCGAGCGAAATATTGTCCGAACTGTTACCCACAAGTACCGTGTACTCGCCCTTGACGGAGCACCACTTGTTCTTATACGCGTCAAAGAAGGATGTAGCGTACTTCAAATCCAGGGTGATTTCGACGCGTTTGCTAGCCCCAGCCTTGACAAAGACCTTGGCAAAGTCCTTCAACTCCTTATTCGGTCTGCTGATGGCCTGAATATCGTATGAAGTCGGTGGAGCTAAGTACACCTGCACCACCTCAGCACCGTCCCTGTCACCGGTGTTGGTGACGGTGACGCTCACGGTGAACGTTTTAGCGTCGCGTTGGACTCCCAAATCGCTGAGCTTAAAGCTGGTGTACGACAAACCGTGCCCAAAGGCGAACAAAGGTTCGATTTTGTTCTTTTCGTACCATTTATAGCCCACGTAGACGTCCTCCCCGTACACACACTGGCCTCTGTCAGACTTGTAGGTCAAGTGCGCCGGGTTGTCCTCGAGCTTCTTCGGCCACGTCAATGGCAACTTTCCGCTTGGGTTCACATCACCAAATAAGATGTTGGCAATTACATTACCAGTCTCGTTACCTCCGAACCACGCCTGTAACAAGGCGGGGGTCTTGGCCACAACCTCTGCACTGAGAGTAACTGGCGTTCCGGACTGATTGACAATCACAGTGTTTGGATTCGCCTCCAACACACGAAGAACCAACTCCTCCTGGTTGCGAGGCAAGTCCATGTCTGGACGATCGACCCCTTCAGACTCCCAGTCCTTTGAGGTCCCGATGCACAACACCACCTTGTCGTTGGCCTTGGCTACCTTCACAGCAGCGGCAATATTTTCCTCCGGGCTGCTCTTCTTGATGGCCCCAAAAGACAAGCTCCCACCACCGTTGGTGGAGACCGTGTCTGCAGACTTGACTTTGCACGTTGGAGCCGAGCCAAAGTAGATCTTTACGGTGTACTTCTGGCCCTTGGTGAGGGCCACAGTGGAGATCTTCTCGGCTGCACCGGACCCCAAACCTGTTGGCCCGGGAGTTTGGGAAGTCCTGTTGTCCACCACGAGCTTCCCGTCGATGAACAACTCGGCAGTGCCGAGACAGGCCACCCCAAAGTCATACTCGCCAGTTTCCTCTGGAGTATAGGTCCCTTCAAGGTCAAAGTAGAAGAGGTTGCCCGAGATCTTTGGGTGCTTGTAGTCGAACAAGTGGAAGGAGGAATCGGACATAGCGATTGTCTCCACGTACGTACGGTTTTTGGCCTCCCGAGGCTCCAAGTACACGTTGGTGGTGTAGCCCACCGCTCCGTCTGGAGACACCAAATGGGATCCCAACCCTGGCAAGGTCTTGTGGATGGAGGTTCCAATGGCATAGGCTGGCTTAGCGTCCAACTTTCTCTCAATCCCCTCATACGGAGTAATGGCGTAGTAGGTGACCATGCTGGCGGAACCACCGCCGCAATAACGAGCAATCTTGGCATTAGGACCAATCACTGCCACGTTATCGGTCTTCAGTAACGGTAAAAAGTTGTTCTCATTTTTCAACAAAACAACCCCAGCGCACCCGATCGCGTTCAACTTTTGGCCGGTCTCCTTGGTGTTATTTCCGTCGGTTTCCCCGTCGGAAACATTGGCGTTGGCACAGTTGTTGACCAACTTCAACACATTGCGAACTCTGTCGTCGATCACATCGGAGTGGATCTCGGTGGTGGTGATTGCGTGGATCAAACCGGCGACGTTTCTCATGAGTGGAGGGCCCGGCATTTCAATGTCCAAACCGGCGTCAATAGACGCCTTGATCGAGTACACACCGAACCAATCGCTCATGATGGTTCCATCCCACTGCCATTCGTTTCTTAAAATGTCGGTCAACAAGTACTTGGACTGCGAAACGTGCTCGCCGTTGACCTTGTTATAGCAGGTCATCAACGCCTTAGGCTCGGCGTCGCGCACGGCGATCTGAAACGGCTTCAAGTACACTTCTCTCAAGGCTCTCTGGGAGATGATGGCATTGATCGAATTCCGTTCATCCTCCAAGTCGTTCGCCACGAAGTGCTTAATTGTAGCAACGATCCCTTCTGATTGGATACCCTTGATGACGGCCGCCGTGGCCAAACCGGACAACGACGGGTCTTCCGAAAAGGACTCAAAGCCTCTGCCACCGAGAGGCGATCTCTGAATGTTACAGGTAGGCCCCAAAATAACGTGGGCGCCCTTAAACTTGGCCTCGGTTGCCATAAGCCGACCAGCGGCCTCTAACAACTCCTTGTCAAAGGTGGAGCCGAGCGAGGTCCCACATGGGAAACAGCCAGACTTGACACCGTTGAAGAACTTGGTGCCTCTTATCCCGTTAGGACCGTCGGAGAACCGCAACGAAGGGATGTTGAGCCGTTCAACGGCCTTGGTATGCCAGAAGTCGATCCCCGACACCAACTCGACCTTTTCGCGCAAGGTCAACTGCGAAATAACGTGTTCGATATCCAATGGCATTGCTACTGAAAAGAAAAACCAGCAGAGTTGTATAAGGAGCAGGTATTGAGAGGAGAAGAAAAGCAGGGGCTCTGCTTTAAGTAGCATGAGCAGCACGCACAGCCTGGAGATGGGGGAGAGCGTATCAGGCCACCTCGATTCATCATTGAGCCAGCTTCGTGATGGAATAACAATTGCCTCGGCGTTTAGCCTCCAAAAAAAAACGCGGGGATACGAGGGCCCAACCTTAATGATGTCTTGGAAGTGGATATTCATCGTAGAACCCAAGACGAGAATTAGACATGCATGCATTCAACAGGATATCCCGAAGCAGTACGTCTGCGCTCAGTAAAGGATTCAAAGATCACCCGAAAAACGCACAACGTCATGAATTGTGGGGTATGCTTTTTTCTGGGGCATCCGAAAAGTTGCACAGGAGCAGGCAAGACGGTGAGTCATAACGCTTACGTTGTATACGAACAATATTATTTAACGTAGTGCTTTTGTTTAGAACAAAGGCAACTGAGAAAGTAGCCTTCGGAAAATCAGACTAGAAATAACCAGGGATGACCAAGTCATTAGTCCTAAAGGGAGGCCGAGGATAGAATTTCACGCGGTAAGGGGCGACGTACAAGACTAATAGGGTTAATATAGCGTGTAAGGGGGCTGGCTAATTTTACCGACAATCACTGCAACAGGGAGGAAACATGTCCCGTGGGTGAATCAATGACTTGCCGTACCTATGATAAATGCGAAAGCCACTTTCCCAACAGTTTCCGCTGAAGGAAAGGTCACATCGCATGGAATACGGCTCTGTCATACATTCGGTGTTAATATCTGTGGAGTGTCTACATCGAGGTTGAATGGGATTCCATCAAAGTCGCTTTGCTATGTGCTTTTATCCAATGACCCTCGTAACAACTGACAAGCCCCAGTTTTATGCCTGACCGGTCCTAAGCTATAAACTCAGGTGAAAGCGCGGCCATCGACACTTTGTTCCATACATCTCGAAGGAGAGGTGTTGACACCCCTGTTTGTACTTTTCGGTTCCAATTCCATTGGCTAATGTATCCTTTTGGATATTACGTAAATGAGGAAATTTAATCAAGTTGCATCTCGGCCCCAGGATTGTATGGTTAGATGCATAAGTACCGTAGGCATTTGTTATCGCAATGTACTATGCTAGTATTCTTTCAGGCCCTCTGAATGCTTGGGGTTTACTCTAAGCCCTGAGAGATAACTAATTTTCTCCGCGTATCGCCCACTTCGAGACAACCTAGGATTTTATTATTGGCGATTTATCTTTCACAGCTATAGTTGATTCTTTTATGATCAACATTAGTTCCTCAGATCAGCCCTGGTAATTCTCCCCCTACTTGTATAACATTCACGTGCGTTTGTATCAGACCATGCCATTATCATAATCCGTTATAGCCTATCAGTTATTCCGATGGCTCTTTCCATGAATATGAGGTAACAGTTGGTACATTTAAAAACCAAAAAATAATATTCGATCTAGAACCTAACTCTGTTGGTTTGAAAAGGCCGATTAACAGGAAAAGAGAAAAATGACGAAATAAACATACGGCAAAGGACATAAACTAAATGCACGCCCTAGATTGCAATGAAATTCACCTACTTTAACTTGAAAATCCATCAATGTATCCCTAATTCTTCTCCTGCCAAGGAAATCAAACTCGGTATAACGACTGTTGGTATGTTGGCTCTGTGACTTATTCGCATTACCACCCGAGTGTACTATTATGAGGGCATCTAACACACAGACGCGCACTCTCGGATTCTGGCCCATGCGAATGATTTGAACGTTAACGGAGGGCACGAATCTTACAATCCTGGAATTTTCCGCACGTCTGAGTCAGTAGCTATCGTTCGCTTGGCACTGCGTTGTATTGTCAACCATCGATTGCTGATCGGAAACCCTCAACTCAAACACGCAACAAGAATCACAAATCGTGCATTGGAGGATACCTACTCAAGAGTCCCGACTCTTGTTTCGAGCTTTTCAAGCATCCTGAGTATCTCTGCTGAGCTCCGGTTCCATACACCCTGCTCTTTCGCCAACTTTTCCTCCACAACTCTGATGGCAGCTTGCCAATGGTCAATGCTCTCTGTCACATCTGTTACCGTGTCACTTATGGATTCGCATACGGAAAGAGAATGGGATATTTGGGTGTGCATCTCATGTAGCGAGCGTAGTCTATCAACGATATGCCGCGTTGTCGAGTCCAGTTGCGATATTTGCCGAAACTTGGCATATAGCTCTAACAATTTTTTTGCTTCCGGGGGCGCAGTGTGGAGGTCTGTGTGGGGCTCGGTGTGGGGCTCGGTGTGGGAGGTCTCACCATCCATGAGCGAGGAAATGGTAGCGGAGGTATTTCTTCTCGCGTAGATCATTTCCGACTTTTTATTAAGTTCTGCCACCGACGCAAGAAGCTTGGCAAACCGCTTCTCCTCGCCGTCAGCCTTTAGCAGCTCTGACTCCATGTAGAGGATGTTGATCTTTCTGGAAAGATCATTAATTAGGGCCTGGATTGACTGTTTGGCTTCACTGTTGATAAAGTCATAGCCTACAACAGCTTCCAACTTGGCCAACCGCGACTCCAACAACAAAAATTCCTGCACCAGTTGGATTCCTTGTTTGGGTGGGAGAGCCACACCGGACTCTGGTGTAGACTCCGGCTGATAGCTCACAACGGATGGACCCACGGGCTTTTGGTTCAATTTCTGCACCATAGATTGCAACCCCTCTAGTTCGTGTTTTAGCACAGCGCTCTCATCCTGAACAAGCGCTAGCTCTTCCAATTCCCTTCTGATTCTGAGCAATTTTTGCGCAGGGGTTTCCGCGAGGTGCGCGCTGGCATAGGAGCCTTTCTTTGGCACGATGGAATCGCTGAAATCCACCCGACAGCCATCAATGAGGTAGTTCTCAAACCGCAACCTAGCATGCTCGGGTAAAACTTTCGACTGGTCTATGTCCTTCTCCTCCGCTTCATAAACTGACGTGTCTATCGATTCCACCTCGTCCACGTCAGACGTTTCAAAACAGTCCTGGGCGTCCACCTCCTGGGGGGTTATTAGTCTCTGGCCAAAAGGAAAAGTTCGCTCAAGAATGCATACCACATCTGGGAGTTCTGAGTACTTTGACATTAGTTGTAACTCGGGTCAATCTGGAGCTTATCAAAGGTGTTTTGTGTATATGATTCGATATAGCCGGTATATAACTGGTGACGGCAAGCGCACGACCATTGATACCGATCGGTGTTTAAATCATTGTCTTGGAAAATTTCATATCTACCTCATATAATCAAATAAGGTGTCTAAACCCCCGAAATAAATCGTTTTAGAGGTGTTTACAAATGCTGAGATATTGCATCCGATAGAGCTAAGAGGCGAATACTCTCAAGGCAAAACCAAACCCGCAGCTTCTCATGGTCCCTCGCATCAGGGTTTAAGGTCCCTAATACCTACACTGATTTTTATCGACGTCTGAGCCTCGGAATATATAACAGTATATTCCCTATCACGTCTGGTTTATCCCTCATCAAACTTCCGTCGCGTATCCAGATCCCCTCCTGCACCGACCGGTACCCTTAAAATTTGCCAGGTGCGCGGCTCAGCAAAACTGCATTCAATAAATTCATCCGCAACCCCATTGCATTCTCGTTGCATTCTCCACTCCATTTTTCCATGTCTGATAAACTACAGAAGCCCACGGCAAAACGGTCACCGCTGATTTTGGTGACAGACTCGCGTAATGCTCACACACGCGGACGGTCCGCGCCGTTCGCGGGGTCCAACTTCACACAGCATGCGAAACAGACCAAGTTCAGCGACATTTCCGTATCAAACTTGCTCTCCGATGTCAGCGATATCCCTTCGGCCCAGCGCCGGGTTCCACCGCGTATGAGTGGCGAGTCACACTCTCCTAGCCGCCCGGCCACCCGTAAAAACATGCGGGCTATCCCCAAACTCTCTCAATCACTTCCGTCCAGAACATCCAAAACCTCCCAGAAGTTGGTGCTTATCCCAGACGACGAGCAAGACGTGCAGATGCATGACTCCCATGCGCGCCCCCACGCGACGCAACGGTCGCGCGCGGAGATGATGCCCAAGGAGGTGCGTGCACAGGAGTTGTCGCGTGTAACCGCATACTTGATCAGCGGCGGCTTCGACCTCGAAAGCACATCGGCCTTCCTCCAGAACCTCCACGAAACCTCCCCGCGCCTCTATGACAACGTGCTCTACGTGCCGTACTACCTCCCGTTGCTCCCCGGGCTCGACGGCTACCGCGTGCGCTCGAACAACAGCGTCAAAACACAGCGCGGCAACATTCTCATGGAAAACTTTATTGATCGTGCGGAAAACGCTGACCACTTGTACGAGTACTACTCCGGGGTCGAAACGCCCGGGGATATCAACAACATCCTTATGCATCCGGAGGAGAATAACGAAAACGGACCATTTGACCCGTCGGAGCCGCAGTTCTTTGCTCCGAAGTACGTTCCGCCACCGGTAACGAGCGGCTCCCCGACACCGGATGGCGTGGATTTCTCCAAGCATGCGGAGATGTTCATCTTCAGCTACGGCGTGGTGGTGTTCTGGAACTTTTCTGAGATCCACGAGAAGAACATCTTGGCAGATTTGGCGTTTGCCAAGGCAACATCACTCGCGCCATACATGGATGACGATGGTGATACGTACGACGACTTTGACTCGTTGCTTGTGAATCCAATTTCGGAAAACGATATCGAGACCGAGGAGTTTTTCTTCGAGTACGACACGTTGGTGCTGCGCCCGCGCATTTATAATGACATGATCACGCTCCGCTCGGGCGATCACCTTATCAAGTTGACCATGTCGCACGCCATTGCGCAGTCGACTAAGCTTTCAATGTTCGAGTCGCGCATGGTTCACACGCTTGCCAGTGTGAGCAAACTACCGAAACGGTTGGCTCTCACAGGCCGACTTGGTATGAAGCGTGAGCAGTTGTTGAAGAAGTCGGGCAAGTTATTCAAGTTGCGTGTGGATGTAAATCTCTCGTCAAAAATCCTCGACACGCCCGAGTTCTTTTGGTCGTTTGAACCGTCGTTGCATCCATTGTACAACGCTGTAAGAGATTACTTGGAGATCGAGGAGCGTGTGTCGGTGATCAACGACCGATGCAAGGTGTTTTTGGAGTTTGGAGACATTATTACGGATTCAATTAACGAGCGGAACTCGTCCAGGATCACCTGGATGATTATTTTGATTATCGCGCTTACGTTGTCGGTGAGTTTGTTCGAGTTATTCTTAGGGCTATTCTGAGTGCTATGGGAAAGGCTGGGCTGTCTGTGGCTTCCGTGCGGATTATTCTGGGACTAGTTGTCGGCATAAGGCAATGATATTGAACGATGGTATGGCATGACGGCGTTGTCTGTCGCCGTGGCTTGGGAGAGGGTATATCAGAAGATAGACTGGGTTTGTCCCTTTCTCGGATGTATTGTGATTTCCTGAGTTGATATCGCCCAGTCCGTCTTGCGATTAGTGTCCCCCGTCTGTTCTATGTAATTATAGGTTGTGGTTTCTGAATGTCTATATTATATAGGTCAGCTTATCCACCAGCCCTTTATCCTTCCATTCTGTGTTTTGTTTGACCCGGTCTCTTAGGTGGCACCTCTCGCCACCTACCGCTTCATTTTCTACTATGTCACATCCTCTTCCACAATGTCCAAGCCTTCGCCCGCCAAGTTCACTCATAAGCACTAATTTGCGATTTCATGTATTCTCGGATATTACTCTGGTCGATACGTTGGAATGAATACTGGATATCAGCTAGGTGACTCTGCACATCTGTCTTTTCTCCTACTCGGGGATTTGATCATATCGCTGTTGTCTTTTATATTTACTAATCGTGATACCTAGTACTATTTATGTAGTTTTAATCTCAAAACGATTATTGGGCGTGAACTTATAATTGAGTATTCCGTTACTTAGCTAAATACGCAGCTTTTATTCCCCGGACATCAAAGATCACACCGAAGATGTGCTAATTCTTAGGCTTGACTTTCGGATCCGGTGTTTTACGATTATTATTGTATGTCCAGGTCCTCTCTGGTGACTTTTGATGATCAGCGCATCTTTGATATAATTCATAATCTCCAAAAATTAATCTCACTACACTTTGTGAAGCATCCAGGTTCATGAGCACATAGGCCTTCAGATCTAGAGCTGTGGCTGTATTAGACGCTCTGGATGACTCTTGCAGACTTCTAACCCCAGTCGCTATACACCAGTTCACCTTGGTTTGTAAATCCAAAATATATCGTATACTTGCCTTTATGACGTTATCGCCAGCAAATATCACACCATCCCATCACATTCGTGCATCTATCACTGTCAGCTCCCACATTACACGTGTACTCCAAGTACTCGTACCCATTCTGGCACCGTTATACCTTTCAAATTCCCCTATTCGCCAATGTGGAGAAGCCTCTAAAGACAGAAAGCTATGCCCTTCTAGCTCTAAGCTCCAAGTTCTTGATTCCTGTATCTGTAATACTAGCAAAGCCATAGCTGACCAGGATTTTTAGCATTAATACATGGTGGTATTAAATACGTAAACCAGATAATAATTTGATTCGATGATTACCAAAGACTACTTCTCCGTACAATCCTTAATTTGCTGCTATATGATGCTCCCCTCTTGGGCCCACCACAGTTACACAGTGCCGCACGCCCTGGTGGGTGCCGTTACTATAGTGACTATCCGTGTGCACGTGCCGCAGCGTTGCTTATCTACATAAACCCCCTCCCCCCTCAGCAAGCCTCAGCAAACCCTTCCTCTTTCACTCCTCAATTAAACACTCATCTTTGCTGCTATGGAAAAAGACGCAAAGATAAATCTGGGAGACAATTATGTCCCTTCGTCCCGAAAGTCGCTCAAATATATTGTTGGGGGCACGGTTTTGCTTGCCTTGGCCGCCCTCCACGGCCACAACTTCACCGCCCTGTTTACTGCCGCCCCGCTTGGCAACCTTAACATTGCCACGTATCTCACCGCCCTAGAAACAAACTTGGCCGGTAACTGGAGCGAAAAATACACCGCTGAGCCCCACCTCGCAGGGCACGGCCTTAGTTTGGCCGAGTGGACCCAGGAAAAGTTTACTGAGTACGGCTTTACCGCCTCAATTGACACCTACGACGTTTATTTATCCTATCCTGAAGACCATGCTCTAAACCTTCTCGAAAACGGCTCTACCGTCTACTCGGCGCCGTTGAAGGAAGACGAGATTATCGACCCTACGTCCCACGGCGACGACTTGGTGCCAACCTTTTTGGGATACGCCGGAAACGGCAACGTCACCGCTGAGTACATCTACGCGAACTACGGTACCATTGAAGACTTTCGCCGGTTGAATGCCAGCGGAGTGGACATTTCCGGAAAAATTGCCATTGTGCGCTACGGGCGCATCTTCCGCGGCTTAAAGGTCAAGTTTGCACAGGATTTCGGCGCCGTGGGAGTTCTCATCTACTCAGACCCTGGTGATGACTTTGGAATCACCCCTGCCAACGGTTTCAAGCAATACCCAGACGGGCCTGCCCGCCAGGAATCGTCCGTGCAGCGCGGATCCGTCCAGTTTTTGTCAATCCAGCCTGGTGACCCTACCACTCCAGGCTACGGCTCCAAGAAGGGCGCAAAGCGCGGCGATCCGTTCAACTCTACTCCCAAAATCCCGGTTTTGCCCATCAGCTATCGCGAGATAAAACCAATCCTAGCCCGTTTGAATGGGTTTGGTAAAACGCTTGGCCACTCCTGGAAGGGGGAGCTCCCGGGGTACAAGTACAACGTTGGTCCTAACCCAAACTACACCCTCAACTTGTACTCTAACCAAACGTTCAACATCACGCCGATCTGGAACGTCTACGGTGAGATCCAGGGACTGCATAAGGACGAGGTGATTATTGTTGGAAACCACCGCGACGCATGGATCAAGGGGGGCGCGGGCGACCCCAACTCAGGCTCGGCAGCGCTTCTTGAAGTCGCCAGAGGGCTCTATGAATTGCAAAAGTCCGGATGGAAACCGCTCAGAACCATCATTCTCGCATCCTGGGACGGTGAGGAATACGGCTTGCTCGGGAGTACCGAATTTGGCGAGACGTTTTCAAAGCTTCTTCAGCGCAATGTGGTGGCGTACTTGAACATCGACGCCGCTGTCACTGGCACCAAGCTTGGCTTAGGGGCCTCTCCCGTGTTGAATCACGTTTTGCGGAGTGCCGCAGAATTGGTGCCATATCCAAAGGGAGGCTCGCTCTACGAGCACTTCCAAGCTGAAAGCAAAGACCGGATTCTGGCCTTGGGTAGCGGCTCGGACTACACAGTGTTCCTCGACCATCTCGGAATTCCGTCCGCAGACCTTGGTTTCGGGGGTTACCGTAACGACACGTTGTACCACTACCACTCGAACTACGATTCCTACTACTGGATGACCCACTTTGGCGATCCAGGTTTTGTCTACCACAACACCATTGCCAAGTACTTGGGGGTGGTGGTGCTCAAGTTGGCAGAACGCGAGGTCATTGACTTTCGCCTTAACGAGTATGCCCTCAAAGTCAGCGAATACTTTGATGAAGCCATTGCTGGCATTCCCGAGAGTTGGTTAAACCAAACAGCGGGCATTGTGGAAGCGGCCCACGATTCCAATGAGCGTTTCATCAAACGGGCCACCAACGGGGCTTACAGGGTTCCTCAGGGCTATGTCGCGTCTACCCGCCGCTCCGCTGGCCTGCATGCTTGCCACCACAGACGTCGCCGGACCGCGAGCGAGCGGGTTTTCCTTCACTCCGAGGTGACGCATGCCCGTGCCGATTTGCAGCGGTTGATCAAGGCATCGTATCTGTTTGACGTCGCTGCCGAGGAGTTGCAAGAGGACGCGGAAAACCGTGAGTTCCTCCACTGGTGGGACAGGATCAAGTTGCACTTCCGCTTAGTGTCCTATAACAAGAGACTCCAATACTTTGAAAGAAACTTCTTGGACGAGGCTGGTTTGAAGGACAGATCGTGGTTCAGGCACATTGTGTTTGCTGCCGGCAGATACACCGGTTATGCCGGGCAAACGCTCCCAGGTATAAGGGAGGCCATCGAGGATGAGGATATCGACGGACTTGTGGGGCGGATCGGTGTTTTGCGCAAGACGGCCAAGAGGGTTAGTTACAATCTTAAGTAACCCACGGACTTTTTCAATAATCTATGGCAAGGTTTAAAAACAGGTGTAGATTTTAGGTGGACTGTTTTCAGATGTTATAAAAGAGCTGTTTGAAATTGGTGTGTGGATTAAGATCAGAGGGGTAGAAAGAGTCAATGGTGTTTGTGGGTTACCGAGGAGACGCCCTCTATGTCACCTGTTTAAATAGTATGAATTTGACCTTTTAAGGGGAATTTTCACTATAAATATCTAACCAGGGCCCATACAACGGGGCGTTGACTCTGGCCAACAATTAATGACTAGCATAGTTATTGGGTATAGAGTCAACGCTAATTAGGACTGTAGCTTATCAATCAGGGCTAGGCTGACTTTTATCTTGAATCATACCGGGGAAAATGGCATAGATTAAGTTTCATGATTCCATTGTCTGTGGCAGTAGATCGACCCCCGGAGGCGCTGGTAAATACTGTTTCAGTGCCAACGTCAAACAGATCGGGTGTAGGACTAGTACGAATGCTTATATTCAGTCTTGCCAATAATGCAGAGCCACTATCCAGCCAGTAGTTCAACTATTTCAGCCGTCAACTACGAGACGTCAGTATCCAACATAAAAGATTGATAGCAGCCCACTCCGAGTAAGCTTTATCACAAGCATCTGTTACTAGAATAATTTGTAAAAGCTCTGTTGGGTACCCTGGTAGCGTTTCAGTGTGACATTTTTCAAAATGTGAAAGTTTACAGCTCTTAGCCGTGTCTTGGCTAAAAGCAAGGACCGATGTCTCACTTTACTCAAAGGCATGTTGTGGCAAAGGCATTTAGAATAGCGTACGTAACCACCTCCTTGCCTTTATGGTGTATTCTAGAGGGTAATGATCCCGGTACTTCCATATCTCCATGCGTATATATCATCACTGCTTGCGGTACATTAGCAATCGCATAATATGTTGCCCCAAAAAGGTTTGACGTCCCCGTAATATCAGAGTTTATTTTGGCGCATGTCTGACCTTTGTGCGTAACTGAAACATTTACGATGCATGGCTTACTCCACATGCATCTGGATAGCTGTGAATCCCTTGCAGCATATTTGGTGGCCGGATAGTGCTATGCTGCCTCCGCCTGCTCACCTAATTGCTAAAGCACAAATTTCCATCTAGCAGTTACTTCCGTTGATACAAACTATATCTCTTAAAGCGGTTAATTATTCACTCCAACCTTGATTAGATGCGTCACGTCCAATGCATGGCAATACCGGGTGGGCCTAGCCGTACAAGCGTTTCCTGACCCGCTGTACATGGCAAGGCTTAATTGTTAGTGAGGGTTATATATCTTTGTCAACGCCACCAGGTGCTTTTATTATACTTCTCTACTATATGCCACCGATGTCTAATCACGATCCAACTACGCCAAAGAGCTCGGGTTCCATTAGGAAATCAGCCCTGTCTTTGAAGAGAATGTTTGGTGTCTCGAGGGTGAGGTCCAAGACACGGGAGGTTCCACCCCTGGATGTGGTTCAAGTTTTGACACCTCCTCCATCCTCCCAGAAAGACAATAGCATGCCCCATGACCACAGTTTTGACTCACCCTTGGGCCGCCTATCTCAGTCTACCCGAGGGCCGCTTTTCGGTAATATATTTGAGGATTCCCCATCACAGTCTCCCAGAGTAGCATCTGTTGCGTCTCATGACAGTCAGTCACTGCCCAGAAGCCTCATTGATACCACCTCGGTATTTTTTAACGAACCCCCCACCTCCTTCCGCAATACCAACGATAACTTCGTTACACGCATGTGTTGTTTCTGCTCAGAAATGATGGTAAACAGCCTACCGGGAGAACGATACCTTAGTTTGACCTGTTCCCACCACGCCCATTATGATTGCTACAAGTCGATGGTTGACCCGGTGCATGTAGAAACATTGCCAGAGTGTTTCATTTGCAAGAAAAAGACCCAATGTGACGATGGTTTTATACAGGCAAGAATTATCCGGGAGGTTCTTACTTCGGAAGAGAGGGAGGGTCCTTTCCAATCCCCGGGTAATATACAACCTTCCTCGACCATATCTGCTCGCTACGCGCCCACTCCTGTCACTCCTGTTAGCAAAAGCCTCCTGGCACAGCTCTTGACTCCGCCACGCGCGGGTGGAGGAGGGAAAGAGCCAGACACGATTAGTTCACCTCTTTCTGGTTATGGAACTTTGGCTTCGGTGATCAACTCGGGTGAACATTTTTGGCTTCGCAACAAAGATAATAGAGTCCAACAACTTTTGAGTCCACAAGTGGATATAATTTTGGAAAACAAAGATTTAACCTTTGGAAGATCTTCCCCCTTGACTGTACCATTACTCCTCGAGATCAAACCCCCCCTTGCCTCCGCGAACCTGTCTTACCCGAGACATGATATTCCCGAAGAGTGGGCTCTGGATGAGGACTTTCAGTTGCGCGAAGCCATTGCTGCTGAAGTTATTATCTTTTTGAAATCCCGCTTGCCAGTTTTCTCAAGGTTGCACTCCACGTTCGGGGATTTGATCGTGTTGGACTCGTTTGAGTTGAGTGTTGATGGTAAGAAGCGGGACCCTGTCCAGCTCTACCTTTTTACCAAGGCTCTCCTCATCTTGAATCCGGATTCGAGTGCCATTCTTGGACAGATCAATCTAACCGAGAATATTGTTTCGCTCAACAAGATTGATGATTACTCCTTGATTATTGACTTGCGCATTTCGCCCTTACTTGAGTTGCATCTCTACTCGAAGAACCCTATCGTCACGCACAAATGGGAAAACCTCTTGACTAAACGCATGCTTAATATTGGTGTTCGTCGTCTACCATTATTACAACTCACCACAAATTCCTGGCCGTTTTTAAAGGTTATCACCGGGCTGAGCAATGTTGAAATACCATCGTCAGTGAATGTGGCAAACCGGCCCCTTAACAAGCATCTGAAATTTTCCATGGACGTGTTGAGCAGATCCATCCCACCCCCATTGCCCTTGCCGGTAGTCCTAATTGTGGTGATGTCGTTGGTAAATACCACCAACTTCTCGTCGCAGGCTTACACAGCCAAGATGAAATCCCTCTTGGTCATAATCCGTCATAGCCTTAAACCTGGCGATAAACTCGGGCTTGTGTTTGTCGGAAAAAATGGAAGGGGTGAGGCTTGCAAGAGTGGCACTTTTGTGGGGTGTTTGGACCCTACATGGGATGGCTGGCAAACCATAATAGATGGACTAAGGACTATCGAGCCCTCTTTGCCCGATATCACACCTGATGGGTACGAGGAAATCATGTTTGGCTTAGAAAACGCGTACAAGTTGATCTCCATGTTACCCTCGCTGCTACGCGATAACAGGTCTATTATCAAGGAAATCGTCTGCTTTTTACAGCCTGTACAGTCTGTGCCCCCTACTCCTGAGTACTGGGAATCACAATTACGCAAATGTCTCGAATTCTTGTTTGACTATTTATTTACCATCCGTGTGGTGGTCGTGGGAAGCTATTCGGCTAGTCATGAGAAGCTAATCGAGATTGGGGCTGTGTTCTCGAAGCAAGGGTCCGATGGGGCTACACACGATAAAGATTCAAACCATAACGCGGTTATAAACTATTCTTTTCGTGTCAAGAGGTTTCAGTCCTTGGACGAGTTGGAAGCTGGGTTGGACGACTTTTTGGTCGGAATCCAGCAAATATTAATACCCCAAGTCAGGATCAAGCTTGAATCGGCATTTCCAGAGATTTTCCGATTCAGTAAGGTGGAAAACGATGGGGAGTTTGTTGAATTCGACACTGGACACCTTGAGTTCAATGTGAATGACTTGCATCAACGTACCAACAAGACGATTCTGATTCAAATGCGCTTGCAAACTAAAAGCCTCATCCCCCAGGGAAGGCTGTTCACTGAGGAGTTCCGGCGGTTTGAATTGCTCAACTTTAGCTTTACATGCTTGTCTAAGGCAGTTTCCCATAGCTCGGTCTGTGCAAATTTCAAGATGACGCATGAAGATAGGGAATGGGATGAAAGTATTTTTTACCCCTTGGATCTGGTGAGTACTAGTTCGATTATTCCCCAACAAGTTGAAATGGCGGATAATCACATGCTGTTAATGGACTTCCCATTGCTTGTCATGCCGGTTTCGTCTCCAAAAGATTGTGCCTTCTCAAAGAGACAATTGGAGCGGATAATTTCCTCAGCCATGAAGAGGCTTATCGGGGCCATTGGTAAGCAGCTGTCTGGATCCTTTACGCTCACCATGTTATGTGAGAGTATTTTACGAGAAACCATGTCGGTAGTATTTGGAATTATCAGGAATTGCAAACACACCCCTAGCAAGACTAGCTTTTCCAGTGAACCGGATGAAATAGCGAGGGAGAATCACTTGACGTACATGTATACCCTACAGGAGTCCTTGAAGAGTATTTACCAAAGGTTTCAAGGGGTCGGAAACAGTCGTGATGATGTGTTAAGTGCCTGTCAGGATTTACGGTATCACTGCATGTTGCAAGACTGAGCATTATCTGGTGTCTATAGTGAGATTTTATGATGCAAGTACATGTGGCTGGTGGAACGCTAAAGGGAGATATTTTGGTATGCCTCATGCAAGCGTATATGAATGACACGGAAGAGCGCTATTGCTTAGGGAACGTTACGTAGAAGGTTATTAAGCCCAAAATCTGTGTAATAGATATATTGCATAAATCATAGTTTGCGTGTTAATTTCATCTAGTATTTTGCCGAGATATTAAAAATTGAAACACCCTAATATTCGACCAAAACTACCAGTGATTTTAATCACGTGATGTATATTTGTTAGCAGCCGCAGGCTTGAGGAACGGTGCAGCCATGACTCTACATTGCGACGAGCCCAGAGAGCTACTCAAATTTTACCAAGTACCCAATGTAGTATCCATGTCTTTTAAAGTTAGTATACAGATCGTGCCTGCCTGGACCTACGCTCCGCTGGTCAATACTAAAATCTCTAGGTTCTCTCTTCCAAGCTAGCCGCAGCCCTTGATGTCGAGCTAATGTCGCCAGTAGTTGGCTACTCTCTTGACCAGTTGATGGAGCTTGCGGGACTTGCCGTTGCTCAGGCTATCTACAAGACGTATCCTCCAGAGTCCCACCCCAATGTCTTGTTTCTCGTTGGCCCTGGCAACAATGGGGGCGATGGGCTTGTAGCTTGCAGACATTTAAAGTTGCTAGGATATAATCCTTCATACTACTATCCGAAGCAGAATAGGAAAATACCCCTTTTCGAGTCCCTTCAGACCCAATTGGCGCTGTTTAAGATTCCTGAAGTCAAGACATCCATCAACGACGACGGATTCAAAGAGGTTGTTTTGAAAGCGGATATTTTGGTTGACTCCATTTTTGGGTTCTCATTCAGTCCGCCAATCAGAGAGCCCTTTGGGTCTATAATTGACATGTTGATCAGAAACGAATTCGACAAGCCGATTGTGAGTGTTGATATTCCCTCTGGGTGGAATGTTGATGAGGGTCCGGTGCACGACATCTCCATTCAACCTTCAATGCTAGTAAGCCTTACAGCTCCAAAACCTTGTTCTTTGAGGTTTACGGGGATCCACTACTTGGGTGGGAGATTTATCAGTGCTGAGATCTCCAAAAAGTATGACATAACGGCCCCAGAATATTCTGGTATTGATCAAGTTTGCCGAATTAACTAGTGCTGTTTTTCCAATTTATATTAATCCGTATATGCATTAACGTTTGAATGCGATATGTTTATTTGTATATATATACAATATACATATATAATTACAGTTTGTAATTCATGTTTAAAATAAAAAATCCATTCCTATCGGGCTTAACATATACATTGATATAAAACTACCATTCTTTTGGACCAAACGTCTGGCCCTTCTTCAAAGTATAGAATGGGGCATACTCATAATCCAAGGTTTTTTGGTAAACGGTATTACCCCACCAGTTTAACTTCCCTCCTGGGTATACAACGCAGAGGAAAATGATGATAATCGACAACGCGACACCAGCATCAAACCCGGCACTAATAACGTTATTGTACTTTGTGTGGAACTTCTTGAAGTTGTCCTTAATGTAGGAATTGAACACATAGCACGTCACAAAGTACAACGAGTAATTGTAAAGAGTGGATGGGGGGATGTTCCCCGAGCCAGTGAAAAACACCGGTCCATTGATCTTCCCGTACCACTTAGTAGGGTTCCGTCTCCAGAGTAACCAGGTGAAAATTGGGAAAATAGCTCCGATGAGGAAGAAGTACATGATGGCGTTATATCTCTTGCCCAGAGAGAACAACTCCTTAGGCCCCACCGCACCCCAAATAATGGAAGCATTGAAGATTGTTCTACCCTGAGCGCAGGTAAACCCGTCCGATTGGCTTGAAGAGCAAATGCCCTTGACATGGAAACGCATCCACTGCTGAACACCAACGTTAACAAGACAGGCCCAGATGGTGCCCCAAATTTGCATGAAAAACATCGTGCGAGGAGGGACTTTCATGTACTGGCCCAACTTCAAGTCACGAGAGAAATTCAAGCCTTGTCTCATCGGGATGAAGCCGTATAATTTCACCATCATATTGGCAATCGGCTTACCGGGCCAGATATAACCAGCAACCAACTCGGTAACAATATTCAACCCAACATGTTGGTTGGTAATCCCCTCCAACAAGCCCTGCGGAATAAAGCCCACAAAGGTAATACCCAAGGATACAACAAGACCCCACCAAGGCAATTGGGTGTGACCTGGATAACCACAGACAGCAGCGAAGGACAACCCTACCGAGATGACCCAGAGAAGGCCGTACCACCAGTCCGGAACTTCGTTGAAACGGTTCATGAGCCTCTTATGGATGTCTTCCCCCCCGTGTTGGGAGTTTCTCAATTTACCCATGATGTCTTTGCCGTGGTACAAGTACGTGTGGGTGAAAATGGATAACACAGCCGCAAAGTTCAAGGCGTACGACAAGAGGTAGGAGTACGGAACCATCAAAGGTGAGTACGCTTTGTATGCCGCCTTGTTCAACACCAAATCCTTGTCCAAGACCTTGGTAACATTGTACTTGCTTGCCGTGTTGTCGTAAGTGGTGGTGCTCATCATTGGCATATACTTTGCATCCCAGGTGTTGGTGTAGTACAAGCAAGGTAACACAATCACAAAGAAGAGGAACACGGAACCGTAAGTGTTTGCAGCAACCCAAAATGGCGTGGCGAGAGGCGACACACCCAAAGCCTGGGTGATCTGGGTCCAGTCGAAGGTGATTGGGATGATACCCAAGCCAGACGAGGTCCCGAAGATTTGGTTTACCACGATGTTCTTTGGAGCAATCCAACACACCCAGTTGAAGTAAGACAATGCCTTGAAAATAAAGCCTGGGAACCAGTACCAGACAAAGGAACTGGTGCCCACAATAGCAAACATCCTGTAACGTGAAATATTGAACCGGCTAACTTGGAGATTATCTCCCAACAGGGACTTGGACAAGGTGTTGAACACCGTGCAGGTAATCAAAGACTGTGGCCAGGTCATCGAGGCCGGGTATACTATCCACCGTCTGGTCAAGCCCGCGGCCCCGTAACCCAAAAGCTGCGTACTCAAAACAAGCAAGATCTGGTACCCAATATTTAAGTCCTGGTCGTAAAAGTTGGTTTGCGCGATCAAGATGTTCATCGCGTACGAGGTGGAGGCGGTCAAGGAAACCACAATGGTCAAAAGCGCATGCTCCTGGGGTGTGAATGGGCCAGGATTCAAGTTGAAAAACGGCGCCCTCGGAAACCGGATATCGGGCAACTTTTCAAGCGCTTTACCGATAGGAAACGAGATAACCTGGGCCACGACATAATCGATGCTGATGGTAGGATAGTGCAAGGAAAAGAACTGATTGACACCGCTGAAAACAATCACGAAAACCGTTGTCAAAAACCAGCTTCGCCAGTGATTGAGGTGAACATTTACATCGATATCTGTGGTCACCGCAGCCCTCACTTCTGGATACGGGGAGTTGTCCATTTCGGATGGGTTTCCTTCGACGAAGGAGACATCGTCGAGCTCTATGACACGGGTGACTACTCCATGCTTTTCTGAAAGTCTGCTCTGAGATGATTGCGAGACGCCATCGGATTCCAACAAATCAACATTGGTGGAGCTGAATTGGGCTTTGGAGTCGTCAGTCTCTGGAGGGCCGTAAATCGCTTCTTTGCCAGACATCCTGAGGTTGAGGCGATAATTTTCTGCTTTCTACACGCATTTAGTGATGAGGAGGATATATATACCCTAGCGGGACAGAGCGACGTGATAGAGCTATCGCCGCCACAGTTTGTCAAACCTTGGATGTGAGCTAATTTTAGGGACCCATCCAAAACGTAAGCGGATGTATGAGTAAAACATCGTGGAAGCCTACACTGACGCCACTATCACCGGCCCGTAAAGATAAGTGTGGAGGCCTAACTGTGGTACACGGTGCCGTCTAAGGCGACGCCCAAAAATCTTAAAGTGGCCCGCTGTTCCCTGCTATACCGGGTTAGTCAGTGATGTTCTATGTTTTTAGCGCATCTGATAATGCGTTTGACTCGTATAGTCACCTCCCCCCTCCCCTTGTCTGTTTAAAGTTCAAAAAGTGCCTATGACTGATTATAGAACAAAGTATAAATTATCCGCTGTGGAGTAAATTTCCTTATCTCACGTGGATCCTGTTCCCTGTATCGGACATGTTTTATAATGCCAAAATTCTCAGGGCCAAGCCGAGAGTCGTACGTTCTATTCTGCGACCTGTTTAGGTTATTCCACGACGAGAGCCTGGTAGATACGCCAAGCTTCCAGATCCAAGAAGGAATGCATAACCTCGGAGTGCCTGGATTTAGGAGGAGTACACTTCATGAGAGCCTGAAATCACGAGACATGACGAAAAGCTGTAAATTGATCCTGCGTCACCGGCAAATTTTCTTTTACAAGCCTAAGCATTGGACGGGGGGTTTTGCTGTACAATTAAGCCCATGAGAAAGCTTCCGGAAAACTTTATCAAGCATCTCACCGACTGGGAGCGAATAAGGTTTCAGCGCAGGGTGACAACTCATATATTAGCAATCGCGTAGTTGATAGCCGGTTCTTATCTGAGGGCTTGCGTATTGGGCACTGTTCAGATAACATAATTCCCATGGGCTGCTTATAGTCATACACCCAAACCTCTAACGCTAGTTGTCCACGTTATTGCACCCCTTATTTCACGTAACCCTGCCCGATATACATAAATTGAGTACTTTGGGCTTTGCACATTACTGCAAACATGAACGGAGGAATTCACTCGGTCTAGTTGGCTTTGGCATGGTATACAGTGGCGTGGAAAGCACTTGCAGGTCATTGGTCTAAGCCCGAAAAAAACACTGAAAACGCCGTAAGCGGGAAGTTAGGCTATAGGGCAGCACGAACGCCGAACGTCAGGATATGTAGGGGCCAAAAAAGCCACACTTTAGAAGTTAAATTGTGGATACCAACGATGCGTCACTCAGACCATAGCTTGCTATATGTGGCCAAGTACTGACCGCGTTATACTGATTAGTTCCGCATTTAAGTTTAAATGGAACCTTTTGCCTTTGTGTCCAAAATCTGGATATATATCATCACTGTGTGTTTCAACCATTGTCCGACTCACGAAACCTTGGGAACATGTAGTCTAACCTTGTTTTTTGAACTGTAAAGCAGGTGCGACTAATATTAGGAATCCACCAACCAATATGAAATTATGTCCGTGTACACGCACAAGGCATGGCTCATCCATATGGAACTCCGCGCCACAGTTCCACAGCCCTTCTATAGTCATGTTCCATGCGTTATTTCTATGGTCTACACACGAAAAACCATTGTTCAATATAGGATGGATACAGCATGGCAAATAATCGTAGCACTTCTTACAAAAGGACGGTCACAAGGGTTTTCTCATTCCTATCACCCTATGCAAACATAGCTACGCTTTTGATGCTAGTAGCATACCTAATACCCTTCTAACTGTGAAAGTTTATGGTATTGAATACGCGCCATTGCTCATGGGTTGAGACCAACACAAATCTGGATTATTTGTAGGTTAAAAATAACAAAAACTTGTACCCGTGCAATCGTTAGAATCACCTATCCCTACTGTTTCGGGCCGATCATCTTCTCTGGTCTGACCCATTGGTGGAACTCCTCCTCGCTCATCACCTCCAACTGCAAACAGGACTCCAACAATGTGATGCCCTTTTTGTGGGCGTTCTTCGCCACCTGCGACGCTTTGTCGTATCCAATCTTCGGGTTCAAGGCGGTCACCAACATTAACGACTCGTTCAACAACTTGGCAATTCTGTCCTCGTTGGCCTTGATGCCGACCACGCAGTGGATTCTGAACGATCTGCAGGAGTCTGCCAATAATCTGATCGAGGACAACAAGCACTTGGCCATCACCGGCTTGAACACGTTCAACTCAAACTGACCCAGGGCGCCACCAAAGGTGATGGTGGCATTGTTGCCAAACACTTGAGTACACACCATGGTCAAGGCTTCGCACTGAGTAGGGTTGACCTTCCCCGGCATGATGGAAGAGCCAGGCTCGTTCTCTGGGAGCGACAATTCGCCGTAACCGCATCTTGGCCCGGACCCCAAGTACCGAACGTCGTTTGCAATTTTGAACAACGAAGCAGCAAGCGTGTTCAAGGCACCGGAGGCCTCAACAATGGCGTCATGGGCCGCCAAGGCCTCAAACTTGTTTGGCGCCGTGCGGAACTCCAAGCCCGTGAGCTCAGAGATTTTTGCGGCGATGGCGGTGTCAAAGCCTAGCGGCGTGTTTAAGCCGGTACCCACGGCCGTACCACCCTGTGCCAAGAGAGACAAGCGAGGAAGTGTTGCCTCGACGCGAGCGATCCCGTTGGTCAACTGCTGAACGTAGCCCGAAAACTCCTGTCCGAGGGTCAACGGCGTGGCGTCCTGCAAATGGGTTCTCCCGATCTTGATGATGCTGGAAAATTCGTCCGACTTGGCCTGGAACGCATCTCTCAACTCGGTCAAAGAAGGCAACAACTTGCTGACAATCTCCATGACCGCGGCGATATGCATGACGGTGGGAAAGGTGTCGTTGGAGGACTGGGACATGTTGCAGTGGTCATTTGGATGAACCGGGCTCTTTGAGCCTAACACACCACCCAAAAGCTCGATGGCTCTGTTGGAGATAACTTCGTTGGCGTTCATATTGGACTGGGTTCCGGAGCCAGTCTGGAACACTACAAGCGGAAAGTGCAGCGACAAAGAGCCTTCCACCACCTCCTGCGCCGCTTGCTGGATAGCACGCGCAACCTCCGGGTCCAAGCCGAAGGTTAAGTTAACAGCCGCTGCTGCTTTTTTCAAAACTCCAAACGCGACGATCAATGGTTCAGGTAACCGTTCGGAGGCACCGCCGATGTCGAAATTCTGCAAGGATCTCTGAGTCTGGGCGCCCCAGTACTTGTCTGATGGCACCGCGATCTCGCCAAAGGCATCGGTCTCAATTCTGTGAGTGGTGGACATTTTATAATGGAATAGTCACAATGAAATATTGTTACAATGGAATACTGTCACAATGAGTTTGTATAGTCTGAGGTAGTTTTTTTAAATCTCATACAGGAATGGAGGAAATATTTACCCCTCTCTATCCTGCGTTCAGAAATGCTAGTACGTCAATACAATTTTCAAACCAGGGGACCGCAACACGACTCCGTCTAGGCTCGGGTCAACAAACCTATTTCTTATTGTATTTGGAGTAAAACCTAAGCAGTATACTATAAAGACAATTCGGATATAAATCTACATGTTCTGGGGTAGCTAGTGATCGCAAGCGAGACGGAGAACACCCACACCTCGGCTTCGGAACCTTGTCTTCCGAGCACCAACGTTTAGAATCGCTAACTACAAAAATCCACATTTTTGTACTTTGCGAATTTCCATCTCGCGAATAAGATGTTTCCGCGAAATTACCACTGGGGCAATCAGCCTTCGAGTAAAACCGAAATGTATCCGGTATATGACAAGCAGAGGCAACTTGACAACTGATTAACGGAGATACCATCAATCATCTTCACAGTTACGATGTCCGCTACAAATGAAATCCTACAGGACATAGCGGATGCTGCACACCAGGAGATCAAGGCTTTCTCCAGCGAGCCCTCTGCCATCACAGACGACGCCCCAACCGAACTCGACAAGGTCATTTTTGGTTCAGACTCAGAGGAGGCGCCATTCGACAACCAGTCTATCTCGTACCTTTCCGACACCAATGAGAATTTTGTCACGGTTCCCTCCAGTGGCACCTTGGTAAAGCTGGAGGAGTTTTCCGTGTTGGCGTTCTTGGTCAGATGCGGCATCAATTTGGTCTTGCCGTTCATTAACGGGATCATGGTGGGTTGCGGTGAGATTCTCGCCCACGAAATCGGGTTCCGTTACGGCTGGCGTGGTGCCAGAGTAGAGCCATCGGCTCGAATGGCCCAAAGGCAGCGCCAGATTCAACAGCAATCCAAGTTTTTGTAAATAAAGTGATACCGATACCGCGGAATTGGCATCGGTGGCTCTGGAGTCGCACCTGCAGTAGGAGTTAATGTGTATAATATATAGAAAGGAGCAGTAATAGGATGCTGAGATATATTCATGGGTAGAATTACTACACTATCACATGTTTGGTTCAATGTGTGAGGTAGCAAAGGAGATTTTTATCAGACGGGAACCACGAAATGTGTTAGTATCAAGCGGTTTCGCATTCAGTTTTTTTTTTGAAACTTCGATGTATGAGAGAACTAACTATGATTATAATCACCTTGCGTAGATTAAACCTTTTGGGACCTACAGTGTGGATTGTACAACAACTTTAACCGTTTTTTTGTTGCAGAACCTCCTGGCTTGTATTGCTTATTTGAGATCCTCGGTGTGGTCGGTACTACCTGACTATACTGGTATGAGCGTACTTCTAGTTGAATTTATCCTGTTTCAATATCCGTCGTTGTTATTTTTTTCTAGCTGATGTGAGAAGGAGATCTGCATTCTTGGAAAACTTGGAGTTCAGTCGGTAGCGGCGAGTGAAATCTGCTATAGCAAAGCACGTAGGCTCTGGACTGCCCCTGCTGAAAACCAAGAACAATTACCGTTGCATGCTACATGCTCATAATCAGCTTATCCTTACGGCGGTCTAAACTGCGGAAACTGACCCTTATCATACCCACGGCTACGCTATAAATCTTAACTTGGTTCGTACATTACTCATATCACTTAGGCCTTCTCCGACGCATACTTGACTTCGATCTTGCACTTGTGCATGGCTTTGCTCTCCTTGTTCAACAGTCTCATGTACTTCTGAAGTTCAATCAAACGGGTCTTGACGGTGGCGGACGAGATCTGGATATCATTCTTGCGGATCTTCACGCAGATCTTGTAGTGGCGTTTGCTGTTATCCGGCAAGTCGTAGAGCGCGAGCTGGTTCAACTTGTCCACGCCCAATATATCGTCCTCCTCGCGTGCAGTGCTCTGGGGGTCGGTCGGCGCGTCACCAGGCCGTTTGCTCTTGTAGGGCTGCACATCGAAGTGAATGGCGCCATGGCGGATGTTACCACCAGGGTAGATGCCGCACAAAACAAACATAAGCCGCCCGATGTACTTAGACCAGTAGATCATCAACTCCATCTCGGGCTCTTCGCCGCTCTTGAGGATCATGCGCGACAACTTCTCGTAGAACACCTGCTCGTTGGTAGAGATATCGCCGCCCCAGCGCTCGCAGCATGCAATGCCGATCAAGCCCTTCTGTCGGTGGCTGAGCCCGTGGCAGCCCAGGAGAATGCCACTGGTGCCGATGTGCAATGCTGCCGTCGGCTGCACCTCCTTCGGGTACGAGCAGTGGACAAAGAGAATGTTGCACAAGGCAGGCGCAAGCGAGTGGAGGATCTCGTCGGGGATGACCTCTACGGGGAGCGCTTTCTCGAGGAGCTTGAGGTACTTGTCCACGAGAAGTGGCCGGTACGGGTTTGTCGCGGTGATAAGCGGGTCTTGGCTCAATAGCTCAAGCGGAAGCGACTTGTAGAGCATACCTTCGCGCATGCCGCACTCGCTGAAGTGCACGGTCTTAATCGGCGGGAGACACTCAAAGAGCACACTCAAGAGAAAGCCTACGGCCGGCAACTGCGCGCGGCGGCGGTCACTGAGCTTGAAGATCGCGCGGTCAGGGTGCGGGACGGTCTTCTTCAACAACAAGTAGTCCACCATGTTCTGCACATCTGTGAACGGTACCTCGTAGCCATTGATGACGGTGGAGATGGGGTGATTGTCCTTGTCCTCCGCGAGAAGTAAGTGGCCCAACGCGCGGAATCCACCGCCACACGTGAACAACTCAAAGCCCTCGTTGGCTTGGAAGAGCTCCTGTGGAAGCTGGATGTGTTCGGTACAGTCACGGAACGTGTCCTGGATCTCGCGGTACAACGCCGTGCGTGCGGCTATTTCATTGCCAAGTGCGCACGCCTCGTTGAGCGTCTTGGTAAGCGTGGCGGAGCCGTACGGCAACACCAAAGGCGTGGGGCTCACGGCCACCGGACCGGTCTTGTGATCGATGGAGATCCAGCCCAAGCGGAGCGACCCACCGCTCAAGTCGAGGAGCAAGCCCTTGTTGCGCGTGATGGAACTCGCGGCGCCGAATGCGTACATCATGCCCTCGTCGTGGCGCGAGATGACCTCCACGGGCCATCCGGTGATCTCCGTGATGCGGCGGAAAAAGTCTGGCGCGTTCGGTGTGTACGTACTCATCTCGCTCGCCACCACCTTCACGTTCTTGTCCGTGTCCACGCCAAAATCCTCGCATGTGAGCTTGAACCGCACCATCGAGCGCACCACGTCGCTGATCGTCTCCGCGGGGATGCTGAGGTCGCGGTGCTCGGCCGTATCACTGGCGATCACATACTGGAAAAGCACCGCCATGATCTTGTCTTTGTAGAGGCACGGCATGATCCGCGCGTGGTATGGCGCAAGCGACGAGATGGAGAAGCGGACCCCGTTGGGACCTATGTCTACGATCGCGGTAAGCGACTGCGCCAATGTTTCTTCCTCTTCTGGGTGCATGAATATCTTGCAGGATAGGAAAGAGTTGGTAGAGAGGGGTTCCAGGAGATAGTCTGGAAGAGTTTGTAGGGAAAGATGTCAGAAAGAGATGTCAGGGAGGGTTTTAAGGAAGGGTGCGTTTCGCTTGTCGCTTATGTCAAATGGATTGTGTCTGTCCGGCTAGGCGGTGCACGACCGGGGTGCAGCGAGCCCTAGTATCTCAATGAAGTGCGATTAGTCTAGGTTATATACAGGAGTTTTGGAAGTGTTTGTTCAAGCGGTTTTTGTGAGGTGACTCGAGCCTATTATTTGTAGCTGAAAAATGATGTAACAGAGAGAGTTTAATCTTTTTTATACTCTTCAAGATAATCGACAAATATAATTTGCTTCAGGGCTAGGATCGGACTTCTAAGGTGTTAGATGTATAATCTCAAAGCAGTCATTGATTTGGTCCCTTGGCCCAGTTGGTTAAGGCATCGTGCTAATAACGCGGGGATCAGCAGTTCGATCCTGCTAGGGACCATTTTTTCCTCTTTAGAGTCGAAGTTATTTATTGAAGTATAGTTGTAGGAACAAATGGCTTTAATTCAGTCAGGGAAGCTCTCTTAATGGCCCCAGAGTGGGTATCTTTTTAGTTTGTATAGCTTGGTACATTTTACAGACCGACCGAGTGGGGAAGATATGATGGTAACTAGAAACTTTAACAATAGCTATAGAATCTTGGGCTTACCGCTGGCGTATTAAGCTTTAATGGACCTAATAGTTATAACTGATCAAAATAAATGTCACTGATATGTCCTAAGGTACACCGGATAAACTTCTATCCCACGCATTCGATGTGCCTTTCAAGAGAATGCCCATTTTTCACGGTTAAGTTGCTTCGAGATGGAAAGTCCCATATTCCTGAATTTCAATTAGCCATCCACAAACCTCAACGCCTTTGTACGCTACCTACGTATCGTAGTGAAAGTGCGCACCTGAGACAGTGCAGGGCTCTATTCAGACGTACCCACTCCAGTATACCATTTCTTTCTGTTACACAAATTGCTCTAAAGGTTTATTCGTAACGCTACGGCCCTCGCCTTCAGCCAGTGCTATTATAGTTTTTCGTCTACTTTCTCGCCCCCACAGACTTCCCCACGGCCAATCTCTTCTCGGTCAACGCGGCAATGATGGCGGCACCAGCACCGGAACCATCCTCGGCCGCGACAATCACAATCGGGTCCTCCGCAGTCTCCCACTGGAAAATATCTCTAAGCCCCTTAGCAGCTCTCTCCTTGAACCCAGGGTACTTTTCATAGACCGAGCCGTCAGCGGCACAGTGCGCAGTAGTGTAGCCTCTCTTCTTGCAGATCCCGGCAATCCCACAGACAGCCAATCTTGCAGCTCTAGTACCGATCATCTCCGATACAGCCCTGATCAACTTTCTCTCTGGCTCGGTCGTGGAAATTCCTAACTCGTTCTTGAACAAGTCCTCAGTGTCACTCAAGTTCTCAAACGGATCCTGCTCGACCCGGGACGGATACGACGCGTCCAAGTAGAACGGCAGGCGCAACTTCTCCAAGTTTTGGTTCTCAAAGATCAAACCCATCTCGCAAACCTCCACGAGCGCCAAGCGCAATACCTCGCCCAAGTAGTAGCCGGAAATCATCTTCTCAAACGCCTGCTGGCCAGGTCTTGGCGACTCTGCGTCGATCTGGACGTCAATATTCGTTCTTGGCAACACCTTGTGTTCATTGTCGAACGAACCGTACTCGCAGTTGATCGCCATCGGGGTCTCAGGCGAAACATCATCCGGCAAGCAGCCCTCCAACTTGGGAATGTCACCACAGACATCGTAGTAGGCACCGTTGCACCCCGTCCCGAAGATCAAGCCCATCCTGGCCTCAGGGTCGGCATAGGCGGACGCAACCAAAGTCCCAGTGGTGTCGTTGATTACAGCAACAATCTTGATTGGGATGCTGCGCTTTTCAATTGCCGCCTGCAACATTGGCACCACATCGTGCCCTTCGACGTTGGCAATATCAAACCCCTTGGTCCATCTCTGCAAGATCCCCACGTTGATAGCGTGCTGCGTGGCGGGGTAGGAGAAGGTGAAGCCCAACGGCAAGAGCTTGCCGTCCTCCACGCCGTGGGGGAACTCTTCATCCACAAACTTCTTCAAGCAGTCGGCGATGAAGTTCCACAATTCATCAGCGGACGCGGTTCTAATGTTGTCTGGCAACGCGTACTTGGACTGGGTTGAATCGAAGTCGCGGTTGCCGCCCAACTTAACAAGCACCACCCGCAAGTTGGTGCCACCAAGGTCGATGGCAAGGTAGTCGCCGGTCTCCTTGCCGGTAGGAAAGTCCAAGACCCAGCCTGGGTTCATTGGCACGTTTCCACCTTCCTTCGACAAGCCCTTGGCCAACTCGGCAGCAAAGTGGTCGGAGATCTCGCGCATCTGCTCTGGCGACACAGTGAAGATCTCGCGGTAGTGGTCGATGCGGTCCATCAATTCCTTTGGGACATCCGTCATGGAGCCCTTTCTGGCAGCTGGGGGTTTAGGGCCTAAGTGAACCATCGTGATTGTGTAATATTACAAGTGGAAAGAATTTAGTTTTAAGCGGGCGTCTACGATATAGGCGGGACTGGCCGCTAAATATACTTTTTGCTGTGAGGGGAAAGGGTGGACCTCCCGTAACAATAGAGGACCATAGTGATGATGCGTCCGGAAAAGGGATCACCCAGAACACTGACTCAGAGCTAGTTCCAACCGCGTCGAGTTAGCCATGCTCTTGAATTTTCCGGGGTAGCTTTATTTGACTAGGATTAGGATGTTTTGACGGTTAAACTCCATTTAAGTGGTTGTCTAAAGTGTAATCGCTTAATGAATTCGGCTACGTTCTGAATTTTAACCTGTAAAACCAGGAATCGGGAGCTCGATCGGGAAGGCTTGCGCTCCACGCGTATGAATTTCTCCGCTCGGGTAAATTATGAATTCGAAGGTCGGCCGTTCGTTGGGGGTGTCGGCTCGTGATGCCGTGCTCGGAAAAACCGCGTACGGCATCAGCGCAAGGATCCTCATTGGAAGATGTACTAACAGAGCTCATGGTATTAAAAACCCGTGAGACTTATAGGCAGCCATGTAGATGTAATGTACATACCCTAATATACTTAAAGTCAAGAACCGGACAGGAGTATTTGGCTTGCAGAGATCGTTTCTAGGAGACTAGCCAACCTGTTGCATGTCACATCGTGAAAACACAGAGACGTTTCTAGTGTACGGACCTGTTTAGGTATTGCTATTAAAGTAATTAAAACTGGCGATTATGGGGCTGGGATATAAGCTCTAGCTTGCGAAAACTGCAATGGCTGGTTGTCTATAACTTTCTGCCCATAATTTTCTGCCCATGGCTACCAGAAGTCACCAGTAAGATCGGGGCTTTCATCAAGCGTTGCATAGTGCAATTCATGGAAATGGACATTATCCAGTAGCTTCTGGTATCCACGTAATCCATCTTTCAGAGAATACGATACCCCGCAACATTACCGAGTGGAGAAAGTGCAGACATCCATAGTATCATACTTAGTGTTCTTTCTGAACATTGCTCTGACCACTGGTAGCACTTTTACCCCTAAACTAATCAACCATCAGTTTCTCGCACTATGAGTTGTCAGTACTTATTAATTGACAATGGTTAAGAGCACAACCTCACCCATTGACTGTAAGCCTACCTCAAGTGTATATCCTGCATTCACCCAACTCGTTCATCTTCCGCGCCTCCTTCCTAAAAGTCATGTTGGATAAGACTTCCACCCTCCCTAAATCTTTACGAACTACACTATAATGGAAGACTGGAGAAGAATTGACATTGACGCCTTGAACACCGACTCAAAGTTGACGGCTGAAGACTTAAAGCCGAATATTGCGGCTATTCCCGCCAACCAGCTTCAGACCATCCAGCAGAAAATCCTCCTGTTACAGTCCACGGGACAGCCGGTTGAGGCGTTGAGATTGGCCTTGACCCAACCGCCGTATGGTAACAGCGATTCCGAGAAGGATGCCTACGCTAAGGCGCTTTCGGATGTGTTGGTCTACAACAAGAATGTGAATGACATCAAGGACATTGTTCTGCAGTTGGACAAGGCCCAGCAGGACAATTTGGTGAAGTATTTGTACAAGATTATGAACCAGGGCTTGGCGGGCAGCGTCAACAGTGGTGTTATTTTGAACTGGTATGACCAGTTGACCGAAATCACCGGCTTGGGTCCGGTCGTGAGGTATTTGAGTGACAGAAGAACCGTTTGATCGTATAGGTGAAGGATTTAAGATAGCTGTGCGGAGGATTGAATACAAAATAAGTTTGTGGTCAAGGTGTAATCACTGGTGCCACTGGTATATGGTTAAGTGTAGATTGGAGTGTCTTGGGTATTTGGTTCGAACTGCGAGCTTTATTTGACAATTGGGCTTCCTTCATACCAGAGATCCCTTCAAGGAGATCACTAGTCTCGTTGGGGGTGGGCAGCTTAAAGGCATCGTAAACCTGACTACACCCCATTATCTATACGTTACCCAAAAGACGTATCAAACACTTTTTCAGCCGCTCACAGAGCCTCGACACCTAACGCGTTTCATACAAGATCAAGAGCTGACTATACTTAGACCCCAAGCCATCTTCCAATAGGACCACTGGCTTTTGCAGAATTCAAATTACATATAATTTACATCGATTCGTTTTACGTCTAAATCCTCTCGGCACCGCTCAACTTGACGGCCGCGCCGTACTTTTGCAACTTGGTCAACAATTGGTCACCGTTCTTGATCAACGCCTGGTACTGGTTGTTCTTGTTGTCCGGTCTATTGGTGATGACGATGCCGTTGACTTTATCAATTACGCAGTTCAACTTCTTGTTCGGAATGAATTTGCACAAGTCCTCGTCCAAGAAGGCGACAGACACGCTGAACTGTTGCGCCATCGAGTTTAACGATAATGACTTGTAGCTCTCCAATAACTGGGAGTAGGCCTTAACCCTGATCTCTCTCAAAAGGAAGTTCGAATGGTGGAACAAGTACTTTGACGGCAAGACTAAGGTATCATTCGTGTCCATCAACAAACGGAAAAATACGGGGTACTCGGAGATGTAGAGCGCGTTTGTCAAGCTGATCAATGGTTCCAAGTGCAGGGCGGACGAGTAGATGGCCAAGATCTCCGGCGAGTCAATAATCTTTTTCTTCAACTCCGGCCTGTCCAAGGACAAGAGACCCGCGATGATTGCAAACTGCGCCAATTGGTCGTAGTCAATCAATTCGCTGGATGTAAAGGTTGCCAAGGAATCAATCAACAAGCTCGTGGCCTCACCAAAGTTTCTGGTGGCGAGGTGGTAGAGCCCCAAGTACGTCTTGTAGCGGTTGCGGCGCTCCCAGTCGCCACCCTTCTCACTGAGCAGCTTGATCTCGTTCAAGTGCGAGAGCACAAACGGATAGTCGTTGAAAAAGAAGCCGACCCGCGTGATGGTCAACAAGATGTCAATCTTGATCCCAGTGCTGGGCGCCAACTCCTGCGCCTTCTTCAACGTGGCAACGGCATTGGCCTTGTCTCCGATCTCGGCGTAGTAGTTCCCGAGCTTGATCCACCCGTTCAACGTCTCCATCTCACCTTTGTCTTCGTCCTCCACCTCTTTGAGCGTCTGCTTCAACTCGGCAATCTGCTCTTCGTTTGCGGCATTCAATTGCGCGTGCAACTGTGCGTCGAACGGGAAAAACGCCGGTAATTCCTCTGAAATGTGTTTGTAGTACGGGCCCAAGTTGTTCTCCGTGACGGCGGCTAATACGCTCGCAGCTATTTGCTGCTGCTTCTGTGGACGGTTGGCATCGGCGATGGCATTGGGGTTCGCCAACACGAACACCTGTTCGGAGAGCTTGAAGTCGGGAATGCGTGGGATCTCGGTACCTTCCATTGTGTGATAATGATGAATGATGGAGTGGGGAGGAGACAATTGCGTTGGTCGTTTTGAAGTAGTGGCGAGCGGTAGGCACACGTCGATGGGGGGTGTAGGCGTGGCGCACCACCGCTGCAGACAGTCATGACAGAGCACTACGGATGTGTTACTAACATGGGTTTACTCGACTTCATGAAACCTTTATCGATTCTATAAAGAAATGTGTAAATAACCAGTATAAATAACCAGTATAAATAATCAATATAAATAACCAGTGTGGGGGTTTCACTGATAGTGTTGTTGGAGGCTGGCCTATGACAGACCATTTCTAATCAGCCAATCCTCAAAATCTCTGGGTTTAATCTGGCTGTTGCCCGATCATCCGAGAATAGACTCCTCTGACAGATAGTGCGCTTTATTCTAGGGTATATTCCACCATCTATAAATGTAGGCAGATTACAAAACTCGAGCCAGTTGGTGGCGACAAACTTGACGTTCCATCTACGAGAGTTAGTCCCTCCATCGGGTTATCCCTCAATATCCTCAAATTTATTCAGATTCCTTATGCTCAGACTTGAACTTGTCGATAAACTCAGTGACTTGCAATCTGATTTCGGGGGTCTGCACCACAATGACCACCAACCCGTCGCTGCCCACGTCGTACTTGATGTTACCCTCGTTCGGAATGGCAACTACCTCGTCAAACTGGTCAAAAAAATCGTTCATTTCCTGGAACGTTTGCACACCCGGCAATGCAATATCTGTCATCTCGTTGCCTTCCTCTTTGTCTGGATTCTCCCACACCAACATGATGGAGATCGGGTTGTCCAACTTCTCGTTTGGGTCGATGTCGTTCTCCAAGTGCGACGGAAAGTCGCTCTCCTCCTCACTGGGGCTATGTTTTTCACCGACCATTATATATTGCTTGTTGGCGAGGCTAAGCAAAAGGCCGATGGCATCTCAAGCTGAAAAAAAAATATAATGGAATGCTCCTGCAACTAAACAGCGCACTGAAGGAACGGCGCAGCCCTAAGATTTACTGCCCTCCAGCTGCTACTGTAATAAAATAGAGGCTATGGTGATAAACGGGCAGGTCATAATTACAAGCCAGTGGAACGATAATCATTTATTGCATCTCACTATACGGATCTAAGTGCCGTTTTGTGGCCAGTTTAACTTCCAATGCATATGGTTCATAATTCGTAAAAGGGTATGACTCCGCCAGTCTTAAATGTCCTTCTCATTTTTGGAATTACCGCGTTTACGGGCAAGCACGCGCTTCTTAGACCCATGTTTATCCGAGCTACTTGGGTCGCGTTGGTGCTTCAAGACACTGGCTGCATTGGCTGGGGATATGTTTTCTTTTGCTTCCGCAAGAATCAGCTTTGCAATGGCCCTCTTGTCCTTAGGGTAGTTATCGAGGTGTTCCATGGCCTGTGCTTCGGTTGGCCGTTTGAACTTTGCAACCTTCCACTGTACTGGTTTTTGAACACTTTCATTGTCCTTCTTGGACGGGCTAGTCACCGTCTCAGAATTAGCACCTTTCACTTCTGAATTTTTCAACTCATCTAATTCCGCTTGAATGGATTTCAAATTCGCATCCTGAGACTCAAGCTTTCTCTTTAGCTCAGAGCTCTCACGACGGGAATCCCCAAGGGCCTGTATCATTCTGGCTTCAGAGTCCAGTTTGGCATTTCTCTCCTTCACCTGCGCTTTGACCATGGTCTCATAGGCCATCGTTAATGCCTCGTGTTTGTCATGCAAAGGCCCATACTTCTCTTTAAACACCGTCAATTCCTCTATTGACGATTTAAGCGTGTCGTACTTCGCCACCACCTCTGCTGCTTCAGCCTCAAGCTTTCCATGCTTTTCCCCTAACGAAGCCAATTCGTCGGCTGTAAACCCAAGCTTGAGCTTGTAGTAGTCCACCTCCTCCGCAACAATCTGCTTATCTAACACCAACACCTCCATTTCACCCTTCGCTTCTTCTAATTCGCCCTCGAGCCGTTCGTGTTCCTCGCCCATATCGGCCAATTTCTTCTCGTAGTATTTTGAAAGCAGCTCCAATTTTTTATCCGATTCCTTTGTATAGTTATCCTCCTGCTTGAATCTGTGCGACTCATACTCGTTCTTCAACCTTTCAATAAGAAGATCGTAGTGTTCGCCCACGTTTATCCGAGTGACGCGTTCCAAGTCCAAGAGCCTGCTCTCAAACAAAATGTTTTCCTCTCTAAGAAGGGTGTTTTCCGCTCTAAGTTGTACACATTCCGCCAAAAGTCTCGTATTTTCCAGCTCAGTAACCCGTAACTCGGCTTCAACTATCTTTCCAGCGCTAGACGGGTCCACGGGGATGGGGGTCTCACAGCTGGCTGACGGTAATCTAGCCAATGCCCCCAGGCACTTCAATGGCCAAATAAACCGAAGGCACTGGCTGACGGTGGAAACGTCCCCCTGCGGATCAAGATTTACCATCAAGGCAAGCGACGACCGCACAAGCGGGTTGACCAAGTCCGTGAACAAAAGTCGGGTCAACTTGGAGTTGCGGATCGCCGGTGCGGACACGCGCCGCCGAGTACTGGCCATTTCCAACACTCTGCCCAACTCGGACAATGTGGTATTGGTGTAGGCCCCTTCCTTGAGGGTGGTTCCGTAGGTTTCGGCTAACTTTGTCCGCTCGTTTCCTGCCAAGTCAGCAATGGTCAACCTGGCGATGGAGCTGGGAGGAGAAACGGGGTGTTTTTCAAAGATTACGCTATCGCTGTGGCGGAAATTAGTACTGGGACCTGGGTTAAACCGCACATGGTCGATCTGAATGAAGCAATGGGACCGCGAGGAGTAAGGGTTGGTGGCGGTGGCAGCCATGGAGCGGTGGACCAAACCTCGGCGGACCAATTCTACGCTCTCAGCATAGCTCTCCGCTACTTTCTTCGAAACATTGCATCTAATCTTGTGGTCTGGACCGGTGTAGATCTCCCTGTTGGTTTTGGGTGTGATTTCGTTGGTGAAGAGGTCTCGGATGAAGTCATTGTGGAGTTCAAACATGGATAAACTAACCATCAGCCGGTCCAGCGATCCTTCCTGATGCGTAAAAATGTCCCTCAAGCTCTGGAAACAAATCCCCGGTTCGGCAGTAGTTCCGAACATCGAATAGGACTTTCCACTGTTGGACGGCCCCATTGCCACGAAACACGCATCTTCCCGCTGGGTGAGCACCTTTCGAACCAAATTTGCGACCGTATTTTGGTAAACATTATCCTGGGAGGCAGGACCGCGGAAGATCTTTTCAAATGCATACTTTTCTTGGGAGTCGCCGAGAATCAAGTCGTCGTTGGTAGTGCGGAAAATGGGGTCGCCTCCCTCGGGCGAGGGTTTCACGCGGAGGTACAACGAGATATCCATGACGTTGGAAATGGTGGATATTTCGAAAACAGAGAATAGTCTGTTAATAGTTCGATGTTCCAACTTTCAGGGAAACAAAGGATTGTCACCTGTATGTCGCAGGGATTTTTCACGCTTGCAGCGTATTGACCTTTTACCTGATTCACCAAGGTGCATGTCAGGGCATGGGCGCGTGTGCAGGCGTTCCATACACATTTCAGTCCGCCATTAAATGCCATAATTTTGGTGGAGTGAAAGAAATGAGCTTAAAAGTGGATATGTGAGATTTAAAAGGTTGAGAGGATATATAAAGACCGAGAGGATATATAGAGACTGAGAAGACATAGTGCTATTCATATACCACTCACGCGTGCTTGTTACAAATTCTATTCTAGTACAGATTTTGGTCTGGAATAACCAATAGGTTATGACACTTCGATGATTTATAACTTTTTCCTAGATTTCGCAAGCTGAAATCTCTACACCAAGGGTATTCAATACCATTGATTGTCGATTTGTTTTACACTGATAGACGAAAGCTTCTAACCTTGCACAACCCCTAGTAAACCTCTTTCAGCTTTAAGCTTTATAACGTATACGGAGCATACCTGAGGCTCGATTGTGCCTGTTCCGCGGCTGAATTTCTTCACTTTATTCC